GCACCTCCACAACTTTGGTTAATGGGAAAAGATTAAGATCTATCAAGCCAACGATTTTAAGAAAACAAACGTAGATCGATGGTTGCCTATTTAGTGTTGTTTACTTTAAAGGATTGGCTTGCATGTGGTTTTGCATACCTTTGTCAGGCAGGACCAGGGAAGGCCATGGAATAAGGCCTGGAGTAAATATTATCTCTCATGAGCTGGAACCAGAGACAGAGATGGGGTGGGGTTTGTGGCTTATGGGAAGCCTGCAATGTGGGCTAGGCTACACAAAGGCTGAAGGCCAGAGCTCTTCTTACACACCCTCCAAGTGTCCCTGTTTTCCAGGGACAGCCCTGGAATAATGAAAACCACCCTGGCTTCTGATTTGATCCCAGAATGTCCCTATTTTCCCCATCAGCGGCGCTGCTCCCAAGCTCAGGGAGAATGAGCTGATGCTTGCCTGAGCAGTGGTGACAGCAGTGGTGGCTGCGATGGAGCATTTTGTTGCCTCTCCATGGCTGCCACTGTTGGCCTCCTCCTTTAAGCAGCTTGTAGCAGCTGCTGGAGAGAGGGCAAGGAGGAGCAGAGGTTGCTGCTGCTGAGGCCCAGCATCAAGCGACACACCGGCTCTGAGGGGCAGGCAGAGGGCATGGCTGCAAGAGCAGAGAGCAAGGAGTCTTGCTTGTCTTTTTAAAACAACAACAACACGCTTTGTGCATCCATATCAAATCTCGCCCCTTTTAAAATTTATTTATTGCAGTGTATTTTTCTTTTTTTGCAAATCTACCAAAGAATCAAATCAAATCAGGATTAAGGGGTTTTCTCAAGACAGTAGAGGGCATGTGTTCCGTTGCTGTAGTAGCACTTGCGATTCTTCTGAAAGGAAATGCTCTGTGGGAGTGGGAGACAAAAAATGGGGAGCTGAGGAGGGTCAGTTGGGGGGGAGAGTGAGAAATGTCCCTATTTTCATCTGAGGAGCATTGGAAGGTCTGTTACTATTGAGAGGGTGCTAGAAGCTGGGCATGCAAAGCCCTGGGTTGCTCACATGATGCCATTCTCTGACCATAAGGATGACCTTCTTTTAAGGAATGGTAGTGAAAGGACGGATGAACAACATTTTGACTGTTCAAAATGTATATTTCTCCTCTTGCAGGTTTTTTTTTAAACAAGAAGCCAGGTAAATGTTTCCTACTGGGATGATTTATGTTTAGTGAATCCTGCCTCAGAGAAATGAATACAATTCAACAGCACTGGAGGTCCCCTCCAGCCTTATGAATCTATAAATAAATGCCAGCAGGACATTCAACAGCCTTGATCCACAAGGCTCTGAACAGCTTTTTGACAGCAAATCAACAGGGCTATAGAAGAATGATGCTATTAACAAGCAAACCTGCCCCAGTTGCTATCTTTTGGCAGGAGGGTGGTGTTTAGTAATTTAACATATCTCCCTATCATTGTTTCAAGGAAGAAGCGGGAAGACCATATTGGAAAATGCCCTCTGGATATCAATCTAAAATCGTGCAATACGTAAGGATGGGCAAGGAAACTTCCCTTCCCTGTGTTTGCTATAGAAGTCAAACAAAAAGGAACAGGATCTGATGTTGACGATAGTGTGGAAGTACATGTGTGTGTAATGTACACACATATACAAACATTTGCTCATTAAATACACAGCCAAGATCTTTGCCTGTGCTCTAGTTCACTTGTAATAATATACAGTACGAAGAAGATATTCCAGCAAATTTGGACGCATGTTTCCAACGTATGTTTCCTTTCAGTGTCTCCTGATGAAAACATAACTTGGAACATGTGCTCGATGTTAATAAGCATTCAAATTCACTTTACAAGCAAACGTTAATGATACTCGTGGCCAGCTTTGGGGGCTGAATCCTGGCCCCCTAGACAGTCTCAGCTAAAGATCATGGATAAAGCACTTGGCCTGTCTCTGCCTCATGGCAAGGGTGGGTATTCGCCCCCCCTTCCCTCCCGAGTCTCAAAGCAGCTACAAAACCATTCTGTGATTACGACTGCAGCATCCTATGTATATCTACTCACGGGAGGTCCCGCACATCTCTGTGAAGCAGAGGGGCCAGAGAGCTGCCACCTACATTGCTTCAGCCCTCACTTTGATCTGCAAAAAAGCAGATATCCACACAGAGGAAAATGACCCTTGATTGACTTAAATATGTACCTAGATCTGAAGCTGATTGTATATAAAACATATTCACCAACCATGCAGAAAACATGAGTCAAAATAGCACTTGGAAGGCAGTTGTGAACCAGACATTTGGAGTGGCATCTAACCACCTCTTAGTTACTATTCTGAAGCAACTTTAGCGTACTTGCACTATGGAATAATCTCAGTCAATTACAGTGGTACCTCTGGTTAAGTACTTAATTTGTTCCGGAGGTCCATTCTTAACCTGAAACAGTTCTTAACCTGAAGCACCACTTTAGCTAATGGGGCCTGCTGCTGCTGCCGCGCCACCGGAGCACGATTTCTGTTCTCATCCTGAAGCAAAGTTCTTAACCTGAGGTACTATTTCTGGGTTAGCGGAGTCTGTAACCTGAAGCGTATGTAACCTGAAGTGTATGTAACCCGAGGTACCACTGTATATATTTTGGGGGCATGGGGATCATAGCAGATATGAGAAAGCAGCCTTTCCTCTGAACACAGAGTTTCCAAGTAAATGTGAATAGTCTTGTGCTGTTAAGAGGTGGAGGTCATATTTACAACCAGACTTGACTACTGCAAGACATTATGCATGCCCTTGAAGATTGCTCAGAATCAACAATAGGTTCAAAACGTGGCAGCCAGGACCAGAATGCAGTATGGTCTGCTTGGAATGTATCTCACCAGCATTATACAAAAAAATAAAATAAAAAACTCCACTGATTCCCAGTTTGCTTTTCATTTTCCAGACATACTTTGGGACGTGTTTTTCTTTTCTTTTCTTTTTTCTTTTCTTTTCTTTTCTTGGTGGAGTAGAAGGACCATAGTTCAGTAGTAAAGCCATGCTTTGAATGCAGAAGGTCCCAGGTTCAAACCCCCCTATTCCTTTCTGAAACCCCGGAGAGGCACAGCCAATCAGAGTTGACAATACTGTACTAAGCTTAGATGGACCAATGGCCTGACTCAGTATGAGAACCTTCTTCTGTTCCTGTAAAGCCTATTAAGAATGAATTAAATAAATTTAATTTAATGAATTAAAGGAAGAAAGAATTCGAGATGGTTTGCTTTAGAACATAGCATCTGTCTTATCAATGTTACAAGGTGTGATTCCTTTCTAATTAATCTTTGTCCAAAGTTAAGACCTTTAAGTAGCTACCTTATTACCAGAATACCAAGGAGGAACTGACAAAAGTAGCCAGTGAGTCCACCTTGCAAAAGAGATTGCAAACTAAAGGGCAAGCATTCAGGTTGTAGACAGCATCATGACTTTATAAGGCATTCCTTTTTTCCATCCATTCACCAGCCACTGAACATTCACAGGGCTGTTGCTCAGATTCAGGGGAACCTGGACAGGAATTTTCAGTGGGTACATCAGAAAGTACATATTCCCTTTCTGGGCATTGGATTCCTCTGCCAGCATGATGAAAGCACCAAGGGCTCTTCCACGTACTTTTACACTCCATGGATAAGTTGCCTATTTGGTAGGCCATTATTATTCCTAGTTTACAAATGGGGAACTGATTCTGAAAGAAAGCAATTTTCCCACAGCTGACCAGTGAGATCATAGCTGAGTTACAATCATGGCATTCTAGATCCCATGGGAGTGCTGTCTCCATTGGACAACAGTGAGTCTCTGCCCACAAAGCAAAGGCACATTAGGTTAGTTATTTATTTGGAAAAAAAATATACCACGTTTTCCTCCAAGGAGCTCAAAGTAGTGCACATTGTTCTCCAACTCCCCAGTTTATCCTCACAACAACCCTGTGAGGTAAGTTAGGCTGAGAGGCAGTGACTGGCCCTAGTCCCCCAGTGAGCTTCATGGCTGTGTGGGAATTTCGTACCCTGATATACCAGGTCATAGTACAACACTCTGATGGCCATCAAAATCTTTAGCTTAACCAGCTACGTACCTCTAGTGCAGGCTTCCTCAAACTTGGCCCTCCAGATGTTTTTGGCCTACAACTCCCATGATCCCTAGCTAGCAGGACCAGTGGTCCGGGATGATGGGAATTGTAGTCTCAAAGCCTCTGGAGGGCTGAGTTTGAGGAAGCCTGCTCTAGTACAATGGTAGTCCATGTGATGCCCTCCAGATGTTACTGGAGTAAAACTTCCATCAGCCACAGCTAGCATGGCCATTGGCCAGGGATGATGGAGGTGGTATACCAATAACATCTGGTTGGCACCATGTTGGTTACCGCTGCTCTGTCGCTATGTACATGTTGTTGGCTTGAAACACAGCTATGTCGTTCTTTTTCTCAATTTGGATTAAAGCTGGTTTGGCGGAAAACACATCAAAACATAGTATTTTAAAAAAAACCTCTAGCATAGATATGAATTGTGGCTATCACTGTGCGTATACCACAGAGCCAGTGTGGTGTAGTGGTTAAGAGCGGTAGTCTCGTAATCTGGGGAACCGGGTTTGAGTCTCCGCTCCTCCACATGCAGCTGCTGGGTGACCTTGGGCCAGTCACACTTCTCTGAAGTCTCTCAGCCCCACTCACCTCACAGAGTGTTTGTTGTGGGGGAGGAAGGGAAAGGAGAATGTCAGCCGCTTTGAGACTCCTTAAAAGGAGTGAAAGGCGGGATATCAAATCCAAACTCTTCGCAAACTAGTGAATGCAGAGTAAACAGAAGTTTGTGTACAGCTTAAGTGTATCAATATAATGATAAGTTGGAGGGGCTCTTCCACAATGGCAGTCTATGGATGGATGCTCCTCCAAGGAGTGTACAGGTTAATCCAGTTAAATAAAACATACACAGATTCAGAAAAAATTGTGAGAACAGATGCAAAAGCTAAGCATAAAATCTAGATATTTGAAATCAGTGGCAGGTAGATTCTATAGCTCCTATGACATACATACTTTCTACTGTTATCAGATCAAAAACTTTTTACTAAGTAGGTGGTTAAAAGAAACTTTATTTACTTTTACTTGCTGATTCCATCTCAAGTCTTGGGTGTTTTGTGTTAATGTTTCATAACGCTGGTTACCAGCAGCCCACACCAAACATCCCTCCTAACAACAGTATAACTATAAAAGCAGTTATTTCCCCCTTTATAGGAAGAACCAGAACAACCAGCCGAAGTATCAAAAGGCCATGCGTAGTCATGAGTTGCAGCTGGCAGCTAGCTGCATAGTTGCCTATAAGCCATTTACTGTGCTCAGTTTATCGAATGGGTGGGCCAGCCCCTTAGTAGGTTATTCATACTTAAAACAAAACAAAAATCCCACCTTATAATACTTTTAGGACAATAGCAAAAGTAAAGTTTAAATTCAGGCACTACCCATAACTGCTCTGGAGTTATTGGAATCTGGAGCAGGGAACCATAAGATGACCCCAACTATCACTGGGGCTTGTTTCTGAGAGGCAACAGTGGCTCTTCCACCACTGGATGTCACAGCTAGTCTGGCAGGCAATTAAAGTTCTCCGGCACCTGCAAGTCCTTCACTGCTGGTGATGGCTAAGGCCCCAATCCTAATCCCACTTACCTGGGAGTAAGCCTCACTGAATTCAGTAGGGTTTACTCCTAAGTAGGCATGGTTGGGCAGCATCCTGGCCACAATAGGAGATAATGCTATAGTTCATCCACTGATGAATTCTGTTTTCCAGCAACTGCTGGGAACATGAACCTCCCTGCCAGGCTTGCTCCGATCATAGCTCTTTCCATGGCTGACAAGTCTTCCAAGCGTCTCTGACATTTGCATTAGTTTGGAATCTGCTTCTCCTTTCCTTCCCATCTCAGCAGCAAGCCATTGTGCTGTGGCCAAATCAGGATGAGCGGCAAGGCGCTGTAAGTTTGCAACAAACACTCCACCTTGAATCAAACTGGAAAGGCAGGAGCATGTGTCATTCTCACAGTGCCAATGAGAATCTATGAAATATCCACAACATTGCACTGAAGTTGGTTTCCTCCATGACCCAAAACACATTGCTTGGTCTCCCAACCCCTCTGTCCCCATAAATACATTGGACTTGGCATCAGCTCAGAGGGCACCTCACAGGCATTGCTCTTCGCGGTATTTCAATGGCTGGCTAGGAAATGCAATTACTGTTCCTAACTATCATGATGACAGGAAAGGAATTATCCAAGTATGACATAGTCCCTTTAAATCTCAGGGAAGGGCTTCTGGAAGCACACCAAAAGACATTGCAGATGGGGGCTGCTGGAGTCCTTTCCGCCATGCCTCCCCTAACGTGACATGTGCTGTTTGTGGCACAGGCCACTTAGCCATATGCTATGATGTGTACATCCGTTATCTTGGGGATGTGCCAGTTACATTTATGGCACATAGCTCTTCTTTCCTGTGTTGTGGTTGAGCAAATAGCCACAGTCAGATACACAGTGCTTTTGTGACTAACCCAACCATACAGAGGAAGTTTCTGAAAGAAGAGGAATCTGAGCTCATGATTCAAAAAGCCAGTCGCCCTTACCAATAAATCCGAACGCAGAACAAGCTCAAAAAGGACCAAGTCCACAGCCAGAATTCTTGTGGTGAGAGTCCTGGAGGATAGGAAATTGAAGAACAGTCAGAACATAAATACAGGTAGACTAATATATTTAAGTGTCTAAGCGAGCATTTGGGTAAAAAAATTAGAAGCCTGCTAATTGAGAAGCACAGCAAAAGTCTACAAAGAGATCGTTTATTTCCACTTCTTTTAACTTTCCCCGCCCCATCCCTCTTTCTTTCTAGTGCAGCCTTCCCTCTCTCTCACATGAGCACCCTCAGATATTTTCCTGGGGTGGGTATTTTTCCTGGGGTGGGGCAAAATAAAACATTGAAAGGGTGGAGCAGGCGAATTTCTCACAAACAAAATGAGAATGGTGTTTGCATGCTTTGCCTCAAATCTTAGGTTGCAAAAATGACAAACTTACTTTAGTAAAAAACCATGAAATCTGGGAATTTTGGGGTTGCGCTTCATTCCAGGGGCACCAAGGAAAGCATGGCACCCATGGGTGGTGATCCCTGCATTAGAACATCCAAACACGGCCCTTGGCTGAAAAGGCAGGTTAATCCTATACACATTTCCAATTAACAGGGTAAGGGTTTGTAGCTCAGTGGTTGAGTATGAAGAAGTTCCCAGATTCAATCCCTTGCATCTCCAAGGAGGAGTGGGAAACCCAGGCCTGAAACCCTGGAGAGCTGCTGCCAATCAGTGTGACCAGTCATGAGCTAGATGGGCCAATGGGGCCATCTAGGTATAAGGTAGCTTCCTATTCATTCCAGGCAGAAATGAAAGTCAACGCTTTCCCACCAAGCTAGGGGAAAGACTTCACCCACTGAACTTCTCCTAGTCACAAAGTTGTTAAAGCACTGGGGGGGGGGGGGGAATCCAAGCCCATGTAGGATTGGTATTCACTTGTGTAGACCACTGGGTGTTAGAGACTGTTCTAGAAGGCTAGAAACTGTTGTAAACTAGTGACATTTTTTATGATTTAAAACAGGAGGCTTCCACCTTGACTGATTTTCCAGCTTGTTCTCTCCCACGCCCTCTCTGCAGCTGGCCACACCTCCTCACTCCTTGGTGGCTTCCAGCTCATCATATCTTAAAGCAGGAGTGCACAACCTTTTGGGGGCACATTTAGGAAAAAAACCCAATGAATTGTTCTGGGCAGCAGAAAACACACATTCCACACAACGAAATCTGGCAATGCTTCAGAACCTTATTTGTGAAAGAGCGACAATGACCAACTCTCCCCAAAACAAATAAAAAACAGACAAAGAAACAGCAGGCAACCACCTGAAAACAGCACTGAAAAGCCTCCTTACACACAAATTGAGAGGAGCAGTGGGCCTTGCCTGAGGGTGCCAGGGTGCCTACAGGTGCCATGTTTGGAGACTTCAGTCTTAAAGGAAATTTACCCTCTCCACACTGACCTGATGAAAGTGGATTGTGCTGTGATTCATCACTGCTTCCATATTCTTGGGGAAGACCTCTTGGGCAAGATGCCCCCAGTGGGCCTGCCTCCTCAAGCAGGCTTCCCCTCCTTGCCAAAATTGACAAAGGAAGGCATGGGGTTCAGCTGCAGGCCCTTACTTGGATGTGAGCCTAAGACTGCTGCTCTCTGATGTTGATCCTACATGCATGAGACTATAAGGAAAGCCCTGCTTTTCTTATATTTCCTGCCTCTGGCACAGGAGGTAGAACAGAGCCACTGATGGCCATGAATTTGGCCGGTCCTCTTTTAAAGCCATCCGAACAGGTGGCTGTCACGGCATCCTGTCGTGACCTTGGGGGGCTGGCTCCGCTACTCTTTTGTTGTTGTTGTTTAGCTTTAAAAGCAACAGCAGAAGAAGGCGGAGAACCAAAAAATTCAAAAGAGAACATGTGCTCCTCTGGTCTCACAGTTGCATAGTTGTGAGGTGATTTCAGCAGATACAACTTCCACAGACAGAAACAAGTCTTTTTTCTTATTCAGAATTACATGTACAGTATGTCCCCCTCTTTCCTGAAAGGACCTCAAGGCTGGTTTCTCCCCACATTTTATCCTCACAACAACCCTGCGAGGTAAGATAGGCTAAGAGATAGTGGCTGGCCCACGGTTATCCAGTGTGCTTTGTGGCTGAGTGGGGATTTGAACCCTGGCCTCCCACCAGGCCCTAGTCCTGGCATTCACCACTACACCACACTGTTGCAGGAACACACCCCATATAGGTGGCGCCATAAACCTGAAACTTAAAAGCCTACCAAATACCTTATGGCAAAGCTTCCATAGATTAGAGCACTATTAATCTTTAAGGTGCCTGTGCCCCAATATTATTTGACATTTCTTTCGCGCAAGTGTTATTGGTGGAAGAGATTTGAATCTGGGCATCCCAAAGGAAAAAAGTTAAAACTGGGCTGCAGTAGGAGGTTTCACGGGCCTGAGAAAACCAGGAGTGCAATGGAAGGGGGCTGTCATGCGTTGTGCGCAGCGTCTCCGACGGGGGGGGGGCAGCGTTTTCTTCTTCTCCCCCTCCCCGCGCAGTTGTGCCGCTCCGCGTGCTCCGCCCCCTCCCTGGCTGGGGTCCAATCCCTTGGCCGCCGCGGGGTATATATAACATCTCCAGGCGCAGACGGCGCGCGATAGTTCCTCTCTGCAGGATTGTTTGGCGGCGAGCACGTGTGCGCTCCGGAGGCGACGCTGGGCTGGTGGAGCCGGGCGGCTGGGGTTGCCAAGCTAACGGCGCTGTTCCTTCTCTTCCCCTGTAGGTTTCGCCGCTTGTGCACTTGGCTGCGACCCAGAAGCAGCAGCGCGAGGGAGGGAGCCAGGAGGAGGCGGGGCGGCGGCCTCGACATGAGCACGCAGGCGCGGGGCCAGGCTGCTCGCAGTGACTGGAGCGGCGGCGGCGGCAGCGGCGGCAGCGGCAGCTTACAGCCTCAGTGGCAGGAGCAGCAGCAACAGCACCAGCAACATCTCCTCCACCACCTTCCTTCTCCTCCTCCCTTGGGCCGCAGCGACCTCGAAGGCGACCCCGCCGCAGCCATGCCGGTGACCGAGAAGGACCTGGCCGAGGACGCGCCCTGGAAGCGGATCCAGCAGAACACCTTCACCCGCTGGTGCAACGAGCACCTCCGCTGCGTGAACAAGCGCATCGGTAACCTGCAGTTCGACCTGAGCGATGGGCTGCGCCTCATCGCGCTGCTGGAGGTGCTGAGCCAGAAGCGCATGTACCGCAAGTACCACCAGCGACCCACCTTCCGGCAGATGCAGCTGGAGAACGTGTCCGTGGCGCTCGAGTTCCTGGAGAAGGAGAACATCAAGCTGGTCTCCATCGGTGAGCTTGTGGCGCGCCCGTCGGGGCTGGGCAAAAGAACGGGGACGCCTAGGCGGGCGGGCGGGCGGGCGGGCGGGCTTCCGCGTGTGGCGAGAGCAGCGCTTACGGGCTGCAGGCTGCCTGAGGGAAGCAGCTCAGTTTCTCCATCCTCGGACCTCTTTAGTTGGGCTTGGTACTTCGTTTCAAACCAGCCGTCCGGGCACCTCTTGTGCCTGGGGGTTACGGCTCAAGGTTTTGGGGGCAAACTCAAACCAGCTCGTCTGTTCGCAGCTGCGGGGAGGTGTCTGAATTCCTCCCGGCGTGAGGAAGGCAGAAGTGGGGCCAAAGCGCCTGGCAGTGGGTGCCCCGTCGAGTTGCCGCTCCGCTAGAGTAGTGAGCGGGTGGACGGGCGAGGTGGGCGCGGCTCTGCTGCTGAGCGTCTTCCTGAGGCGCCGACGAGCCCCCGGGAGCCCAGCGTGGAGGGAGGCTGTGGGGAGGAGCCGCCCAACCCGACCCTCCCGGGGCGGGTACCTGCCGGCTTGTTGCACCCTGCGAGCTTTGAAACCAGCTCGGCTCTTAGCCTACCGCCCGCAAAGGAGGACCCCTAAGCTATCTAGAGCCCCCCCCCTCCTTCTCGGTCTCTTAAGTACTGTTGTAAAGCACGCCGGTTGGGAGGAGGAGGAGGAACGCATGCTCTCTTCCCCCGCCCCAATTAATGGTGTCTCCACCATCTACAAACTGCCCCGTCTCCGGGCTCGCATTGAACCGTAAACGGGGCCTGAGCCTAATCCTGGGAAAGCGGAGAAATGGCTGGCGCTGCTCAGACAGGATTTCCTGAGGTGCCTCCCTCCCAGCAGGTAGAGCCACTTCCTTTTGGCGGCAAAGACTTCGGTTTCCATGCTGGAGGTTTCTGAAGGGTGTGCGCTGTATAAAAGCCCAGTCTCTGATCTGAGACCAGCTTCTTCTCTGCTTTCCTGGGAGAAGCAGGCATTGGGCTGCACTTGGTTCCCGTTAAAAATTAAAGATGGAAAAAGAGCAGCTGCGGGGCTTGTGGTGATAGTTTGCAAAGCAGTGCTCTGCCCCTCAAGTAGCATGTCAGGAAGAAAACCCAGCCGGCCTAATCATTTTATTCTCTGGAGAACGTGGTGTAGCCAAAATGTGCTGTGCTGTTGGTTCTGTGCACTAAGGAATGCTAATAATTCCTTGTTAAATTGTTTTAATACCTTAGCAAGCATTCTAAAGTGTCTGGATTTCTAAAAGTGTGACTGTGATAGTGCATCTATTTTGACCATTAGGATTTGACATTAAGACTAATTTGGTAGAGACTATTCACACCTATTTTTTCAGTTGGCACTGCTGTTGAGTCAGCTGTGACCAGGTTCTTGGTTCAATGGGACAAACTGCAAAATGATAGGCTATGTATGGTAGTCTGGGTATACATATTTGACACATCACACCTATAAGGTGTTGTGCACTATTAACTAACTTGTCACCTAACAAAGGGATAGCTGCAGGAAAATAAAATCTTGTTGATTCCTTAAAGACTGACATCCTGATGGTATAAGCTTTCGTGGACTAGCCCACTAGATTAGATGCATGGTGTTATCCTGAGTTGCAGGTACATATGCAGTATGTGTTGTAGAATCAAAGTGTGAAAGGATCTCAGTCATCTAGTCCATTCCTCTGCGAATACAGGAAACTGTAAAACCTGGTTATTGGGACTCCCTTAAAAATTGTCCATGGATAATGACACTCCATATTTTCTCTTTTGAAGCTGCATTTTCCCAAGCTTACGAGTTGGGAGGTGGTAGAGAGGGAAGATACTAGTCAGCTTCAGTCTAGTCAGAAACAATTTGTAAAGGACTAGATGGCATTTCAGATGCTGTGATTAAAAGGCTGCCAGTGTCCTAAGCACAACAAACTTCCAAGATACAGTTGAACTATAGAATGGATAAATGTAGTCTGATTACAATAGCCATTAATTGTATAGAAAGCTCCGCAGCTAAGTACTGTTGCTTTGACTGTGTTTCTAGTGTTTTTTGTGTTGGGAATCTTTTCTTGCAAAATACCGAACTTGTATTAAAGGAGGGAATAAATAATGTAAAATAGCACTAGGAGATGTGTCTGGATAATATTGCATGGATAGAATGCCAGCTGAAATTATCGAGAGGCTAAACCTGATGCCTTGTGGACACCTGTAGTGTATAGCAAGAATGCAGGATATACTTCACAACAGTTGTGTTTGTGAAAACATGTAGGTAGCATGAACAAAATATTTTACTGTGGCTTAGAAATGTTAACTATAAAAAAAGCTTAAATGGCTTTTTCAGCAGCTGAAGTGACACCATCAGCGCACCCACTTTTCTGCTGCCAATCACAATTCTAAAGTGACACAAAATTGAACACTTCTGCTTTTAACAGCTGCATGAACCTTTGCATGTTTTCTGGGAAGTAAATCAAAGGGGGATAATTGGGAGTGAGTGTGCACAGCCTGTTGGGTCCATGGAGCATAAAAACAGGAAGGGGTCTTGCAGAATTAGGTTTTTACCAAGGCAGGCCCATACCCTGAGGCAGAAAAGGTGCATTATCCAACTTGTCCGTGAATGTTTATGGATGAAGGTTATGTGATATTTAGGGAGGAAATTATGCATCTACTAGCAACTGCCCATAATTCCCATTTTAAGAGCAGAAGTTGCAAATGTGGTATCAGTAAAGTGACAAATACTCTTAAAACATTTTCACAAAGATAAACTTAATTGGCAGGGTTTTTCTGGGCAGAGATTTCATCCATTGGCCAAAACCCAAAACAAAAAAACACTGCCACCAAGCAACTTGGTAACCATTCTCAATGATAGTTTAATGCTCTCAGTTGCAGATGCAGCTTTTTTCGAGGCAGTAATGGATATAATTTGGGAGCACTGAATGCTACTCTGAACCTCCAACAGAAATAGTGGGGGCATGAGTATAAAGTACATCATTTGCAAATGAAGGCAGCTTTCAAACTTTTAAAAAGATGGGTTAATAGCAAGTGGTTCTCATAGCCAGATCTTGCTGTGTTCTCTATTAGCAGCCAAGTAGTAGCACAGAACTGGTGTGTTAACAAGCAAAAGAAAATAAAACTAATACCTGCCTGTGGGAGCTGAAATCTAACTTTCTAACAATTGTTGCCCTGTTTGGAAGTCTGTCTGAGTTTTAACTGGGGAAGTAACTTAGGTTCTCTCTGCAGTGGTGTCTCTGGAGTATAGAACTATGTTATGAGCAAAACGTGACCTTGAGTTAGAGACCTGAAACAGAACTTCAGAGACGTCCTGTCTGTGTAAATAGAGTTGAGGCTTCAAGGAAAAGTATAGGAGAAAAGAATGTTGGTTCTCTGTATGTAACCCATATGTTTTGAAGCACGGAAACCTTGCTGAGCTCTGAATCAGACTCCTTGTGGGAAAATACCTTTGACAGCTGTTGCAAACTTGCTTTTCCAGGGATTACTTCACTCTGATTTCTTTTCAGTTTAAATATTAACAGCAGAATATTGTTGGTGCATAGCGCCAACAGAAGTAACAAGCAGAATAATGTGTACTCCTGCAACTAGTGCTGCTAGTTTCAGAAACCCCATTAAAAACTGTTGTGGTGGGTGGGGGAAATTTTGCCTTTCACTAGACAAGGCCCCGCCCGTCCTGTACTGCCCCTGGGAGATGGCAAGCTGCCTCTTACAAGTTGGTACTCCAATGTCTGGGCAAAGCAGGAAGTGTTAGGCTCCTGCATGTGTGGATTACAGTACATTCTATGTAGCAGCCATATATTTGATTCTATCGGATTTATTGCAACATGTTTTAAGGAAAGTTTCTGAAATGTGTGCCCTGGGTGAGCTTAATGATAGCTGTGTTCTTCCTCCATTGTTGAAGGAAGTACGCCTTTGAATATCAGTTGGTGGGAGTCATAGGTGGGGGGGAGTGTTGTTGTGCTCAGGACCTGCTTTCAGATTTCCCATAAGCATCTGGCTGGCCATTGTGAAAATAGGATGCTGGAGCAAGTGCTCTTCCCAAATATCCTGAATTCTCCAAGCTGCTTTAAATGCTAACATGTCATGTCATCTAAAGAGAGGCATAAACTTATCTTCGGGCCAGGGAATAGCAGAGGTATAATTTGGTGGCGGCATCATTTTGATACATTCCAAAGGATTAGAGATCAAAGGATCAAGCTTTGCTTTACAGCTGCTTTAGCTTCACCTCCTGTGAGGCACAAGCAGGCTGATGGACTATCCTCCTTCTTGTAGGTATTTTGTCACTCATCATGGGACAGGAAGGGTCAAAAGTTCCTGTGTGGTCTTGGAAGGCATTCTGTGCCATAGCTAGAACTTGAACACGAAATTCCATGCATGTTGCCTCCCAAGTTAAATCTCACTGAGTTCACTGGACTTTGCCCAGGTATAGGATTGCAGCCTAAAGCAAAGTAGGGGAACTTCAGAATCTCATGAAGGTTCCACCAGCATGCAGCTATACCTCTGATTTAGTTGCTGGAATAGGTTATCTTACAGAAGAATCACCTTGCTTGAAATAGGATTGAGCCTCAGTGTGATCTATAAACTTGCAACTTGTTAGGAAGTTCTTACTGAAATCTTAAGTACAAACAGCCCTACTAATTTTGCTCCAGGTGTTTATGTTCCTGAATCAGATAAAATCTGGCATTGCTATGGATAGCCCTGTTCAGCGGTGCTTAGGTCTAAAATATCGCATTTCAAATATAAGTGCATCACAATAATCTAAAGAATACCTTATTTTGTCACTCTCTTTCTATATTACATTGCAATACTGAAACCTTAAATATTACTGCCCCAAACCTTTCCCTGAATGATCATCTCTCTAGTGTCTTGTAGCTCATGTCTAGATGCAGATTTACGTAATGAATTGTTCTCTGCTAAACCGGTAGTGGTAGCTGGAATTTAGACTCTTACTTAGTAGCATATACCTCAATATTGAAAGCTGCTTCAGTCAACAAGAGACATATGAATCCTTTTTTGGAAGATGCATAGTTAAGCACCTGTATTTTGGCAGTTAACATGCAGCTAATGACTAGCTATCAAATTTAATAACTGATATTTTAGTGAACCATTTTGGTTCATTTGCCCCAAGCAGGTTCCAATGTAGCTTTCTTCTTAGGCTCACAATTGGGTTGCAAATGAAAGTGTAAGAAGTGGGAATTGATCCAAACTTTTAAAATTGTGATTGCTGTGTGATTGAGAGCGCCACTCCTGAAGTACAGGTTATGAGTGTGCGCCTCATTCGGTATATATTGCCAGATCTTTGTGGGAATTCTTTTCCTTCAGTAAACCTGGCAGGTTTTTTCATGAGCAATAAAATCCTAGTATATCGCCTACACTACACTCCTTAATGATTCACCCAAGTGAGCAGTTGGGTTGCCTTCAGTCTTGAATAGTACAAACTGCAGCACTGAATGCAGTGGTCTGCTGGTGGTAGGAGATGCAGTTTGGTTTAATGGCAAAGGCTCAAAGGAAACATGGAACCAAATGTCCATGAGCACTAGTAGACAAAATGATTTTTATTGTCCTGGGTCAGCTTGGAATTCAGAAGTCTCCTAATATATTCCTTTTTGAGTACCGATTGTAATGTGTGCATAAGTGGAGTGTGATGGTCTCTTCCGCGACTGATCAGGGATTGGATCCAGACTTCTTTGATCAGAGTTCCATTCTGATGATGCTTCTGCCGATGGAAGGGGGGAGCTATTTCCCCTCCCCAATGCCCCTGCCCCTGAAGCCTCTATGCCCCTGCCAATTGCTCAGAAGGATTGGGGATCCTTCAGAATGCTGTAGGCTGCAAGCAGAATTGGTGCAAAGGTCTTATCTCGCCTCCTCCAGTGAAAACCTCCATTGGATTGGACAGCATGTACCACAAGCAGAAGGTGCCATTGCATTTGCAGAACTGAAAGTATTGATCCAAACCATAATCTTTTACCCCCATCGTGTGGTAGAGGCAATAGCTCTCTGCAACATAGGGCAGATAACTTTTGAAGTAGAAAGGCACTACACCCATGCTGACTCAGTTTAACAGGAACACTGATAAGCAATACTCAGATGTCACTATATGGAGAAATACTGAACCAATTCGTGCTAGACATTCAATCATGCAACAGTTGTACTATTTATCAGTGGCTCACTAGGGTGTGTGTTTGGGTGTGTGAATTGAGTTGCAATTAGTAATGCTATTGAAGCAACTTCCTGTCTTCATGTTGCAGTTCAAGGAACGAACCTGTACTCGATTTGGGTTTTTTTGGGTGGAGTAGTTCAAATGAAATGTTTGATTTATGGGTTTCTTTATATGCAGTTGTCTCTGTGAACAGAAGTAGTAGCTTTTTAAATAGAGAGGGTGGTTTCACTGCTGCCAGCTAATGTCCACACCCCATGTTTATATATACTCAAAAACCTAGGTAACAGCTAAGCTAGCTACTGTTATGCAGCAATAATTGGCTGTTTTAGGATGTGGGGACTAGAAACCAGCATGTTTCTAGTCTGTACAATGCAGGAACATACCTTGTGTAATTGCAGACTCACCCCCAGCCTAGTATGATATTCATACTGTGGTAATATTTTAGTTTCCTCAGGCAAGGAGCGGAGTGATGAAAGTGTATGCCTTCGAATCCTCTTGACAGTGGTTAATGCACCCTTCTCTGGTCAGGGGAAGATGGCGTAATACTTTGAGCAACATTCCAAAAAAGATTTCTGCCATATCGGGCCCCAGGGTTTGAGTGCCATTGCCACCCATTGAACTTGAAAAATCCAGACCTTCAACACAAATTCAGTATTGTCCTTTCTGAGTGGCAATAGTTTTATAAGGTCTTGGGCCGAGAGGGCTTCCCCAGTCCTGCAACCTGAAATTTCTTGCCTAGGGATGCTGATGATTAGAATTTGGGACTTAGTCACACAAAGCATGAAGTGCTGGGAGTTGTACAGAAAGCATGCTTGCCCTTTAGTATAGAAAAAAAGAATTTTTCTCTCTCTACTTGTGAGTTGATAGCTTTGTTCAGGTTGGTGTGTGCAAAGAGGCTTTGGTTGCAATTAAAAATGACTCTGCTGGGTGAAAATGACATAGAAACCTCATTGGCAAATCTTGTTTTGGAGTGTGTGTGATAGTATTGGAACTACTGGTGCTTAGATTGTAGTCTTTAATCTTGAAATGGAAGCTTCGTAATGTACTCATAATAAAGGGTGGCATTGGTAGCTGAAATACATGTGTAACCTGAACTTATAAACAGACTTTGCTTGTTTTGTTTCAAAAAAGCATGTTCTTCTGTGTCTGCCTGATCAGAGCAAATGCTGCATCTTACAACTTACTGTTGAAAGGAATGTTGGCAGCTTCCTCCTCCCTCTCCTCCCATTTTGCAAATCCTTGCATAGGAACTATAAATGCCTAGAGATTATCACAGTGGAAATGGTGCTGCAAAGCGCAACTCGCCACCTTTGCTCCTAGAACAATGATTTAGCAGACAAACTTCCTGAGGAGGAACCTAAGGTTCAAGGATTGCTTTCTGCCTGTTGACTGACTCCTTAATCATCCTTAGTTGAAACTCCGTCTGCTTGAAAAGCCGAGTTACTTATCTCGGGGCTTTACCGCTGAGTTTCAGCAGGCATTACTGCTTTATTGCTAGTGAACACAAGAATTGTTACTCCTATGACGTGCTAGGTTTTAATAATGGGTGAAATGTAAAATCATTGTAGATAAAATTGCTGTGTAGGAGGCGCTTTTTTTTTTGCCCAGCTTATAGTTGTGTGACACAGGGACATGAAACACTGACTCACTCTGCCCTACCCCTTGCAATGACATGTTTGTGTGAGTGTGCCTGGTTGCCTGGGCATCTAAATGTCCTGGTAACTTAGAACATATTCCCAGCCCTGGCTAGCTGGGAAGTTAGAATAATTCCTGCCCGTAGTATATGTAGTGTTGTCTGTTTAGAAGAGCTTGTTTTAAAATAAGTTTTTATCAGAAATTTTAATGCACATTTTATATTTTATGTAATCCTCTTAGAGGTTTGGATAAATGCTGATATCTAATGTATATATTTACAAACACACACACAGAGAATATGAATATGAGGGCAGATGCAGTTACAATGAAAGACAACTACCTAAATGAGGCATAAAAACAAACCAACAAAGACAGCTGTGTTGGGATGAAAAATATCTCCCAACACCCATAGCTATATAATACCTTCATTAGGACAAGCCAGGAATCATGAAATGTGCAAGCTTTCAAGTTCTCCAGAACTCTTAATCAGGTGAGATGAGTTTCAAAGCAAGGGATGGGGATGGGGAATAAAAATTAAATGGGCTGGGCCTTCAAGTCTAAAGATGGAGATTGCAAAAACGAATTAGCCTGCTAGGTGCTTGCCAGTGTTATGATCCTTGCAGGTACAGTATTCGGTTAAACCTGGAATTCTGGCAGAAACAAGTGACAACTGCTCCCATTTTTTTAAAGTAAAGTTTAGCAGCTATGCAGGCTTCCTCAACCTCAGCCCTCCAGATGTTTTTGGCCTACATCTCCCATGATCCCTAGCTAGCAGGACCAGTGGTCAGGGATGTTGGGAATTGTAGTTTCAAAACACCTGAAAGGCCGAGGTTGAGGAAGCCTGGGCTATAACTTTAGCTGAGCCATGAAACTCACGGGGTGACCTTGAGCCAGTCACTGCCTTTCAGCTGAACCTACTTCACAGGGTGGTTGTGGGGGTTAAATGAGGAGGGGGAGAACCATGTGCACTACCCTGATTTCCTTGGAGGAAAAAAGTGGGATGGGAATGCAACAAAATAGAACAGCTTCCAAATGAGATGGGCTTATTGACTTTGGCTGTAATCTTATGCATGCTTACCTAGTTCAATGGGGCTTACTTCTGAGTATGCAAAATCGAGGGTTGCAAACAGATTCACACTGTTTGCCTCCGCTCTGAAGGTTTTCTCCTGTAAGAGAGAAGCAGGGACATTTGGGTTTAATAGACTTGAAAATCCTCTGAGACCCTTCAACACGACCAAAAAAGAAAGGAGAGAAACTGGCGCTGCTGCTGCTGGCAGTGCAATCATGTCATGTAAAAATGAACCATCTGTGCAGAATTGCGTTGTTAATCTGAAGAATGACTGTTGGCAAAGATGTACTCAATTCATCACGTGAAATATGCTTCTGTACAGTTCTAGAGAACTGTAGGCCGGGCATAACTCTTTGGTGCTATTGAGCTGTCATAGTGGAGGTAAAAGACCAAGGCTCCTACTGTGAGCCAGGAAAGACTATTCCTTCTATCCAGCGTTTGTTTGTGGGTGCTGGGCTTGCTGCTTTGCTGCTCCTGTTTTAATTGAGCGTTTAATGGATTCGCTCTATACTCCTTTTCTCTGTAAAAGGAATTGTTATGTGGAAAAGGTAACCTATGGCGGGTCATCTTGAGTTCAGGGCAGGGGTTCCACAAACTTACATAAGTCACTACAGTGGTACCTCGGGTTAAGTACTTAATTCGTTCCAGAGGTCCGTTCTTAACCTGAAACTGTTCTTAACCTGAAGCACCACTTTAGCTAATGGGGCCTCCTGCTGCTGCTGCGCCGCTGGAGCATGATTTCTGTTCTCATCCTGAAGCAAAGTTCTTAACCTGAAGCACTATTTCTGGGTTACCGGAGTCTGTAACCTGAAGTCTATGTAACCTGAAGCGTATGTAACCCGAGGTACCACTGTACTTGCAACTTTAGATTCAATTCACACACTGTAGGTAACTTTAACTTGGAGGGGTTTCTCACTTCATGCTGTGTGTACTGTTTTTGTCTCCCACAATTCCTCTACCACAGGTGTGGGCAGACTTCAGACTTGGGGGGAATCTCCTTCAGGGTATTTTCTGCTGGCATCTCAAAATAGTGTCTGTAGGTAGGGTGGGGCTGAATGTATCCTAGGGAGCTTCTGAGGGACATGCTCAGCCCAGGAATCTGTTTTCAGTACCAGAACTGCTAATTCCTTGTGTTTCTCTTCTCACCCCCCTTTGCAACTATATGATTTATTACTCTAATTTGTTTAGAGGTGCTTTTTTTTGTTGCTGTTGATAAAGGAAAGTAGGAAATGCTTGCACCACTGCAAACAGGTCATATCTATCACAACCTGGGAACTTGGGAGGAGTGGGTAGGATTAATTAAAAAAACATTCTAGGCTTTGAGGAAGCTGGCTGCAGCAAGTATGTTTGCCACTCTTTTCTCCTCCCAACTCTTCCCATTAAATACATGAAGCAACTCTCTTGCTTTCGACTTTCCCCCCAAACATTAACATGAAGCTGAGATAAAAGTAGGGCCAGTGGCTTCCTGGCCCCTTTATTTACGGATGGGAACCGCTCTCCACTTGCCTGCTTTATATTTCTGGCACGAGGGTTAGAAAACTCAGGCTTGACTATCTGTGGTCCCCCCCCCCCCCAGTTCTGTTCAGTAGAAGTCAAAGACATAACATAGTTTTGTGGTGGTGCAAAGTCATATTCTTTATAGCAGTGCATTTTTTTTTAAGTGTGCTAAAAGCTAGGGTATTGCATCCATATGGGCTACAATGATAGAGGCCCACCCAGGCAGTCTGAGTGTTTCATGTGCACTTTGCATTGCGGTGCTCTGTGTCTTGGAAGTAGCTCAAGAAATGGGTGAACAATAACCACCATGATCTGACAACTGAACTGGGACTTGTGCCAACGCCCTTAACTCTGACGTTAGAAACTTGGTGTGGTGTAAACCTGACCAAGTACTATACTTTCTGATTTCATCGGCTGCTGTGGGATCCCTAATTGGATTAAACAGGTGAAAATAACGCTTAAGTTGTGCTCCTTCACTTTATGAATGAATAGCGAAATGGCTTAATGCTTTTAGCAGCACAGCTCCACTTGCTGCCTCTTAGGAAGTGAAGGCCGCTTTGACATAACATTGCTCTGAGTGGGACCAGGCCCAAACTTCAATTAAGTTAGTGGGGGTGGGAGGCAGAAATCTTAAAAAGACTTCTGTGTGGAGGTGGAGATAACTGTTTGATCTGCAGCATAGCTGACATGAAAATGTGCTTAGAGCTCTACAAACTGCAAGGGAAAACTTCCCTCTGAGCACTGTGGCGGCTGATGGGGCTCTTCAGGAGTGGAGTGAAAGGTGGGATTTCTGAGTACAGTGGTACCTTGATTTACGAACAGCCCTGTTAATGAACTATTTGGTTTACGAACTCTGCAAAATTGGAAGTAGTGTTCCGGTTTGTGAACTTTACCTCGATCTACGAATGGAAGCCAAACCGTGGAAGGGCGCTGGCGGCGGGAGGCCTCATTAGGGAAAGTGTGCCTCAGTTTAAGAGCATATTTGGTTTAAGAATGGACTTCAGGAACGGATTTAGTTTGTAAACCGAGGTACCACTGTAAAGAGCTTGGGGAACTGAAGCTCGGTAGGCAGCTGATGAAATTAGTGGCCCTGCAGCAACAGTATCCTGCTGCAACTTAATGCAGGAAATGGAGATGGTCAGCTCAGACACTTGCAAGGTTCTGACTTTAAACTGTTGAGGAGCAGGTTTATGTGCCAGTGACTAAAAGACTTGGAAAGTCCCTATACACTGGTATTGCATCTTAACACACATTTTACTTAGGCTTTCCGCTCTCGCCTGCAGCCTCTGTGTTTTTCAGGGGAAAGACTCGTCGAGCAGTGAGCCAAGAGGGGAAAAAAGAACCCCTTTCAAAAATGGTGTTCCTGCCACTTCTTTGCAAGGAGCATCCGCAGTGGGGCTGTAGCCAGTCTGAATTGCTGCTGATAGGAGGGTGCCTGTCTGATGGGGGAGACTCCGGCTAGCTCTGGTGGGATGCGGTGGCGGCATACCAGTTCCTCTTCAGGAGAGAAAGCTGCACAGATGGCTTGCCTGCTGCTAAAAGAGTTGCACTGGTTATGAATCGGCTATCTGGCTAAGTTCAAAGTGCTGGTATTGGTGTTCAAAGGCCACCAGGATACCTAAAAGACCGTCTCACCCCTTTACATACCTAACCAATCACTGTCTTCTATAGAAGAGGGTCTCCTGCAGATATGACCTTATCAGGTGATCCATTCTGTATGACGTAGTATTTGGACCTTCATTGTGGTGGCATCCTCCCAATTATACACCAGACCTTTCCTTTTTGACTTCCATTGAAGGCCTTCCTTTTTCAAAAAGCCCTTTAAGTCGATTTTATTTTTTTTTATATCCCAATCTGTATCAAATCTGATGCAGTTTTTACATATGACTTTATTGAGCATTAATGGCTTTGTGATGTTTCATGGGATGCCCTTCATAAACTTTAAAAGAGAGACTAACCTTGCCTATGTGTGGTAAATGTCTAATAGGTTGTGTGCAATTCTTAGAGTCCCCCTAGTCAGACATGTGTCACTGGCCTGCTTGGTGTGGGCGCTGAAGAATGTCTGTGCTGGGCAGAGGAAGCAGTGCTGCCCATCTTTCCTCTCTTGGAGGTGATGTTGAACTAATGAAGGCAGACTGGTCTCTCAAAGCTGCACAGGCAAACCATTTCCTCGGTTAATGTTGATGAGAGAGAAAGCATCCCTTCCCACAAGTACTGGTCCCAGTTGATCACTTATTCCTTGCAATTAAATCGTGGTTGTGGTCAAATTCTTCCAGGACTGACAGCCAAGATGGCCTCTGGCCTCTCCCCTATTTTTGCTTAGTCTAGGTGACTGGGGACTAGATGACCCTTGGGGTCCTTTCCAACTCTGCAGTTCTACGGCTCTATTCTGTAATTTTTGGCCCAGGGCTTAATGTGGTGGCCACAATAAGTGTGACTTGGGTGAAACATTGGTTGTTTTGTTAACAAAAATGGGAACATCTTTTAGGCTTATGCCATGAGTCTTGTGTTGCTTGCCTTGATCAAAATGCTTTAGAATCATAGAATCATAGAGTTGGAAGAGACCACAAGGGCCATCGAGTCCAACCCCCTGCCAAGCAGGAAACACCATCAGAGCACTCCTGACATATGGCTGTCAAGCCTCTGCTTAAAGACCTCCAAAGAAGGAGACTCCACCACACTCCTTGGCAGCAAATTCCACTGTCGAACAGCTCTTACTGTCAGGAAGTTCTTCCTAATGTTTAGGTGGAATCTTCTTTCTTGTAGTTTGGATCCATTGCTCCGTGTCCGCTTCTCTGGAGCAGCAGAAAACAACCTTTCTCCCTCCTCTATGTGACATCCTTTTATATATTTGAAACAGATTAGTTTGAGGAAGTAGCCAAAATATTGCGTGTATCAAAAAGTTTTAAGAGGTGTACCAGGCTATGAACATTAAAATGTTTTTCCTTTGACTAGAACACTTCCTTTTTCTGAATGCTGCTCTCTGCTTGTGATGGAGCCTGGCTGAACTGTGCATACTTGCATGAATGGGATTTCCTCTCACCAATCCTGTTATGTGTGGTGACTCTGGATGGTTTCAGATGGAAAAACTGAATCAAAGTGTACATTGTAGTCAAGGATTTCCCCAAACAGTAATCACTTCTGATTACTTCCAACGTGTTGGTTTTGGCTCTAAAAAACCCGTATACACTGTGGCTTTAGTGTTTGGCGTGTGCTGCACAGAAGATATTTGGCTCTACCATATCTAAATAGCTTCACTTATCTGTGCAGTCCTCTGCTGGTGTGATGGCTGCCTGGAAGCATCTTGACCCACACCCAGTGTGAGTAAACATGCTTGCTAATGCTATGGATGTTGGTCTTGGAAGCTCCCCAGACTTTGTCACTAACCATGTAGCCTCTACTACTGACTGATTGCTAAAACAAGCTGCTGCAGATGAGTAACTGGAATCTTATGAGACTTTTTTTGAGCATATTTATATGGATAAGGAACAAATATTGGGGTAAGCTAGTTGTGGGAAAGATGGCCACTTCCAGCTTCACCCCAAGCCTGCCTGGGTCAGATGAACCCTTTCCTGTTTCTGGGAGGTCTGCAGTATTTTGAGTCTGCATGCTTCTACCACTGGGGATAGATAAGGCCAGAAGAAGTCGTTGGACTACAGCTCCCATCAGCCCCTGCCAGCATGGCTAGTGATCAGGGATGGTGGGAGTTATCTGTCAGCAATTTCTAGGGGTCACCACATTGGCCATCCCTCTATGAAGCAGCCTTATCTGATCCCCCACAAAGGGGGTGAGCATTGAGGGCTGTGTCTCTGAATAGTTCCTATGAACAGTATTCAGTGATCAAAACTGAGCAAGATGACAGAAGTTTAGTTGGCTGGTTTTGAGACCTAGCTAGTCTGTTAACTGAGATACCAAATAGTTTGATAGTTGGTATTGCAAAGCCTTTGGCTTTAGGAAAAGCTAAAAATAAACTCCCATTGTGCTTTTAGATAATGAAGCCTAAGGAGATCTTGCACAACTCCCTTTAGAGTGCAAGTCAAAGGTGTTTGGGCTTACTTATTCCAGGTCTACTATCCTGACCTCTGATAGGTCGCTGTAATGACAACTTTAGGAAATGTAGACTGCCAAGAAGGTTCTGATTTTTTGTTCTGGACAGGGTACTTATAGCAGAACATACTGCAGAGACATATAAAGGATGTCAATGCATATATCTAGTTAATAGTGTTGGGGGGGAAAGCACATTGCTCCTTGATTGCTGCCTTCCTGGCAACAGGAACCTCAGATGTAGTTATGATCTGTGCATGAACTGTAAATAACAATAATTGTCTGCATAAACCATACATTTTGACAAGACTCTGTATTATCAAATGAGAGGGTATTGCGATCAGGAAATGAGAAGGCAACAGTGGCTTGAAGCTGACATAATTTTCACTTTTAATGCCACAGACTCAAAGCCAAACATACCTTAAAGATAACTGCAGGCTTAAATGAGGGTCTGTTGTCTGCAATTAGCCACTGAAATAGGAGTGTGATGTGCATAGTCCTTTCAGCCTCGATCTGAGGTGGCACTTTTCTTGTCCAATTGGAAAGCTTTTGCATACTGTTGATGTTTACTTGTAGTAGAATAATATGCATTGAACTATGGCATATGTTGATGATGGTTGTGTGGGTTGCCAAGCCCACAGAACCTGCATTCTTCTGCCTAGTCTTTCTGGAAGGATTGTTTTATTTCTGTCTTGCAAATGTCAAATTGCAAGACTGGCCTGTCTTTTGGAGAATGAAGTTCTGGTTTGTGAGAGGCCTTTTGTGGGAAAAATAACAAAAATGACTGTGCAGTTTATCATGCACTGAATCCTCCTAGTATTTTCCAGTTCTGTTGTAATTTCAATCTTCCCCCAACTTGGTGTCCTCCAGGGTAATGATCACCTGAACTCACTTCAGCCGGTGTAACAGGGATTGTAGAAGTTAGTCCAGCAACAGCTCGAACTCACTAGTTTGGGGGAAGTCTAGTGTATTTTAGATACACTTTCATTATAGGTTTCTATACTTTCATGGGGCCATGCAAGGTCTCTGTAATGCTTCATACTTTCTGCCCCCCACCTACCCCCCAATTTCTTTGACAGCAGAATAATGGGAGTTTCTACTTATATTTACCTAAATTTAATAGCATTGGAAGATGGAGCATCTTATCTTACTCTGCAGTCATATGCTGTTGTTTTTGAAGTGAGGTTTGAAGACATGGAAGCATGCTAGGCAGGAGCCATAAGTGTAATGTGCCTTTCAAACAGTTATTTTATATGGCTGCCTTATTCCAGAGCCAGTGGCTAGTTGATCTAGATACACAGCTGGAGAAACATAAATACTTACCAGAGTGTTCAGTTCCTTTTGAGGCCTGGTGATGGGTGTCCTGTCTCCTTCCTAAATGGCCTATCACTGGAATTGGTGTTTTCTCATTATTACTGGTTTTCATGTGCTTGTGATGTGTAGCCACTGACTAGTGCATTTTATTCGTGAGTGGGCACTCTAGTATTTTGGAGAACAGGCTGGTGGGATGCCTGCCTGAAAATAGACCCATGAACAAATATTCCAGACAGCAGCCTCAAGCAGCAAACTTGAAGGGGGGCATTGTTGTATGTCTAGACGGCTACCATGAACAATGTTGTGGGAAAGTTAATACCTCCTTTCTGGCATATCTGAAACGAAATGCAGGATTGGAGCCTTAATCAGCAGGCAGGGCTACTTCAGAACACTATTGTACTCATACGGATGCCGGCAGATTACTGGGAATGGTGGGTGAATGTGGGTGCAGACGTAACCGTAGGGCTTTCCAGACAATAGTTTTCCACACCATTAGCTGTTGACTATAGTGCTACCTCTGAAAGCACTTTCCTGACATTGTTTTGCACAACCTGTCTTGGACTGTCCCACCCATTCTGTTCCTGATTTGCCACTTTGGCCTAGCAGCGATTAGCACAGTTGTCATGTGCTTCCATTGGAGCTGCCACTCCTTGACCGTCAGCGCCCTGGGGGTCCAGTGGTGCAGCTCTGTTCTTCAGGATGCTTGCTTCCACAGCATCCATTCACCCGTCGGTTGTTGGATGAATGAATCTAGAACCTCTGAGGTAGGTTTGGGCTGCCAAAGCAATTGCCATAGAAGCGAGAACAAGAGATCTCTATAAACGCTTGAGGCAGTTTGCGTCGAAATGAATGGCAGCATTGGGGGGTTGGGGAATGATTCTGTGCATGTGCAGGTTAGAATGGCTGCCAAGAAAATCTCCTGGGAATATGTGCATCAATATTCGGATGCTTCGCAAGGCAGTGTTCCAGTCAAGCCAGTAACGAAGCAAACTGATCTCATCTGCAGCTTCTGGGGGCTTTTCACATACATGGGGAACAAGGGGTGACCTCACTAATGTGGAATGTGCTTTGCTTAGTGTAAGAGGGGGGCCTGTTCTCCTGGGGGTTATTGTCAGCATAACAAGTTTGCCAATGATGTCATTTATTCAAAGCGTGCTGCAGCAGGCTTTAAGGACACAGGAAGGGCTTTTCGAAAGCCGAAGTTTCTGTTTTAGTAATAAATGGAACCAAAGTTCTCCAGGTTGGCTGTAGAAAAAAATTATTGGAAAAGGAAGCATTACCAGGTGCTGACTCCTGTTATACCACTAGTGCCAGATCTTAATAGCCAAAAGGCTTTTAACTCAGAACTGTGGTGGTAAATGTTAAGTGATAACAAGAACTGGTGAAAAACAAACCTGGTGAAAAACAAACAAACTGGTGAAAAACAAACCTTAAATAGTGATCACTTAGCAAATGTGCCACAGATGTTTTCTAAGCAGCATAATAAAGCACCCCAGTATTCATTGCCATACTTCTTGGTATCCCACTTGTTGGCATCTGTCTCAAGAGGTCAAATTAGCAACACCAAAGTAACCTCCCTGAGGCACAAGCCTGGGCAGTGTGTGTGGAGCTCCTGGGCTGCCCAGGGTACAAGACTGTCCCCCCAGACTCACTGCTGTGGTTCAAAGGAAAGCAGAGCAATGCTTTTGGCACCAGAGTGGCTGCAGGAGTTGTCAGAAGGAGGGGTACAAGGCACCATCCAGCCGTCTTAAGGACTATACTCTGGATATGTGTAGGGTTTATTCTTGAGCCATTTCTTCTCCTGAAGTTATCTCATAAGGCAGTGGAGTTTTAAGACCAGAGTTTTCCTTCTAGATGGGCTACCTTCCCAGGTTGATGAGCTGCCTTCCAGGCTGTTGGAGTCACTATTGGTCTCGTTTGCTTAATCCACCAGAGCCTGTGTTTGCATGCAGGGGGAAGTCGCTAACTTACCAAGGGTTTGAGACCCATTGGTTATCCTCACCTGATTTAGCTGGCCAATGGAAGCCATTCCCGGGGTGTGGCTACTGTCACATGCTGACAGCTTCTAGGAGCCACAGGTGAGAGCTGAGTGCAGGGTGGGGACTAAAGGTGGACAAACTACCCCAGGAGGGGTACAATGTGTCCCCTACCAGAGTTACCATCCCTCCCCTAACACCCCATACCTTTTTATTTAAAATGCCTACCGCATTCTTTAAAAGCACAATCCTCTTGGGAGAAGAACTTTGTTAATGTGGCTCTGGTTGCATGAGGTTCAGTTCACACTGCTTTCAGGGCATGAAAACCTCGCACTTCTGATAGTTGTGTGCTTTATTCGGAAGCAGGTGATGGGAAAGTTAGCAGTTCTGTTTTAAGGGGCAGTACTGCAAGAGTAAACAGGGCAGGGTATGTTGCACACAGTACTTGCAGGACTAAATTATCCCTGCAACCATAAGATTTGACACTTGCTTAACATGGAGACAGTATTTCCATGTTAAATACTACAGCTGCCGAAGACAAATGGCTTGTGACTCTGTACTAAGAAACTTGAAACTTTTAACACTTATTCAAAAACTGAATGCCTTCTGAGAAGCGGGAGGTGCAGGGAATAGTGTTGGTCCTTGTGGTGGTTGGGGGTATAAAAATGCTTCCTTTAAACATGGCGGGGGGCCCTAAACCATGGGCAGTATTTGGCACCCCCAAAAGGTGGTTCTATGTGCTCTCAAGATGTGTTGCCCATTCAAAATTATATTGAAATTTTAAATTTTACTGATTTTAATGATAAATGGTTTGAAATGATACACAATGGTGGATGGGACCATTGCAAGGGAGCTTTGAGAACTGCAGTTCGCACCACACGCATACTAACACTTAAGCCGCACCCATTTTGATATGTGGCCCCCGGAGGGTTGACAATGGGTCATTGTGGCCCTTTACCCAAAGAACCACAGGTCTGCAACAGACTCTTGATTTGAAACATTATGTGCAACAGCTTTATCTTCCCTAGCTTACAAGACACCTAAGGATGCATTTGCAGCCGTTGTAAGGCAACTGATGATGGTGGGATTGGGATCTTGTGGCCCTCCACTTGGTGGACCAACTCACATCAGCTGCAACCAGGGATGGTGGGAGATGTAGTCAGCAGCATATGGATAGCCACATATCCCCCCTCCCCCACGCCTTTTCTAGTATGTTCTGTATTTTCCTTGTAGTATCATACTCTGGCTCTTTCCTGGTGTCTGACATGATTAGTGTCCAGAATGGTAGCTGTGTTAGTCGTCTTGTAGCAGGAACATCAAATTCATGTGGCACTATCAAGTCCAACACAGTTATTATGATGCAAGCTTTCATGGACTCTGACCACATGATTCTTCATTGAAAAAAATTAAATGGTGGAGTTCTGCCTTCAAGGAAATCTGCAAATATCATTTCTGTTCACAACTCTGGTCAAGAACTTGCACTGCTCCTTCCTGCAACATGTTTATTCTCTGTATTAGAGTTCAGAGATCATGTCCTCTTGCTATGGTTTGGACCCACAGGCTTGAGTCTTAAGGTCAGGAGGAATGACCTGTTTCAGACATTACAATTCATGTCCTACCATAATGGGAACAATTTGTAGTGAGACATGTGTACATATGCTTCCATTGTTTGATGGGTTGCAACATGCCATTTCCTGCAAACTCAACAAGCTGTGTCTGATGTTGCCTAAAAGACCTATCTTAAGGTAAGCATATGAAGCCAAACTCTCTGCTACAACTAGAAAGCTATTTGGCACCCTCTGTTTGCTTTGTCATGGGGGTGATCTGCTTCCAAGGAATACATCTTGCAGATTTAGGCATACGGGGCTGCTGCGACTTTCCTCAGAGCTATTTCTGGCCCTAAACATCATTTATGCTTTTAATGGTCATGTTTTAGACTCTTCTCTTGTCAGTTGTTGGTGGTTAACATGCTGGTGAACAATGTGCCTCTCCCAAGTGAAAGTGTGTGTGGATGTGAGCATATGCACACCGCATTGCAGCTTGGTAGCAGAACCTTTGCTGCTGCCCCTTTAAGGCATATAGTTATCTTTGCTCAGTTCTAGTGGTTCTTTTTTTTTTAAGACTATAAGCTAACAGTATCAAAAATAACATGCTTCGGGTTTATAATAATCTCAGTGGTCACATTTGTCATTTTAAATTGCAGATGTGTCACTAAGCTCTGCCCTCTGTTCCAGCGGAAGGCCCCCCAAAAAGAGAAGTTACCAAATTATGTACTACTAGCTGCTGTTATCTGCATGATCTGCATCAAACCTACAAAACTGGCTTACACTTTTTCATGGAAAAATAGCTGTGCTATACCAGTGGATTTCAGCCCTTATAGGTTAGAGGAAACACACCTTTTTTTTTAGTACCATGGCCCTTTCTCCCTGCCCCCGACATCCACCTACAAAGTAAAAACAGGTAATGCATTGTAAAATGTCGACAGACCGAAGCATCCTGTGGAACCCTGGTTGGAACAGGTGCAGTCTAGAAGGCAGCAAGCACGTTAGGTGGGTGTCTGCCTATAAGGCACACCGATTTTCAATGCCTGGAACCCAATGTAAGGGGTCACCCAAGGTGAAGGGGTGCATTTGGCTACAGAAGAAATCTTGCCATTTAAGTTATAGCGGCTCGTACCCTTTGAGATACTGTAAATCCCTTAAAAGAAATGTCATGGCTGGGGATACTGTATATTAGTTGTATTGCCTTGTAGAATAATAGCAGTCGCTCTGAACTATTACCTTAAGTTTTAAGTACAAAATTCTGAAGGCTTGCCAAAAGAAGTATATTACTCTCCGGACTCTTATAAATGATATATCTGTCTCCCTTCCCTAGGAGCCTTGGGTGTAATCTCAAATCAAGGCTAGGCCAGGAGAAGACAATCTCAGTGACATTATTCTTACTGAAAACATTGCAAAAAGTGGATACCCTTTCAAGAAATAGTGTGGCTAACAAATACAAATGAACTGGAGGGAATAAATTTGAATTTGCACACCATAACCGAGCTAATGGCAAGTATGATGACCTACAGTGGAACAGATAAGAGTGTGTGCTGCCCAGAGCCTGCTGGTAACCATTTAAAAAAATCCAACATAAAATCTTTTCTAGAAGTCTTACTTTTCTGCCCTCAACTTACTTTGCTCCCGGCATTTGAAAGCAAGCCCAAATAAAACCTATTTTGGGATTGGGTTAGGAAAATCTAGGGGAATGGGCTGCCATTGCAATGGAGCAGCCTTTTTCTCCATGCTCTTGCTGTTCTAAACTAAGTGCACAGGTGGCACAGTCAAGATGCCCGGTTGCAAAGTGGTGTCAAAGTTTGGAGTTTGTGCTGTTTGCTGAACTTCTTACTTCCGCAATCCAAATGGTTGCTATGCCAGTGAATATGTTAAAAACTGGCCGCCTTTCATTCTTGGCCAGTAGTACTACATAGGAGCTTGTTCACCATAGGTATGTCCCAGTTTGGTCACTTCCAGAGTCATAATATCATAAAACTGTAGAGTTGGAAGGGACAAGGGTCATCTAGTCCAACCCCCTGCAATGCAGGAATCTTTTCCCAATGGTGGGGGGACGGGACTTGAACCCATGATCTTTGAGACATAAGAGTCTCATGCTCTACCGACTGAGCTATCCTGTTTCAAGTGACAGTTAACCTGGTTTTCTCAAGCTGCCAAATCTAGCTTATAACAATACTGTCCTTCCTTTGCCCATGTTCTAATCTCTTGCTTGTGCCAGTAAAAAGCATAGTTCTTCTGTGTATTCCAGTTACCAAGGAAACTGACCACAGTAGCTTATCGTGTTTCCGCTAATTGTCTTAAGAGCAAATTCCTTGTAGTACTGCAGCAGGACAAAGTTTTAAAAATTAACAAATTCACTTGGCTCTTATGCAACGAGGTTTTAGTTGGTGTTTCCCAGTCCAGGCACTCGTGAATAAACTGAGCCGTAAACTTTGTTTTGAACGCTGGTCCTGCAGAATAGTGGGTTGCTGGCAAAATGAGAACTGTTTCTAAGCAAGGCAAAAGGTCCTATTGGGTGTCCCTCTGGACTGTATTGAAAAGAATTCTTTGGATTGCAGTGCAGAACTTAACCCAGCTAGTAAATGCCAGTAATAAACCTGAATAACTATTCTTCTTTTTAGTAAATATTTAACGCTGGTCTCCAGGATCTGACTAATTCCCAGGGCTGCAAGTACATACTTGCGAGATTGCTCAGTTTCAGTATTGATCAGTCATGTGAGGTTCACAATGGGCTGTAAGTAGGAGAAGGGGCAGAATGTTACTACTGTTTTGAACGTGTCCCAGGTTTTAAAATGCATGGGTAACAACCAAAGATGTATTTGGAACAAAATACAGCAATTTCTGAAGAACTAGCATCTGAAAGTGAGAAGGCCACCAGCTAAATACTTAAACAATTCACTGTTGGAAAAACAGAAAAGAATCAGTGGTACCTCGGATTACAGATGCTTCAGGTTACAGACTGCTAACCCAGAAATAGTACCTCAGGTTAAGAACTTTGCTTCAGGATGAGAACAGAAATCGTGCGGCAGTGGGAGATCCCATTAGCTAAAGTGGTACCTCAGGTTAAGAACAGTTTCAGGTTAAGAACGGACCTCCGGAACGAATTAAGTTCTTAACCCGAGGTACCACTGTATGCTAAATTTGTCTTCTCTGGCATAGACTGTTGGCTGATCGGCAGAGATGCCTTGTCGCTATTTTACTTTGGATTGTTTTATTTGCTGTTTTAATGTTCTGTAAGCGGCTGTTATAAGAATTTTAAGATCTTAGATATATAATAAATGTTCATAAATATACCAAGCAAACACGTACATAAATATATAAACCACATATCTGAAGCAGCACAGGAGGGCAGTCCTGAAACCATTTTAACTCCCAAACTGACCAAATGTTTCTCTGCAAGGAGGGAGAAAATGAAAAACAAAACAAAAAAACCTTCCCATTGTCCCAGGAATTAAGTAATTACCATCTCAAAAGGAATGGCCAGACTACCAGAAAAGGCAATCAGATAAGGCATTATTAGATAACCTGGCAGTCAGGAAAAACAACCATCAAATTTCTGTTGTAGACCGCCTTTTCTGTGATGTAGGTATTATGTTTGTGGGGGGTGGTCTTGGGCTACACCCCTTCTGTGATGTATGTTTGGAGGGGTGGTCTGGAGCTCCAGGGCAGGAAATTTCAAAATGGATATATAAGGCCTTGCTCGCCATTGTTCGAGGTCCTCCTCCTCTCTCCTGCATGTGGGGGAGCACCCTGTTGCAACAGTCAATAAAGATCAAGCTTACTAGCTGCTTTGCTTCTCAATATTTTCTGGTTGGTCTCTGTTATTTTCTCCTACTGATAGAGAACCTACAAAAGGACTCTATATGGGCTCTTGGGTACATAAGGGAAAAGGAGGTTTTTTTAAACTTATATCACTGCATAAAATGATATAGAAATGAAATGAATAATAATGATTAAATCCCCACTCCCAAAAGGCAACTAGACAGTCTTGTTGTTATGACTGTAACCTAGGTTGAAGGTGCCATTTGGCGATGAGCTTATATATGAGCTTCTAACATCTCTGGATGTTGTTGGACCATAACTCCCATCATCTGTGACCATTGGCTTTGCTCACTGGGGCTGATGGTAGTTCAGTAACATCTGCAGGGCCACAAGTTATCTGCCCATGCTCTAGTAGTCACCACACAAGATCATATGAAGGCCTCCCCATTGTGTTTCTATAGACAAAGTTTCAGCCTTAAATTTGGAGCACTTTTGACCTGCGGTGCCTGTATCACTATGGAAGCCTGCTTCTGCCTGAACCGTTTTTCTTCAGCGATGCTTGTAAATCTTTCCCTGTGGCTAATGGCTCTAAGCAACTTAATTCATTACATTATAGCTCTATCCCTCAGCAGCTAATGTAGGGCCTGCCCTCATATGACTGCATATTATCTAAAATACAATGATTCAGTTAGGAAATGCGCAGGTAAAAATTTGGTGCCTGCTACCCAAACACATTACTAGTTTTTGAGTAATGTTTTCCACATAAGGAGGAAATGTCCAATTGATGCAAAATGAGTTCCTACGCTTTGTGCAACTTTTGGTTCACTGGTGGAATTACTTTAGGCTACTGTTTTCTTGCAAGCCCTTGCAGCTGTGAGAAGAGGCGATTGCACACCCCTTTAAATCTTGTGTGCATATTGTAGCTGTATAGTGAATTGAGCAATGACCCTCTGGAATCCGACAAATCTCAGACTTCACATGTTAAAAGACCAGTATACAGCCACAAAGCTAACTTATCTTCAGCAGTTGATCTGCCCTGCAAACCTGGCTTGTGTGAGTCTACAGCTTAAATGTTGCAATTTAGCTAAACACTGTTCCTCAGGCCATGTACCTTCATAACCTCCAGACTGAAGCTGTATTGCTTAAGCAGTTTTAAGATGCAATTAGCAAATGACAGTGGCTAGATAGAAATTCCACTGTTAATTGCTCATGAAATATATTTGTGCTTGGGGCCAGAAACATTACAATAGAGCTTTGCAATGGAGAGAGTTGTGTAGGTGAGCAGTTCATCATGAAACAGTGCCTTGCCATAGTGAGTCCTGGTCTAGTTCAAACAGACCTTTTATGACTCCCACAACCTGGCAAACAGGGCTTGATGTGAGACCTGAAAACATTTGGATAAGAGTTCCCAGGAAGGACTTGTTTTCATAACTATGAATCTTTAAATTTCCCTGGTTTTACTACTGGCCAGAGTGGTGGTACACTGCAAACCGCTTCATAAGTTTTCTAGCCACAGTATCACTTATGCAAGGACTCATTTTAAGTTTATTTCTAGATCTCTTTGGTACCCAGTCACAAATAGCTGTTGTAAGAGTCAATATAGAAATGAACTTCTGCTTATTATACATCTGAGCTAGGTAGTAGGGGAGCTTGCTTTCCAAGTCCAGTTTGGTCGGCATGATGCCATCTTAGAAGCACATTCATCTGTTTGGCTTTCTAGTTTCATCAACATACTGATGTGTCCCGGGCAAATGTTGACTAGGGTACTAAGGAATTTCTAGCTTGGTAGAAAGTCTGCTACTAATAGTTGAGTGATAAGGAGGGGAAATACTTGGACTAAAAATAACATTTTCATATTGATGTGAATAAGCTATAGCCAAATATGCAACAGGATGGAAATCTAGCTGTGTAAATGCTCCTTTTGTTCTCTAAATTCTAATTGACTGATGCAGATTGGTTCCATCTTATCTTTGTATATCTTATTCACCATGTAATGTACCTTTCTACAATAAAGGTTTGTGTTGTAGAAATAGCTCATGGTTTCCACCCCCATTTTTAAACCCAAGGTCTGTTGCTGTCAATCTGCTTAATTTTGCAATTATGCAGATTCTGTAAGAAGCCGAGTAAAACATTAATCTTAAATCATGGTTGATTCATTCTTGAAGAGAAACCAGAGCAAAGGATTTCTACCCTTTTGGGATATCTACCAGTTAGTATGATTGGCTTACTGCCACTTACTATGGAGGTACATAATGACAGTATATAAACTGTTTAATGCTCTCCTGCAGGGCAAGGTCTTGGATTGAGGACAATAGGCTGGTTTTCCTAGTTCCTAAGTTCACATTATTATGATCTGTCTGTTGACAGTAGACAGCTGAACTGATGGCTTGAGAAGAAACTTGGAGGAAGCTATTCCAACCATGAATCAAGCATATAGTAAAATATGTGTAAAAAGATCTCAATAGAGACCTAGGTAGATAGAAAGAACCAATGTGTCTGCCAATCATACTATCCACCTGACTCTTGCACAGTTAGATTGGTGGCTCAAAGCAAATGCCTTTAAGTGGATTTGTTACCTTTCGGCTTGACTTGATGCCTAATGGTGGTTTTAGTAGTAATTCTGTGTTTTTTATTCTTTTCAGATAGTAAAGCTATTGTTGATGGGAACTTGAAGCTAATCCTAGGGTTAGTATGGACCCTTATCCTCCATTACTCAATCTCTATGCCAGTGTGGGAAGATGAAGGAGATGACGATGCCAAGAAACAGACTCCCAAACAGAGACTCTTGGGATGGATTCAGAACAAAATCCCTTATTTGCCAATAACGAACTTCAACCAAAACTGGCAAGATGGCAAAGCATTAGGTGCCCTCGTTGATAGCTGTGCTCCAGGTAAGCCTCCTGTGACCTTTCCATTTTCTCGTCCTATGTCAGTAGCAGTTGATTTATCTTTACCTTAATGTAAATAAGATTCCCTTGCTTTGAGAAGTCCTGTACTTGACTAGAAGTCACACCTATGAAAACAAGCTCTGAATGTATGTATAAAGGTCAGGAACCCTTAATGAAGGTTTCACAACTTTTAGGCATTGCTTTAAGTTTGCAATGCATCTTAAAAAAAACGTGGTACATATTTTATGGATTCCAAAATGTCCAATCATAGTTGTAGAGCAGCATGTTTTTAGCTTCATGAAGTATTGCACGGATTCTAAAAGCTTTTCTACAGTTGTTTTTTTAACAAAATATCCTGGATGTAAATGCAGCAGTAGAGCTGTTTTGTCATGTTTAGGAGCTGTTACCTTTGCTGCACCCAACTCTCAAGTGAATGAGAAGACTATTGGCTAAGTTAACCTTCTTGTGGTCCAGGAGTAGCCAGTAGCCTTATAGATGTTGGCACCTGTTTCTGAGCTAAGAAAAGAAGGATGTTGGTGGACTAAACCTGCTGTCACACCTGGCCCCTGGCATGGGCTGGTGAGAGTGTGGCAGAAGACCATTTTGGCTACTCCTGCTGTTGTCAATAGGATTCTTTAGCATCTTAATTATTCCTACATCTGGCGAAACAATTTTCTGAAAATTCAGCACTGCAGAACAACTTGATATGTTGCATCCAGAATTTTAGGGTAATCTTTAGTTATTGCATATTGTAAATTAGAGAGCAGTTTGTCAGAATCATAGAATTTGACAAGACTGGCAGCATGGAGTACTGGAAAAGCCAATCAGTGGTTCAGCAGTCAGTGTAGCTCAGTGGATAGTAGGCAGTTCCAATCTGTTAGATCTCAAGTTGGCATTGAATCTCTTTCCTCACAAATGGGAGTGGAGGCCAAACAATACGAACAGGATTTATCTCACATATCCCGACTTTGCAGTCTGAAAACCTTGGCTACCAGGCTATAATCTCCACTTCCTACTCTGTGCAATGCAAGTTCACTTCTGTGGGTAGACCTTGACAGTTACTAGCTAAAATTAAAATGGATTTATGCTAAGTGTAAATGCTTCTGGATGTTCATAGTATTTTAAACTTTATAATTCTTGCTTCGCTAGGTCTCTGCCCAGACTGGGAAACCTGGGACCCTAAGAAGCCTGTTGATAATGCCCGTGAAGCCATGCAGCAAGCAGATGACTGGTTGGGTGTCCCTCAGGTATGGAGAAATGACATTTGAGCTTCAGCATATCCAGGTGGCAGGATATGAACAGAAATAATTTTATTTGTAGCATCTAATGGTCCCTGTCCCACAAATTCAGCTGTGCTTAAAAATACCTGCTGTGGTATGAAATGTCACCGTCTCAAATGATTAAAAACAGTGGGTCCTCCACACAGAATGCATTTGATGAGACTGCTTCCTTGAAAGCTGCCTCTTTAGTGTACAGTAAGCCCGTAACTTATGCATGGATTACATTCTGGGAATCGTGCCTAAATCCAAAGTTCTGTATAGTCAGTAGATATTGGGTTCAATAGTAGGTGGAATTGTCAGTTGCTACCTGGATCCCCACGCACCCCTTTTATTTTTATTTGCCAAGCCTATAAAGCTGAATGCACACAAATTAAATGTGCGTAAATCGCAAACTTAACAATATTGAAAAACTCGAGTTTCCCCTCTCATTTTTACAAGGATAGAAGCCCCCCTTCCTTTGAAGGTTGGGCTGGATCCTATCCCTGCTACAAACACTTCTATAGTTTCCTCTGCCTTTATTGAAATAACTCATATTATGCCCATTATTTGCTCCAGTAAAAGAAAGCACTTACGACTTACTGTGCCAGTGCCAGTTCAATAAATCTGCCTAGCTGCCCTCAGTGTTTCTCTATGATTAAGACCCTTGACTGCTGTTATGTACTTTTGAATTGGTGCTACTGAAGTATTTATTTGACAGGTCTAAAAAAGTTTGTACATAGAACCTAGGCAGTGTTTAGGAGGACCAGTCAAACACTCAGTGCAACTTCAAGCGATTGGCTGTTGGGAGGAAGGTGGCATCATAACTTTTTGACTGGCAGTAGTAACTCAACTGCAAATGACCCAGCTACAAAGCTATGTGTGCAAATAAAGTGCACTTATTCTATGTGTTGCAATTACATGGTGTAATCTTTCAAAAGGCTTCTTGCTCTTAGGAATGCTACTGGTTAACTATATTTCCAAACTTAGGGAATTATTGGACGGGCAGTGATTTGGATGTGTAGGAATGTATGAGGGGAACTCTGATTCACATGTTGTAATCCTAATGAAAATATGTCCTTATTTACCAGGTCATCGCTCCTGAAGAAATTATACACCCTGATGTGGATGAACACTCTGTAATGACCTACTTGTCACAGTTTCCCAAAGCAAAGCTGAAACCTGGTGCTCCTTTGAAGCCTAAACTTAATCCAAAGAAGGCAAGGGCGTATGGCAGAGGTGAGGTCTAAAATGCTTTTCTTATAACTTGAGTGTATTGTTCTTATATCTTGTTACATACATTCAAAACTATTGTGCTTTAAAAGACCAGTTGGTTCTTGCTCTATTTAAATCATGTTTGTAGACAAACTTCCAAGTTGCATTGTATTCGTTTAAGTGCAGTGCTGAGATTCAGAAAAATGTGGAAATAGTCCAAAAGCCACTCCTACTTTCACATGAAAATTTCCACTTTGAGAACCAGTTTAGCAAGGCTATTGTCTTGTTCCAAGATGTAAACCTAAACTTCATCATTGTCAGTGGGAGGGGACCAGTTGCTTCGTGTAAGGCGGTGGTTCCCAAACATTTTTCCATCATGGACCACCTGGAAAGTTGCAGAGGGTCCAGTCCACTTAATAGTATTTCTGCCTGTTGTTGCAATTGTAATGCACTATGTTGTATGGTTTTTAATTGTATTTTGATTGCTGCTTTTATTTTGCACAAATTGCATTAGTTTGTATTCAAATAATACAGCAAAATACAATATATCTTAGTGTATAATAAGATGGTAAGAATGTTGTTACACTGAAGTTTGCATGACTGCCCAGGCAGAGGGTTAGCAGGAAGGCATCCTAGGCAGGTGGGTGGATGGTTGGCCCAGGTGAGTGTTGTCAGTGGTGGCTGGTCTGGGCAAGTTATAGAGGAACATGCAGGGTTCCCCAGCAAGCATCCTGCTGTTCTCTCTGTGAACCTCATCAGCTTAGATGACCTCAGTATGAGGCGTGTCTGTTGAGGATCTTCCCTAACCTATTCCCCCATAGCTGACTTGGGCTGCCATTTGGCCAAATTGTAAGAGGGGCATGGCTTTGGGTGGGTGAGTGACAAGGGAACTGGAGGTGGATGGAGGCAGGCTGGTGAGTGGGGTTGGAATGAGAGGGGATGGGATGAGAACCTGGAGAGGAACAGAAGTTCTACCGAAGGAAAACAAGCAGGGATCCTGTGAAGACCGTGAAAAACTAATGCACGTGTATATTCAGAAAGCTACCAAAATCTAGGGTATCAATGTTGTCAACGTTAGATTTTTTTCTTTCAGCAACACTAAGAATTTTAAAGCAAACTCCTAATTCATACATCACAGATGAATACACAGTTCAGAAAGTAATTATCTTTCGAATTCTGCACACCTCCAAATTTTGAAATACAATTCGCTACTCAAAACCTGTGCGTTAGGATAAAATTCATTTGGAAATATGTACATTGAGAAGTATGTATTTACATTTATTTTAAAATTGCAGTTTAATGTGACGGTAGCTAAGACCAGCCCCATCACCGTGGATTTGTCTGTCAGTAGCAGTTAACCACATTAGCCACAAATTGAACCTCCCATATTTTATGGCAGTGCTTCTTTCTTCACCATTTTGTCCCGATGCTACATTAAGAGCAAGGATAGCTACAAATTGGTGCTGATAATTCTAGGAAATAATGTACTTGCATCACAGTTTAGCAAGTAAAAGCTTTCTGCATGTCGTCTTTACAGCCAGCTAAGCACAGCCTTTTATTCCTGCAGGAATTGAACCACATGGAAATATGGTGAAACAGCCTGCCAAATTCAGTGTTGACACCATCAGTGCTGGCCAAGGCGAGGTATTGGTTTTTGTAGAAGATCCAGAAGGAAACAGAGAAGAGGTATGCATATTGAGAGGTCTTGGGCCAGGGAAGGTAAATGGGTTGACCACTTACTACTATTGTGCACTACGGTAAAGGAATCCTTTTCAAGTGTGTTGGCATTTGAGAGAGTTTCATGAATCATGAGGATGGACCATAGTTAAAGGGGTACAGGAGATATAGAAGGTCCTAATTTTAGTTCCTGGCATTTTATTTATTTATTTGTACTCTTAGCCCACCTTTTACAAAAAGCTCTCCAGCGCAGGCTACAATAATGTCACTATAAAAATAAGCACAATGTGTAGAATTAAAATCATAAAAGGACCACAGCAGCCAATACAATACCCAGTGAAAAAGATCAAGAGACTTAAGCATGACTGAGTTGCCTAATGCCTTCCTCTTTCTTAGGCCATGGTGACTCCTGACAACGATAAGAACAAGACTTACGCTGTTCAGTACCTCCCAAAGGTTACAGGACCTCACAAGGTAAGAATATCTGAAGATTCTGGAGGGAGACGTGAGTTTTAGCTGCCAAGTACATTTTGCTCAGGACAATGTTGTTGTAATACTATCTCAAAACAAGTTGGTCTAGTTTTGTAGCTGTAGTTGAGAGCGACAACACTCCCCCCCACCCCCCCGCCTTAAAGTACTGATTAGCTTTGTTCAGGTAAAAGAGAAGGTGGAGGCAACACTGGTACTCAGTTTTGTTTTAGAGTAGCTAAGCTTCCTTTTTTATCCTGCCTTCTCTTTTGGTGAGAAAGTGAACTATATGATTGATAGACATTCAATGCCCTATTAAAATGTGTTTTTTCCTGTAAAAATATGCATAATTCATCTGGATATGGTAGCTGGCATACCACATTCAATGTTGGGCCTGCAGACACTTCTCCAGAAGCTTTGTTTTTTTTAAAATTGGATTTTAAATGTCAGCTTGTGAATTCAGAACTCCTCTGGATCTTCTATTGAGTGAATGCATACTGCTTGCAGTGGTGCATATCTAACTTGAATACTGTTACTACACTTCTAGGTTACAGTTCTGTTTGCTGGCCAGCACATTGCAAAGAGCCCATTTGAAGTAAATGTTGATAAAGCCCAGGGAGATGCCAGCAAAGTGACTGCAAAAGGGCCAGGCTTGGAAGTAACAGGAAATATAGCCAATAAACCTACTTACTTTGAAATTTACACAGCAGGTAAGGTGGGCTGAATAGATTCCTTCCTTTGTGACATTGGAGCTGTGAGAAGGCTAGCCTTCTCTTTGTATGGGCCATGATGTTGCTTCTCCCTATAGTGTCCACACAGGATAGGGAACCTGGGGCTCTGCAGATGTTTTTGAGCACTGAATCTCACCTTTCCAGACGTCAGGAGTGATGGGAATTGGATGCATAGCCAGAGACTCCTCCCCTGACACAGAGCATATGTGAGGGTGGAAGGAATGCACAGTGCTCCATGGGTTTTATTAAAATTTTACTTTTATTAAAATTTTATTATTTGTGGTGTTTTTGAAGGGTTTTATTTATTTCTGTTTTTAATTAATATCATGCCACTTTATATAAACACTGACATATTTTTTATGAAGTGCTATATGAATCTTGCTAGATAGAATAAATGCAAATAAATGGGTTAAGGATGCTCAAGATGCATTTGAAGCTTCAGGGTTCAATTTGCAATTCTTGGCCACAGTACTTAATAACAACACCTAGTTTGGACATGAAGGGGTGTATATCTGCTTTACATCTCTTTGGTGTCCAGTAGAGAAGCCTGCCTCATACCAATACTTACTAGTCTTCCAACAGGTGTTTGTTTTTTTAGTAGGCATTGATATGAATTCACATCATTTTTTCTGATTTACCAATCGGATGGCAACGGCCTTGGGTTTCTTTGGCAAGAAAGGTTACCAATGTGTCTGTATTCAGGGATTGCAGAGTATAAGCTTTTTGTGCAAGGTGCATGATGTTCATGCATTTGAACTAAGCATTCTTCATTGTTCTTGGGAATGCATCTCATGTCTGTGGCATAGTGTTCTGTGTAGGTCAGTTCTCAAGCTGGTCCTTGGCTTTGACTGCAGCTACAGCTTTCAACAGGTATGGTGGCCCTTTAATGGTTCCCATTATTGTAGAGCCTTCCTACCATTCTATACAAGTCAGAGTAAACAGTGCTGCATGACAGCGATCACTTCCAGTTGGGTGAAACTTGGTTGGGTGTTTGTGTGCAATATGCTTTAGGCAGCTGTATGCACACTTGCATACATCCACGTGCACACTTTCTTTCCCTTTTTGGTATAGGTCTTTGGCTCCAACAAGGCAGTGGGAAAGACTGTATTTACTATGCACAATAACTTAATTTTGAAACTTGCTTTCCCACTTGACATAACCGTAGCTATGCCATTTGCATCTGGCCATGTAGCTTCACTATTGTTTCTTCAGAAGTCACTTAAGACGAACTTACTGAGTACTAGACTTAGGAGTTTTTAGCGCTTGAATTTTGCAGTAGTACTTTAAACAAAAAGGTGACTGCGAATTGAGTATAACGAGGATTTTCCCAACTGGGGGTGCGAGTCTTGTTGGGCTATATTGCAAAACTACAGGTGCTTTTAAATCCTTCCAAATAGGAAAACTGGTAGACATAAGTCTAAACAAATCTAGCAGTGTTTCTTCAAAACAAGCAGGACCTTGGTATAAAGATAAGGAGAGTTCTGGCTGCAAATGTTAAGGATGTATTATCAGGCATTTCGCAACTCATTTCCTCAGGCTGCAAACCTTGAGGTCCTCCTGCCTTTTGTTATGGATCATTATCATACTCAATAGCTTTTGGGTTCTTTTTGGAAAAGCTAAACTGGAAATTCGTGACAAAACAATGTGTTCTTGAGGGGAGATGGTCTCCGTGTCCCATTTCCCAACACCCCAATTTGGCTATATAGAGTGTACATTTCCTTGGCCCTCTTTCCACTGGGATGGCTACTGGCCAATATAAGAAACTGGGAGACTTCCCTAACTATGGAAATAATTTTTGAGCTCCTATTTTGTATCTTGTAGGGGCTGGTGTTGGTGATATAGGTGTAGAAGTTGAAGATCCTCAAGGGAAGAACCCCGTGGAAGTTGCAATAGAAGACAAAGGGAATCAAGTCTATCGTTGCGTGTACAAACCTCTTCAAGCTGGTCCCCATACCATTAAAGTGGCGTTTGCTGGAGAGCAAATTCCCAAAAGCCCTTGGGGTATTCATGTTGGTGAAGGTATGTGTTTAGGGCAAACATATAACTATTTAACCATATTACTGGATACATGTGCACATTAAGTGCAGTATCTATGAGACTCTCTAAATGTGGGAATTTAGTCTTTTGGCTTGGATAAAGCAGTTCAATTCTTGCATGAAAGTCATTTCCCCAAAAAAGGACTTGTAAGTGTTAGTATCTTATCACATTTAACTAACTGGGTTTTATCAGTCTTGTCACCCTAAATGACCGCATTGCTCCTTCTTACACTTTTAGAATTGAGCTTTCTTGCTGTGTCTCTTTAAAACCAACTATATTCACTTTATTTTGTATCACAACTCTCTTCCTTTCTTGAACTGACACTTGGCTTTCTATTCCATCCTTGCCTGCTCCTTTGCTTTCAGACCTCTGCTCACCTCTCCTGAGCTACTTTCAATTTGTGAGATGTTGGACTTCACTGCTATTGGCTTCATAGTTGGGCAAGCTCTGTCGGTAAGAGGGTGTGCAGGGTGACCTTGTGTTGCTGCATTTTTTCTGAACACCTAGTCAGCAGGTTTGCAGCCCTAAGCAGAAGTGGCTGGGTTGTATGAAAATGTTGCAAGCAGCAGGTCAGGCTTCAGGCAGTCTCGCAAGAAGTCAAACGGCTTAACCACAAACTGCCAAACTTTGTTGCAAGGAGCTTGAAACTGAACTTCGGCTTGCTGCTACATCCCCGGTTTGTTGCATCTACAGATGGATGTAGAAGTAGTCAATGCAGATTGGCTGGGGATGAGAATTCCCTGCATGCTTGCAGCAGGACAGCTTTTCGTGGGATGAATTAGTTTTCCCTCCAAGGAAATGGTTGCCAACTCCAGAAGGAAATGCATGGAGTTGAGCTGTTGGGAGCCCAGGCCAGCATGCCTCACAGTCCAATTTCACGGCTAGGCCAAATACTGACAACTGTGAGCCTTCTTACCTCCCATAAATCATCATTCTGTATGTGGTCTTTTTCACACTGTATCCAGTGGTTTCTGCATACAGACCTGCTTTCCCTAACGGTGACGGTGTTCAGGAAAGCATGTTTAAACTCTTGCGTGTGAATTATATTTCCCCACCTCCATGGTATTGTTCATTTCAGGCACATCTGCATGGGGCTTCCTCTGGGGATTAAATTTGCTAATTTAGGGGCAATAGCAGGATCAGCATAGCAACACTGTCTCAACCATGCAAGGTGCAACATCTCTATGAGATGCTCCCTGTCTCATGCTATGTTTCACTTCTTGCCCTCTTCTTCACCCCTCACCCCTTGGAACCTGAGACTTCACTGGGGGAAAAAAAGTCTGATTCAAACTGGAAGGTTTCATCTGCATGCATGCCCTAAGGCAATATGCCCTCCTAAGTGTGAAATTTTGAAAATGAGGATACTTTGCTGCTTTTACTATTGTAAGGCCAAAAACACTTTCCTTTTTTTAAAAAAACACAAAAAGTTTCTCCAGTTTCCCTGGTCTCTCATGCTGATGTAAATTTCTTAGTTTAGTTCATTTAAACGAGACTTGTGTTTGTACATGGTGAAGCAAAAAACATGCAACCCCCAGTTTTATGTTAATATAATGTGCATTGACAGCCTCGGTCTTGCCTCCTTAAGACTGCAAAATGGTGTTCAGGTTTTACATTTCATAAACTTAAAATCTCATCCATCTTAAAGCAAGCCGAGAGAAACCATTCCAGACTAGCTTGGCTAAGTTAAATATCTCTAGGAATCAAAGGCTGTATTGATGTCTGTCTGTAATTCGCTTGCAGCGTGCAATCCAAATGCCTGCCGTGCCAGTGGTAGAGGCCTCCAACCTAAAGGAGTTCGGATCAGAGAAACCGCAGACTTCAAGGTTGATACTAAAGCCGCAGGGAGTGGAGATATCCATGTGGCAATAAAAGGACCAAGTAAGTGCTCGGCTTCTTAGCATTGCTGGAGCTTTGGGGTGGGGCCAGGGAAGTTTGCAAAGGGCTTAAAAGTGTAATCCATCGGCTTGTGATTCTGGTATCTGTATGTTGACTTTATCCCCTGGGGAAACTCCAGAAGTGAAATGGAGCCGCTCTTTTCTCTCTCTCATATCTAATTGCACAAGAGGAGACTAGGTAAACATGGCTGGAAATTTGAAATGACTGGTTCTTTGGGTGTGATAACCGCCTTGTTTACCTGTTTATACAGAAGTAATCTGAGCTGTGCAACTGCTTTAGTGGGTTTGGAAAGGCTTGAACTTCTACTTCAGTATCTATGGTGCAAAGCTCTTGGACAAAAGGGTGTGTGTGTGTGTGTGTGTGTGTGTAGCAAAAAACGTTCAGTAATAATGTTTCATGACAACATTGCTCAAGAAATGTGAAGCAAACATGCAAAAGGGGAAGAAAGGTTAGGCCAAACTAGACAGGATGGTATCAGGTGCCTGCATTTCTTTGCTTATCAGCCTGAATGGAATATAAATAAGAGGCTGTGTGTGTCAAACTGATAACCAAATGAGATGTGTGGCTGAGGAGTTCCCGTTTCAGAAGTGGTTTACCTGGGGAAGTGTAAATACTGGAAACTAATGGAACTTGTATTAATTGTTTGAAATACTCCTCAGCTGCTTGAGGTAACTTGGACATGATTTGTCAATTTTTATGCATCTTAACTTGACTGTTTCAGGATTTCAGACCATCATTCTTTTCCTTTTCTCAGACTTGGTAAAAAAAAAGTGAAACTTAGCAGTTCAGGAGACTACATTTTACACATTTTGGGGGGTTCTGACCTTAAAGATGGGTACTCAAAACTGAACCCCAGGATCATTTCCCCTCTGCTTCGCTTTAGCAAGTTAATGCTCCATTCAAGAGTCATAATGGACAGAAAGTCCCCCGCTGGCTTGCTGGTCATATGGCAGACACCTTTTTCTACTCTTGGATCACAGTACGGCTTGAAATAGATGCAGGGCTTTGTTACCTTCTGGCCCCAGATCAAAATGAATGGCAATCCTTTTCAGCCTTGTACAAATTGGGGATTCTGGTGGGCCTCTTGCGAGCTGTAATGTGCTTAAAGCGTTGGGTACGGCAGGGTTGCCAACTGTGCACTGTTAAAGACAATAGTCTTGTATCAACAAACTTCGGCATATTTAGACTGTTGCAGGAAAATTAAATCAAGTAGGCATTCCCCAAATACTTGTGGTCATGAGGTCTGATGAAGCTTAAGCTTCCCTTGTTTTAACATGACACGCATAATTCTTTAGACTAAGGAATAACATAAGGGAATGAGTTAAGCGAGGTAATGTAACACTTTCACTCATCGATCTCTTCTGGAAATATTTATGCCATCTTTCTTGCATGACAACTTAGAGGCCATTTCTCCTCCTTGCAAACTATTTCTGGTTGGGGGGGGAATGACTTCATTCTTAGCAATTTTTCTTAAACTACTGGAAAGGGGCAAAATTGCCTGTAACCAGAGGATTGAGGCTGTAACTATGGAAGGCTAATGCTAGATTGATGATATTTCTGCAGAAGGTCTGGAGGAACTTGTGAAACAAAAGGAGTATGTGGATGGTGTGTATGCCTTTGAATACTATCCAGTAACTCCAGGAAAATACATTGTGACAATCTCATGGGGAGGCCACAACATCCCTAAAAGGTGAGTTAGAACATCCATTTCAGGTTTGTTTGTTTTTAGCAATGGATGTGTATTCCCTACCAAACACGTTGGAACTGCTTAAGTTTCCACAGCTGCCAAGAGCAAATTAACGGATGGTAGTACCGTTGTTCAGTCCCAGCTCCTGCCTGCCCACCTAGCAGTACCTATTTATCTACTTGCACGTCAAGTGCAAGTAGATAAATAGGTACCGCTTCTGGTTTGCCAGAAGCAGCTTAGTCATGCTGGCAACATGACCCAGAAGCTGTCTGCGGACAAGCGCCGGCTCCCTTGGCCTATAGAGCGAGGTGAGCACGCAACCTCAGAGTTGTCTGTGACTGGACTTAATGGTTAGGGGTACCTTTACCTTTTAGTGTCTAGTACAAGGGTACTACCCTGTTTGGACAAATTGTATATTTCAATTTCTGAAGAGGGAGACTCATGTCAGCTGCATTAAAAAGAAACCAAATCCTGTGGCACCTTAAAGGCCAACAAACTATTGTGGCACAAGCTTTCATCTGTATTTCTAGGTATCAGATTACTATTTGGTAGCACCAAGATTATTCAGAGTGGAATTTTAATGTAGGCAACCTTTGGAATATCTGCCATATTTTAACTTTCATTGGTCCCTGTCTGTTTTCCAAGTGATGCACCACATAGAGGTTAGGCTCCCGCTTCATCTATCTGTAGCTCCCAGCTCCCGGTCTTTTAGCTGGACAGAGGTGATTGCACAGTAAGCTCTGCTTTGTTCTGGAGTCAGGCTGTAACCGGAATCGTTGACAGTGTAGGGAAGGATAGTGGTGACCATTGCTGCTTTCAGTCCCAAGCTTTTCCTAGAGTCCCAGGTGCATCATATCCTTCCTCTCCCTACCCAATCTATCTGATCTGATTCCAGTGGCAGAAATGGAAAAGAAAGGAAGAGGTTTTTTGAAGTCTGGATCCAATCCAGGAGGCGCTTACAAAAATGCATGAGGACAATGTTTCTAGTTAGCTATATCTCTGTAGCTGTACTTGAGCCCCTCTTTAGTATCTGATATTAATTGCTCCTAATCCTGTTTTCTGGTGTTTCTGTCATAGCCCATTTGAAGTTCAAGTAGGCCCTGAACCTGGTCCTCAGAAAGTAAGAGCCTGGGGGCCAGGCCTTCATGAAGGCGTTGTTGGTAAATCTGCCGACTTTGTGGTAGAATCCATTGGCCCAGAAGTTGGATCCTTAGGTGAGAACTTGCCTGGCTTGCCCTGCTTTGCTAAATGGTTACTGCATTTACGTGATGCCTAGCTAACTTCACATGGAGAAAGTCTCTCAACATCACATTGCAGTGGGTGTGGAACCACATCCAATTGGATTTAAAAGAAATTGGTTTGTATAGCACTTCTGACAAGAACAATGATGGCACTGTCCTCCACCCAGTTTTAGCATGACAGGCAGTAAATGTTGGCTGATGCCTTTGCTTCTCATGGTTTTGTGAAGGTTACGATGTCTCTGGTAACTTCATTATTGATCCTGCCTTTCACCAGGCCCCAGTGCTATAACACCCAAGGGGATGGACTTTTAAAATTAATTAGTATAAGCCATTTTTTCCTCCTAGAAGCTCAAGTTGGCACACATTATTCTTTGTCCCATTTTCACCCCACTCTAACTTCACAACAACCCTGTGAGGCTGAGAGACTGTGACTAGCCCCAAGGCCACCCAGTCCAGCACTCTAACCGCAACACTAAACTGGCTTCTGACAAAAGTGATTAGAAATTCAGCACACGGCCCCTGAAGCACAGTAACTGCAGTGAGTTTTCTGGTTTGCTTTGCAATAGATGGTTTCAGTTCACGTAAGGGTTACCTCAAACAAAACCTGCTTAACAGGCTTTAATGCTGTGGATTTAAAAAATGGTTTTGAACAGGCAACCCAAGGTCTTTGAGTCCTACTAGCTAAAGCATGGCACCTCTTAACAGCACTGCTGACATGTTTCCTTTTTTTAGGCTTTGCCATTGAAGGCCCATCTCAAGCCAAAATTGAATGTGATGATCAGAACGATGGCTCGTGCGATGTGAAATACTGGCCCAAAGAGCCTGGTGAATATGCCGTTCACATCATGTGTGATGACGAAGATATCAAAGACAGCCCCTACATGGCGTTCATCCAGCCTGCTTCTCCAGGCTTCAACTCTGACAAGGCAAGTATCTGAGGAGCTGCCTCTTAAAAAAAAAGAAAAAAAGCTGTTAATCTGTCAGCCTTCTGTATAAGCTGTGCTAGATGGTATTCAGGGTCAGGATTTAGCCCCAATTTAAAGGAAACCCACGGCAACACCAGATATGAGTCTGTCCCAGGTTAGAAGTTAATTACAGGAGAAACTTTCCATTGAGGACCGTTGCAAATTTAGGCACTAGTGCATGTATTCTTTGCATTGTGAGATGTTCCCAAGAACATCAAGTGGAAAACTGCTTATTTTAACAGTCCCATGCAAGGTATATCCAGGTATCTCACTCGAACAAACTTTGGGCATTGTAGTCTGAGGTATTAACAACCTGTAAAGGTATGTTGACATATTCTCTTATGTTTCTGCTGATCTTTCTTAGGTAAAAGCTTACGGTCCAGGGCTGGAGCGGACTGGCTGCATTGTGAACAACCCTGCAGAGTTTACAGTTGACACAAAGGAAGCTGGGAGTGCCCCTCTGAGGATCTATGCGCAGGTAAGGTCCAGAGTTCCAGGCTGCATTTGCTTCTCACTAAGTCATCTGGAACTGTAGCCTTGGAATTGTGTTCAGAAGTTGGGAGTTTTCTTCTTAAGGGTATTAGTCTGACGGGTAGAAATACTTAAGATGCCATATGGCCACAGGCATCACAGGATGCTGGACTTGATGGGCCATTAGCCTAGTCCTGGCACTTGCCATATTGGCGAGTGTGAATATGCCCTGAGCCCAAGTCCTTATAAGATACAGGATCAGGTTAATTCCTTGATAGGAAAGAATTGCACTATTGGTCTTGTCAGCTTGTCCATGTTACCCAGGTGGTTGCTGGTATGTGGTTCTAGCAACACTTGTTAGTGTGAATTTGGTCCTATGTGGGAGTGGCTGATATTACAATCTGCCTGCTCTGTGAAATCTAGCTATAGCCTATAGGATTAAAGTAGAGCAAGTTTTATGGCTCTTTACATGGTGGCAGTGAAGAGAAAGCAGGAAGGGCTTCCATCACTTACCAATAGTGTAGATGAGAAGGTAAACAAAACACTTCTTCGTCCTCTATACCTGTGTTGTGTTCTTGCCTACAAAAGTTTTATACATTCTATGTACCGTTAGAACATACGGTGCCACAAGGTATTGGAAGATGTTCTGCATGGAAGTCTTAAATGCTGACCAGTAAGCTTGCACTAAAGACTCTTGACTCGCCATCATTTGTGGTAAACCAGCAGTGATAGGTTTCCAAAACCATGTCGGTCTGTAAGTCGCCCCTCTTAAGAGGATCTACATTCTTCCTTTTTTTTTTAACAGGATGCAGAAGGGAATCCTATTGACATCCAAATGAAAAGCAAGCCGGATGGTATCTATGCCTGCTCTTACAATCCAACAAAACCAATCAAGCACACACTTGCTCTTACTTGGGGAGGAGCCAATGTGCCCAATAGTCCTTACAGGGTAAGTTTTAAAAGCAGCTCAATAGCTGCAGCTCTTTATCCTCCAGTTGTAGCATGTCTTACCCTGTCTTATGCACAAACCCTTGCTTATGTTAACTGGCATTTAGTTGGGAGTATTACACTAAGCCCAGAGGTGGAAAACTGGATCCATCTGGCAGGCTGGATCTTTATCTCCCTTACCTGCTTGCAGGCCAAGTTTGACAAGTGGGTGGTGCCACCCGCCTGTCAGTCACCTGATACCAGGTGACCAGTTTCTTTAAAAGAAAAATGTGCTTGCAAGACGCAACAGAGTTTTGCTGCTGCTGCTGAGCAGTGCCTGAAAATTCTGTTTCAGCCCTATTCCCCGAGCACCCTCGACATCATACGAGGCTGTAGGGCAGGTCTGTTTTGTTTAGGCCAAAATGGTCTTGTAGGCCAAATGGAAAAGCCTGGTGGGTCTGATTTGGATGTTCTCCACCGCTGTTGTAACCAAAAGTTCAGTCGCTTTGTGCCATCGTTGCACATAGTTTATGTGCCAGGCAAAAATATTCCTCTTTACTGAGGCCTTTGGCCATTAAACAATCTATGGTCTGTTAAAGTTTGGGTGGGGAAAACTGTTGTTATGACTATTTTATTATTATGCTGTTTGTCATTATGCTTTTTATTAAGTTTTTATAATTATGCTCTGTAAAATGTGTTCTTAACGTTGTGCACTGTCCTAGGATCTTTTGATAAAGTGTGGTATATAAATTGAAATAATAACAATAACAATAATAATAATAATGACAATAATAATAAAATTAATAATGCACCATTAAAGATATAAATGAGATTAGGAAAAGTTATGGCCATAAAATAAAGCAGATTCAGGTCTACTCATGTTTTCTGGTCCTCTCAGTTCTTAAATACATTTTTAACTTTGGGGTTGCCACAGGTTTTGTTATCTTGTATTTAGGTCCCTGTTCATGATTTTATTTTGTCTCCCTATTGTCGAATACTTACTGTAAGCCTTCCCTTTTATGGAGTGGCATACAAATGTTGTAATCAAAGTGGCTCCTCCTTTAATTTGATGAAATGTTCCCCCCTAGGTCCAGATTGGGCAAGGCAGTCATCCCCAGAAGGTGAAAGTTATTGGACCCGGGGTGGAGAGAACTGGTCTGAAAGCCAATGAACCTACTCACTTCACAGTAGACTGCACAGAGGCAGGAGAAGGTAAAACCAGAATCACTAACACCGTTAACCTAAGCTGTTCTAGAAAGAAATGTGCTAATGGAAGTGGCTGACAAAGCTGTTATGCCTGTGTAAATGTGTTAAGCAGGAGTGGGGAGCCTTGGGCTCTCAAGATGTTGCTAAAATGCAACTCCTATCAGCTTTAGCAAACATGACCAATGGCCAGGGGTAGTTGGGAGTTCAACAACATCTGGAGGACCTAGGGTTCTCCATACTGGGTGTCAAACCACAACTACTGATACGAGGGAGCAATTGTGAAGTCATTTTACTAACAAATTGATACTTTTGTTTTCTTCCTAGGTGATGTCAGTGTGGGCATTAAATGTGATGCTCACGTATTGAGTGAAGAAGAGCAGGACATAGACTTTGGCATCATACATAATGCTAATGATACATTCACAGTTAAATATACCCCCCCTGCAGCTGGGCGCTACACTGTCAAAGTGTTGTTTGCTGGAGAGGTATGCAGTTAAGATGGTGGAGGGGGCAGTTGAGATGCCATTTTATATTGCTCTCTGGTTAGCTGAAGCTTCTGTATGTATGACATTATTGTATGACTGATTTATTTTTAAGCTCTGTTTACGTCTCACAAGGGTTCACACCTGAAGGTCCTCAGGGTGGTTTATGACAAAGAACAGCAATTATAAAAACGTATCTGGTAATATATAGAGATGGTTGTAGCAGATAAAAAAACACTTAATGGGCTCTTGATTTCATGTTTTGCAGTTGTTTCTGACTCCCTTGCAGTTGTCACTAATATTTTAAGAGCAAAATGAAATTCAGTGCTTGCTCTTTAGAAATGAAACAGATAATACAAAAACGGATAATAAATTTGATGTTCTCCTGCTCTGTGGCCAAGGGCTGATTGTAGTCGGAACTGATTCCAAACAAGAGTCCTTACAAGTTTCTCATTTAGCACCAGTTAAACAAAAATTTAGGGCACTTCTGAAAGGCACACACCAAGAAATAGGAATGCTTGTTAAACAGATGGCGAAAAAGGTACCGTGCAAAGCATCACTTCCTCTCTGTATGGCACTGTGGCATTTGCTTGAATGACCACTTGAAATGTTCCATGATATGTGCATTTAGGCCAAAGGTGGTCTAAGCAGGATCAGCATTTGCGTTTTGACCTTCTGGAGCAGAAGATTAGATTAATATTGGGGTTTCTGGAGTACACACAAAGAGCTGATTACTTAAGGTGGTCTCTGCCACAAAAAGTTGATTTTATTTTGGTATTCTTTGTAAATAGAAGGAAATCAATAGCTTCATAGTCTGGTGTATGTTTGAAGATATACATTTTGGAAATGTGCCCCGGGTGTCTCATGTGCTAGTTCTTTTGTATTTTCTTACTTGAAAAGAAAACTTACATTGCAACAAAGCTTTATTTATTTTTATTTTTTTTGTCTTGAAGGAAATCCCTACAAGCCCTTTCAGAGTGAAAGTGGAACCATCACATGATGCAAGCAAGGTGAAGGCTGAAGGGCCTGGACTAAGTAAAACAGGTGAGAGTTCACCTTAACTTGGTGAGTGTGGAAGTTTGGGGGGCTGTCATGATAGCTGTCTGCTTGTTTCCTTTGTCTTCATATTAAAACAGAGCAATACCCAGATTGCGCATATTCCTTGTGCAATGGACTCCCACTTAAGCAGAAGGGAATTCCTTTCCCTCTCCTCCTTCGCAGCTCCCTGCATGTGTCCAAATCCAAAATGTGTTATTTAGCCTTAGGGGACTGCAGTGGGAAGGAGAAGGAAGGGGAAATCCACTAGAACACTGTTGGATCTCACCTGTACAATTCTGCATCTAGGAGAGATCAGTCCATTGATACAAAAAAAAATTTAATCATGAAGAGTTCAGTTTGGTATTAGCCTGGCGTCTTCATTCTGTTAAAAGAAAAAGAAAGCATGGCACACCTTCTTTCTGAATATGGCTTAAGGGGTGATGATAAATTCTACTTTTTCTCCTACTTAGGTGTGGAAAATGGGAAGCCAACACATTTCACCGTGTTCACAAAAGGTGCTGGAAAAGCCCCTCTGGATGTTCAGTTCAGTGGACCGATGGCGGGAGATGCTGTCAAAGATTTGGACATAATTGACAACTATGATTATTCACATACCGTAAGATACACTCCAGTACAGCAGGTAGGATTTCCTATAAGAGGTATTAATGTGATCTCTGCTGTCTCATGGCTTAGCCCCAGGCAGCATGATAGCAGCAGGACCAGAGGAGGAGACCGTGATCTCCTCTCCCAGGGATGGTTTGGCTGAACTATCACTTTATGTTCAAAATTATGTTACCAGCTGCAACTTTCATTTTTGCCCCTAGTAGTTTAAGTATAGTGACTGCTGTGTGCTTCTGGCAAGTGGTGTTTCTGTTGTTCCTTGTACATCTCCTTCAGGCAAGCAGTAAAACAAAACTGAAAAACCCAGCAGGTCATTCTGGATTGGATCTTTAACATCGTTATATGACTCTTCTTGTAATCCTGAGCAGAGCAGACACTGGTTTCTGCACTGCCGGGCCTCTGTATTGGTCCATTGATACAGGTGGTCTTTCATCTAAGCCATGTTCATTTTCATGCCGAGATGATCCTTTGGGTATTTTGTGCAACTTTTAGGTGTCCATAATTTGGAGTAGCTGGGTTCTATAGTTTTTGTTTTAGTTGGATCTTGGTAGCAGAAACTTCAATGCCAGCTTTCTATTTGGCATGCCACTCGTGACACTGGCTGGTGTAAATAGAACTGGAGTTTATGACTTCGGAAAACAGTGGTGCTGTGTACTATCCTCCAGCAACTTGCAGCAAGCTTGCAAGTGGTGGGGTGCATTTGAGGGACTGTCTTCAAAATATGGCTGACGCTTGTTGAATGTGTTCTTTGGAGGCCAGTTAACTGTTCCTGGCTTGCTTACACCTCAGAAAGTACTAATTTTTTCCTATGCTTACCAAATCCAAGATACACACGGATAACAGCTAAGCCATTTTACGCTTGAATCCTTACAGAATTGTAGAATTGTGGTTTCTACCCATTTGCATAGAGCTTTGTTTGTAAATGCTTCTTTGCATAAAAAGTTCCTCGCATGTCCCAAGAACATCCCTGCTGGTTCAGGCCAAAGGCCCGTTTCATCCAACATTCTGTTCTCACAGTGGCCGCAAGTAGGACTTGAGTACAACATTACTTTCCACAGTTGAGATTTCTAGCAACTGGTATTCAGAAGCATGATCTCGTTGACAGTGTAGGCAGTACATAGCCATTGCGGCTAGCGGCCAAGAATAGCCTCATCGTCCTTTAAAGTTATCCATGTTGTGTGTCATAAACTAGCAGATTTAGGAGAAGACTACACTGCACCTTAACTCACAGGTGATGCTGAATTACTTTGTGCAGGGAACCTCTTCTGGATGGAGAGCATTCAAAACTGCGACCCGCTTTCTGGGTACAGTGTAGAATATTTGGCCCATGGGCTCCCAGCTTAGATAAAGGAAGCGGAGATAAACTCAGGAAACTGAACGCTGGCATTCTGCCAGCATTCTGTCGGGTTGAAAATTATAGTAGGTGGTGGCACTGTTGAGAAATACTGCCTTATTTGAACACTGCACCATATGTACATTGCATTTTTGAAGCAAACGTTGATAGAGGTTCTGGAGGGGGAAGGGGAGAGCGAGCTGGTTAAAGTGAATAAGGGGTGGAGTAAGCAAACATTGCAGTCTGCTCTTTTGCTCTGTCAGTCTGTCAACATAGCAGTGACAAATACTGCTTATCAAACATTAAACTGCTCCGGGCCCTGTGAAAATGTAACTTCCATTCCCAAATGCCTTATTCAAGGGATTAATTTCCAGAACTGCCGCATTATATGCACCTTAGTCACAGGGAGTTAACATGCTATGCTTTGCTGGCCCATGCCCAACTAGCTTAACTGAAAAATCTGAATTTCAAAGTCTCTTCTCTATAGCCAGCCTCTGTTCCTTCAAATTTATTAGTGTTCTACAGGAAATGAACAAAGGGAGGCTGATGTTTCTGGATGCGTTAATCTTGTGCCCATATGGGAACATTGCAGACGAATGCATGGCAGTTTCTAGGCAGCAAATGCTTCGTTTCTTGGCACCTAATTTAGCTGTTTTACAGAATCAAAAGTGAAGTTGACCGTCTGTCTTGTGGTGTTAATAGGTGCAGCTCAGACTGTAACAGACGAATGGGAAACTGGGCAAGCAGGTTGCAGCCAACGTATGGGTGGCCTGTTTTGATGTTGGAAATACCTTAGATACAGAATGTTGGATTTTGAATGGGCTTGGTCTCTTAGGTTTAAACTATTGGAGTTGATATATAAAACCACCCTTTGCCATACACAAAGGTTTTATCAACTGAAGATTTCTTACATTTTCATTAGTGGGGTTTTTTTTTTTGCCCTTCCTGTATCTCTTATTTGTAGATTATAAATTTGATAGTTACGGACTTGGGAGTATACATATCCACATTATACACAGTGTAGACATCCATGTAGAGGTCAGGAGGGTGGCAACACAAGAATGGGCCTTCTCTGCAGTGGCTTCCTGTCTGTGGAATGCTCTCCCCAGGGAAGTTCGCCAGGCACCTTCACTATACATCTTTAGGCACCAGACAAAAACATTCCTCTTCAACCAGGCCTTTGCCTGACCTGACATCCTATACCCTTTTTAAAATGCTGGCTCTTTTCCGGGGGAGGGGGGAATATCTGGTTTTTGTTTTGATTTTATGTAAGTGATTTTTAATCACTGAGACCTTCAGGTATAGGGCAGTATAAAAAGGCAAAGGACCCCTGACAGTTAAGTCCAGTCACGAATGACTCTGGGGTTGCGGCGCTCATTTCGCTTTACTGGCCGAGGGAGCCGACGTTTGTCCGCAGACAGTTTTTCCAGGTCATGTGGCCAGCATGACTAAGCCTCTTCTGGCAAAACCAGAGCAGTGCATGGAAACGCCGTTTACCTTCCCGCCGGAGCGGTACCTATTTATCTACTCGCACTTTGACATGCTTTCGAACTGCTAGGTTGGCAGGAGCAGGGACCGAGCAACGAGAGCTCACCCCATCGCGGGGATCCAAACCACCGATCTTCCGATCGGCAAGCCCTAGGCTCAGTGGTTTAGACCACAGCGCCACCTGCGTCCTCATAGGGTGGTATAGAAATAAAATAAAACTGTAGAGGACCCCAACAGTATTTTTACACATTTATAAGAAGGGTAAAACAGCAAACCTTAACCTGCAGAGTAGTCGTTGTGTTATTTCTGATGTTTTGCCTAGTGCTTGTATTAAGCCCTTGCAGATTAACTGTAGTTAACTGATTTACAGTATCCTTGGTTCAAAAACTTGTATTTTCCTGAAATTTGTAGAAAATAGATTAGTTTGAAACACAGTATGCTTAAGAGTGAAGCTAGCAAAATACAAGTCCTTATAGGGCATGACTGGGCACAGGCTTTCATCTATAACAGGGCAGAGCATCTTGGTATCCTAGTAAAAACAGAATAATATTTTAGCCTTTAAATGCAGAACTTCTAAAAGCTTCATGCCAAGGCTGCATCTGCACAAAACCTGCTTCCGCTACCAGTTGGGATTTCTCCTACCAGTTATTTACTTGCCTCTACAACTTTGCTTGTATATACTGCCGAACAATTTTAAGTAGAACTCTGGAGGTTTGGGATAAGCTTTTGCTTCCTGGTGTCTGAAGATATGCATGATGAAGTACTAGGGGGCAGTTGTATGTCAGACTCTGCTGCTGTAGTTTCTGGCTTGTAGCAAATATTGAAATAATAAACAACTTTTTCCAATCTGTCCAATCTCTCTAGGGTAGCATGAATGTTCAGGTGAGCTATGGTGGTGATCCCATCCCCAGGAGTCCTTTCACTGTAGGTGTTGCTGCTCCACTTGACCTAAGCAAAATTAAAGTTAATGGCCTGGAAAACAGTAAGTAACTTAAGTAACGTGAGCTTTTTTATTTTTTATTTTTAACTCGTTTACAGAATAAACTTATCTGGAATGGAGGTCAAGATGCCAGTAGACTCCTGAATTGACAGATATCACTGTTTTGTGTGTTGCGTAGAACTTCTGAGTTTGTTCAAACCTGAGAATTTTGGGTGGAGAAGGGTGTATGTATATGTTCTCACTGTTAAATTGAAATTGGCCGTTCTCTGCTTTGGAAAGAGCAGCCCATTTAAGGCAAGTACTTGAAGCGAGAGTTCTGCCTGTATTGGCAATAAAAGAAGTTGCGAGCTTAAAGGTCAGCATTGACCTAGGACTTTCCTTGGATAAGTCCCGTTCAATACCCAAAGTATGGGGTAAGGGGGAAAAAAGTAAGGCGTTGAAGATTTCCTGAGTTCCGCCCATTAACCATGGGGAAGCAGGAATCGTTCTGGTTCTAAACCCTTCACCAAACCTTCCTGTATGATGTTTGCTCTTGCTGAAATGTTGGTTGAATACAGTGAGATAATAGTTTGGAAGGTAGTTCCCATTTTCATCTACTCCCCATCTGCAATCCCCATCTACAGTCCCCATCTGCATCTACTCCCCATCCAGTATTTCCTTGGAATTGGGGTTTCAGGAGTAAAGTGGAGAGGCAGGACAATAGGAAACAGCATTCCATGAACAGAGGTCTGCTCATGGGTTGGATCCCAAGCATGCTTTATTTTTTAAAATGGATGCACTGAGGGTTATGCAGAATTTTAGGTTGGTGATCATGTAGCATTCCAGATCCCATTTGATGACTTCCTGGAACATAGATGTGGAGATGATACGTTTTGCTCTGCTACAGGCATAGGCAAACTCAGCCCTCCAGATGTTTTGAGACTACAACTCCCATCATCCCTGACCACTGGTCCTGTTAGCTAGGGAATGATGGGAGTTGTAGTCCTAAAACATCTGGAGGGCCAAGTTTGTCTATGCCTGCTCTACCACTTTTCTAAGCCATTCCTTGAATTGATTGACTTTTAAAGAAGGTGCATTTGAATTTTAAGAACTTGAAAGACCTCCAGGCTCCTGAAGGGAGTGTTCTACTATGAAATACATTGAGCTACAATAAAGAGTTTTGCATCAGTGAGCACTGGAGCTTAGGTTAACCAAACGTTAAACTACCTTCTCCATTCTAGACTTCACATGGCACAATAATATTATGGTGAGGCAATATGAAAATGGCCTATATAAAAAAAGAGTACCTTTAAATAAGTTCTCACCCTGCATGTTGCGTTATGTGACCTATTGCTCTCTGTTGATTTCCCCCCCCCCCAAAAAAAACCACACCTTTCATGGCATTATTGGCACAGAGCAAAATCCTGAATGTTTCAAAATGTGTGTGTTCCAGTGAGCTGCAGGGGCAAGTCTCCGTTCTACTGAGTTTGGGCGTTAACTCTGGGGTTGGCTTGGAAAATGAAATAGTAACTGTACATATTTTGGAATGTACAGTCTCCCTATGTTGTTGTATTGATATCCGGTATGAATTTTGTTCTGAATATGCCCTAGGGTCAGTGTAGAGAAAGAGAACATGCCATAACCGAGTCTCCTTTCCTTTCTGAAGGAGTCGAAGTAGGGAAGGATCAAGAATTTCTAATTGATTCGAAAGGTGCTGGTGGACAGGGCAAACTCGATGTGAACATCTTCAGCCCCAGCAAGCAAGCCGTGCCATGTCTTGTGGAGCCTGTAGTAGGCAAAGAGTGCAGCACTGCAAAGTATATCCCACGGGAGGAGGGCCTTTATCTAGTTGATGTAAATTATGATGGGAATCCAGTCCCAGGAAGCCCTTACGCTGTGGAAGCCACTCTGCCACCAGATCCTTCCAAGGTAAGCTGTTGCTAACCCTTGCTACATGGGTGGGTGAGATTTGGATGCTTCCATTGCTTGGCAAGTTGTGAGGTATGTGCATTACACTGTTGAAAAGTGTGACAAATGTTATCTTTTAGCAGAAGCCCTTAGACGCAAATTTGGGGCATGGGCCCACAGACAGACGTGCATTTGCTAACCTTACATGAGTTTGAATTCAAATTTCACAGAAACTTAAACTTATTAACCACCCAAATTATTTAATTTGCACCCTCTCAGATCACCCCAGAGTACTTCCTCTTCAGTTAATTTGACCCAGTTTCCTAGCAGATCCTCCTTCAAATCAAATTGCCCTTATGCTATCCCCATTCATTACTCCTTCAAATAGTCTATTGATATTTATCCCCCACCATTCAATTTCCCTCAGATTCATTATGGACTTAGAAATGTTCCAAAAGAGGTTTAGTAATAGCCATGGATCTTAATTGTTTTCTCTCTTGGCGTTCTCATATGTTACAAATTGGTAAATTTGTTAGATTGTGCAATGAGTTGATATAAGACATTACAATTTACTCAGAATTATTTTGGATCATCTGTGATTACGCATTAATGTTAGGCGTTTTGGTAACGATCTAAGCTTCTGCGTTATTTTAATACATGTTGAGCCTTGTAATAGCTGGCAGGATTAAAAGGCCTATTTCGTAGTTCCTGTTGAAGAAATGTTGGCAATTTCTGAAGAAGTTAATGATAAATCACATGGGACTGTTTTAGCTCTTGTTTTCCTTTGTGTTGATTGGGTCAACTCTCTTGCTTTCAAAACAGATTAGATTAATGAGAATCAAGTTGGCGGCAATATGCTAATTAGGCCAACTGTTGTGCAATGTTGCTACTTTTTCAAAATCGAAGAAAAACATGTTGAGCTTGAAATCTTGCTGACTTGTGATAACGATAACTTGTGATAGTGGTGATAACAGTACCTTTGAACAGTAGAAATACTGTTTGGTTCTTATACATCTATTTAGTGACTGCAGACCACTAACATAAGAGAACTCTAGAACTGGCTCCGATCCCTTCCTGGCTAAATACTTAATTCAGCACTTTCTTGTCCTTCCCAGGTGAGAGCCTATGGTCCAGGTCTTCAAGGAGGCCTTGTTGGAAAGCCTGCTGAATTCACAATAGACACCAAAGGAGCTGGAACTGGTGGTCTGGGGTTGACAGTCGAAGGCCCGTGCGAAGCCAAGATAGAATGTTCCGATAATGGGGACGGCACTTGCTCAGTTTCCTACCTGCCTACGAAACCTGGTGAATACCTTGTGAACATCCTCTTTGAAGACGTCCATATTCCTGGCTCACCTTTCAGAGCAGACGTTGAAATGCCGTTTGACGCTTCTAAAGTAGTCGCCACAGGTCCTGGGCTTGAACGTGGCAAAGTGGGGGAAGCAGGCTTGCTACATGTAGACTGCTCAGAAGCTGGGCCTGGGACTCTGGATATGGAAGCTGTATCTGATTCTGGCTCCAAGGCAGATGTCGAGGTTCAGGATAACAAGGATGGAACCTACGCAGTTACATACGTCCCTCTTTCTGCCGGGATGTACACACTCAAGATGAAATACGGCGGAGAACCAGTGCCAAACTTCCCTGCACGGGTCAAAGTTGATCCGGCTGTGGACACAAGTCAAGTCAAAGTGTTTGGGCCAGGAATTGAAGGAAAAGGTATGCCTTCCTTCGTTTCTCTTTAGGTTTGTAGCACTTGTAGAATCTAGTTGGAAGGTACCCAAGAGTCATCTAGTCCATACCCCTGCAATGCAGGAATCTCAGCTAGAGCATCCATGACAGATGACCACCCAATCTCTGTTTAAAAACCTCCAAGGAAAGAGAGTCCACCACCTCTCATGGGAGACTGTTCCACTGCCAAACAGCTCTTACTGTAAGAAAGTTTTTCTGAATGTTTAGTCGGAATCTCCTTTCTTGCAACTTGAAGCCATTGGTTCGAGTCCTACCATCCAGAGCAGGAGAAAACAAGCATGCTCCCTCCTCCATGTGACAGCCCTTAAGATATTTGAAGATGGCTATCATATCTCCTCTGTCTCCTCTTTTCCAGGCTAAACATACTCAGCTCCTTCAAGCGCTCTTCATAAGTCTTAGTTTCCATACCCTTGATCATCTTGGTTGCCTTCCTCTCTGCACATGTTCCAGCTTGTCAACATCCTTCTTAAATTGTTGTGCCCAGAATTGCACACAAAATTCCAAGTGTGATCTGTTTAAGGCAGATTAGAGTGGTACTACTTCTTCTCTTGATCTGTATAAAAAAAATGTCCAGTAGCACCTTAGAGACCAACAAAGTTTGTTCTTGGTAGAAGCTTTTGTGTGCATGCACACACTATATAGTGGTACCTCGGGTTAAAACACACCGGGTTACAGACTCTGCTAACCCAGAAGTAGTACCTCGGGTTAAGAACTTTGCCCCAGGATGAGAACAGAAATCGCACGCTGGCGGCACGGTAGCAGCAGGAGTCCCCATTAGCTAAAGTGGTACCTCAGGTTAAGAACGGACCTCCGGAATGAATTAAGTTCATAACCAGAGGTACCACTGTACTTTTGTTGTCACTCGCATGACTCTTAACCTGCATATCCCAGTACATGCTTAGATGTGCCCCTGTCAGTTCACAGTGCTTTCCAGGAAAGCACCCTTCCCGCTACCAAATCACATGGCTCACTTCCTCATTTCTGTGGGTTGATAGTGACTCATGAGACTGTAGGAAAGCACCCTGGCAAAATATGGCTTAGGTGAGCAGGTTTGCGAGAAACTGCTTGGTTGGGATCATTCTTGCATGATACCATTTGAGTCTCTTGAGTACCATTGCTGTCTCAGAGCGGCTAAACCTATTTCCATGCAGAAGCATGGAATTCTTGGACATGGTTCTGCCCAAAACAAAGCTGTTTCCCAACCTTATTTCATAGATGTTTTCCGTGAAGCCACCACCGATTTCACCGTAGATGCTAGACCCTTGACCAAGACTGGTGGAGACCATATCAAAGCTCAGATTGCAAATCCCTCTGGAGCTTCCACAGACTGCCTCATCAAAGACAATGCCGATGGGACATATGCAGTAGAGTTCACGCCCTATGAAAGAGGTAAAGTCTGCTAGTTGCTACTGACTTTGGGAGAATAAGGGAGGAAATAGATCGTACTAAATGGCACTATTCTATATTTTAACACAAGTCAAAAGGCAGGCTTGCTCCAGGACAAGGGTAGCCAACTTGATGGCTTCCAGACGCTGCTAGACTAAAACTCCCCATCTTCCCTGACCATAGGCAATGCTGGCTGGCAGAGCCATAGCTAGGTGATCTTGCGCCCCTGGCAGAACCACCCAGATTGTGTCCCCTAGCCATGGACAAATTAGCTCTTCTTTCCGCCTCTCCTCCAACCCCCCACCTTCTACCCATTCAATTCACCATAAATTTGAAACCATTTCTTATGAGGCAATAATCAGTATTTATATTTATGGACATATTTTTTGCCAATTTTTCACCCCCCCCCAATTGCCTGCGCCCCTGGTGGGGGCCAACCTCACCAACCCCTAGCTACGGTCCTGCTGGCTGGTGCTCATGGGAGTTGTAGTTGAACAACATGGGGAAGGCACTACATGTTCTAGAGCAGGCACCCCCAAACTCGGCCCTCCAGCTGTTTTGGGACTACAACCCCCATCACCCCTAGGTAACACAACCAGTGGTCAGGGATGATGGGAGCTGTAGTCCCAAACATCTGTAGGGCTGAGTTTGGGGATGCCTGTTCTAGAGTAAACTCTCTTGCATTCTGAAAATAGTTAATTCAAATAAGGTGGAAACTAATGGTCAAACACCTGTGATGTAACTTTTGCAATGGTTCAGAGACTTCTCCAGTAAAAGTTCATCTTCTGCTTGCAGGTCCTCACACTGTTGAAGTAACCTATGATGATGTTCCTGTACTAAACAGCCCTTTCAGGGTTGATGTTACAGAAGGATGCCATCCTTCTCGGGTGGTGGCCCAAGGAGCTGGGCTACAAGAAGCCTTCACAAATAAACCAAACCCATTCACTGTTGTCACTCGGTAAGTATGATGGACTGTTTTCTGATATGTTAATGTGGGCAGAGTAAGCTGCGTATTTGTAAAATAAAGTTGGAAGATCTGACTGTAGATGCATGAAGTAGAAATTGCGGGTGTCCTTGCCTCTCCTCCCAAAGTAGCTGATTGACAGGGACGTGCCATGGGCTAGGTACAAATAGCAAGAAGCAACTTAGAGATCTTGACGTTACCACAGGCCTAAACATTGTCATCTTCCTTACAAACCCGCCCACACACCTTCAGCTCATTGCTTTGATTCTTGATGACTTTCCCCAGACTGTCTTTGTGTGATTCACACGCCTGCCAAGTAACGTCCTCACCAATGACTTCAGAATTCCCCAGGCTAAATTGGACTTTAAACTGAAGAAACCATTAATCAATCAACATGTAGACCTACCTGCATTACAGGTTCTTATTCTTCTCAACTGTCTAGTAGGCTACTGTCATTCTGAGAGAATGCAGCAGAGAACAATTAGTTGCAGTCATGCAAAGCAAAGTGGGCTCTTGAGTTTAAAATGCTGTAATAGAAACACGTTAACTGTTCCCCCCCCCTTTTCTTAAATGCTTGCAGAGGGGCTGGAATTGGCGGCCTTGGAATAACTGTTGAAGGACCCTCAGAATCTAAAATAAGTTGTAAAGATAACAAGGATGGCAGCTGCAGTGCAGAGTATATTCCTTACGTTCCAGGAGACTATGATGTCAACATAACTTATGGGGGCGAACACATCCCTGGTAAGACACCTTGCATTTTGAGGTTGGATTCAAAGTAAAAGCCTGTGAATGGACTTTCATGCTAGAGAACACTTTTTTTTTTTTTAAGGATGTTGTAATGTATAATAAATAATGTACGTTGCATTTGAAAAAGTCAACACATCTTGCTTTTGCAAGAACATTCCCAGTGGGAATCAGGGTCTCATAGCAGAGCCTTTAGATTTTTGGGAATACAAAGCAAATAGCCATATTGACCTATAACACAATAGTAGTATATTTTGCTGCTCTTTGACCGCACATAAGAATTTGTCTTACACAGAGTCCACCTAGCTCAGTGTTGTCTACACAGTGTTGTCTTACACAGAGTCCACCTAGCTCAGTGTTGTCTACACTAACCGGCAGCAGCTCCCCAAGTTTTGAGTTTGGGGGGTATCTCCCAGCCCTACCTGGATTGTCCGGAGATTGAGAATCTGGGATTTCCTGCATGAGAAGCTGATGCTTTGCCACTGAGCCACTGCTCTACCCCAAATGTATCTAAAGATTTTGTGGTGGGTGCTAGAACCAACTTTCAGTGCCCCAAAACATTTTTCTCACCTCATTAGAGCATCAAGTTCACATTGCATACAGTCCCATTTCAATTAAAATTTAATCCTTGTCCATCTAAATAGCCAGATAAGGTGCCCACTTTTATAAGGATAGTCATCAGTAGGGGACCAAGGGAGCAGTGTGAGAGGAGCTGGGCTCCTTAGGGGTGGCTGTTGACACACCTTTACACAAGTTGCTACATTCCCCTTTGTACTGAGCTAGCACTTGCTTCATTGGCAGGCAGTCCATTTAAGGTTCCTGTAAAAGATGTCGTTGACCCCTACAAGGTGAAAGTCTCTGGACCAGGCCTGGGAACAGCAGTCCGTGCCGGAATTCCCCAGTCGTTTACTGTAGATACCAGTAAAGCTGGGGTAGCACCACTTGAGGTTACAGTAACAGCACCCAGAGGTAATGTGTTCCACTGCAGTCGCTTGATATTTCTTTTAAATGAGTTGTATGATTAGCAGAAGTCATCACTTGGAAGCACTTGAGTGGTAACTGGTAGGAGTTGTTGAATTGGAGGTACTAAGAAAAAGTAGCGTCGTGTACAGTTCTGAAGTGCAAAGTTTTGGGTACTGCTGATATAGCTATTAATCTGTAGTGCTTCAGAAAGTTGGGAGCTTCAGTAATCAAGGTGCTCCTTTATAACTCAGTTGGGAGTCTTCAAGGCAAGTCTAGTGTTTAAACAGACATGGGAGGACAGCAGTTTGAGTACAGTTGTATCTTGGAAGCTGAATGGAATATATTCGGGAAGTCCGTTCGACTTCCAAAACCAAATTGAAGCTTCTGATTGGCTGCAGGAAGCTCCTGCAGCCAATCAGAAACCGCGGAAGCCCCATCAGATGTTTGGGTTCCAAAAGAACGTTTGCAAACTGGAACCATCACTTCTGGGTTTGCGGTGTTCAGGAGCCAAACGTACGAGTTCCAGGGCGTTCAACAACTAAGGTACGACTGTACATGAAACTTGGAGTGGAGCATATCTGGTCATTGAACGAACTTCTTGCACTAAGACAATATGGTGTTCAACCAACAATCCCGCTAACAAGTCATTGTAATCAAATCTTGCATAGAAAGCGGCAGGCAGGAGTATTAATATTTGATTGTTTTCATGATGTATTGATTTGCATTTTTGTTCTGTTGTGAGCTGCTATGAGAATATAAATTTAAATAATAAAAACAAATGGTACATGCAGATCCAAATATATTAATGTTGGGGTTTTGTTTTTAAAAAAATCAAGGTAGCTCAGGTAAAAATAGTACTGTATACTCTTAGGGTGGTGAGAAATGGCCTGGGATCATCTGACAGCTGAACGGGGGGATCTGCGTTTTGAAACACTTCTTGGCTACCTTGAAGGGCCGCTTACGACCTGTTAAAGATACACCGCCGCTTACTTTGTATTTGTGAATGCACTAGAAAATGTTAAGGTGGTTAAATCTTTGGCAACAAGTTCATTGAGCTGCCCTTGGTCCTATCCACTCCTGTGAGACGTAAGTGTCTGGCTGCCTTCTCTGTGAAGTGCTCTGATCCTTGATAAGAGCGTGGAGAAAGATTGAGGGAGGAAAGGAGACAGAGGTGAAGGCCTGAGGAAAACGCTGTGAGGGGGTGGCTAGGAAACAAGGGTTGGAAGAAGGAACAGTCTGGTGGGATGAGGGCTAGTGGAAGAAGCCTAAAGCAATTCTGATGTTACTAGATGCTAAGCACTCTTGCATGTCAACTATCTAACATTGCCAGATATAGAATGCGAATGTATTGAACCTCAGATGAATGAAACCCTCCCCCCCCTCCACAAATTGTAGTTGGGTCCCCTCTCTTACCTCATTCTTCCAGTTACTGAAGACCTAACAGGCTTTTATTTAATGTGTTCTGAGTACTGCAGACTTATGCAAGAATACTTGAGTACGTAAAATACTTCTTGGAGCAAGTACGTTTCAGCTGTTGGCAGATCTAATTCAGCTTCATCTTAAGAAGTCTTTCTTCACTGAAGTTGTGAAAGCAACTCAGCCCAAGGGCCAGGGGAGGCAATGGCATTTGGAATTAAATTGCATGTACACTGCACACTGTGAACCTATGCTGAATGGGATGCACTTGGTCTAACGTAGCCGTTGCATGAATAAACCACCTTTTGTGTAATTGGTTTTAAGGCAAACATGTCTCAAGGGACAACTGACAGAGCTCTGATTTTGTATTACTAAGTTAATAGCTTTTTAATTCTAGCTGATGAGCCGGATACCCAGTCATGGCGCAGTCCGCTGAAAGCAATTTCAGAGTTCTTTAAAGGTGACCCACAGGGTGAATCTAATGAGACAGGTTTGAACTTTTACTAACTAATTACCTGTGCCTCCAGCAAATCTTCTAAACTGTATAAAGTGCTGCTGTGAATGAGCTTGAACTTCTGTGCTTAACTGCCGCTGTACGATTAATTCTCCACTGAGTTATCCTTTTTACTAAACAATTCCTTGTTTGATTTATATGCACACTTACTTTGGTCCTTGATCTAAATTGTAACTGCAGGCAGTTCTAATCATGTTTGCAACTAACCTTGTGAAATAGCTGCATGTGCAAATCCACATATCTTGATTTTCTGGGAATAGGTCCTTGGAGCTCTTCTTACCTTGAACTAGCCGATCATAACACTTGTTTGGCAGCACCAAATTTTGTTGACTGCGCTCAACTTCTCAATGTCATACTGAGGGGTAGAGCCTAAAGAAGGCAGGGTATTTTTTTCCATTCTGCACCAGTTTTCATATATTTATTCATATGTCAGTTTGATCCCATTTCTACATTAATCTGCATTTTTAATATAAAAAAGCACGAGCATTTGTATTCAAATACATATTGTCATAATAAATACTTTAAAATGCATATTTTATCAGTTTCTCAACCTTTTAAATGCTAAAATATGCAGTTTAATTTTTTTACACATTTTGCTGTTTTTGAGAAGTGTATTGCAAAATTTGGAGAGCTGTTCTGATCTTTGTATTAATCTGGGAGGTGCAAATTGATTTGGTTTGCTCATCGATGCAGACCAAATAAATCTCTCCTCCATGCCTGGGTTATAACGAAAGTTACTAACTATTCCTGACTAACACGCAGTACTGAATTGGATGTTGAGCCTAATCAGTAGTAGTGTTCAAATAAAAAAAGTCTTCCTTTTTCTGGAAGCTTATATTTAAATGTGTCCGATAACTGACCTAACCAGCTGTATAATTTTGGAACAATAAATCACTCCAACCCCTATTTGATGGGGGTTTCTTAGCTTACAGCCATTGGAGTTGAGCCAGCCAAGGAACTGCTAGTGATTTCACCTCTCTCTAATTGATGAGGTCACAGACTGGGAATGATAGGAATAAATTGGCTTATCTGAACAGACCACAAAGCAGATGTCTCTGCAGATTTCTTGCAAAGCTTTAAATCAGCATTGTGTGTGTGTGTGTGTGTGTGTGTGTGTGTGTTGGTGCTCAAAGCGGCAAAAATTGCTCGTGTGTCATTGAGGCCTTTGATGAGAAGGTGGCCAAAGGAATTGAAATGTGGTCTTTTTACTACTTAGGCTTGGCAGAACCTGTAAATATAGTTGACAATGGCGATGGCACCCATACAGTAGCCTACACACCTACGAAAGAAGGTCCCTACACAGTTGCAGTAAAATATGCAGATGAAGAGATTCCTCGCAGGTAAGAGTGGGGTGCAGGAAACAAAGCTTATTGTGCAAACTGCAGTGCTGTTGGTTGGCCTCCAGATTTGAGGTGGGTTGCATTGTTGATCATGAGCTTAGTCTTTGCACTTAGTTTTGGTAAAGAGGCTTTAAAGAAATGCTTCTACAGCAAGGACTTGGTTCCTCCTGGTGGTTGTCAGAGAGGGGGAAGAGGCTACAAAGTGCTGTGCATTTCCTTGAACTGTAGAATCTAGCAAACATTCTGTAACTAGCCCAGTGTTTGCTTCTGCCAAGGACCAGCTTGTTTATTTATGTGCTGCTATTATTGCTTGAATGCCAAAATAGGCTTCCGAGAAGATTTACAAAGCACCAAAACGAGTTACACAAACATTAAAATGCAAGAGCCCGTCGCTGAAAGGCACAATGAAACAACACAGCAATTAAAAACTGGTCTAAAGATCTCTAGGGAATGCCTGTGTAAACAGAGGTGTCTGTCCCACTCTCTTCTCCAAATGTCTAGTAGGTTTATACATATAGTAATGAGTGGTTCCCTAACTCCTACATCAAAAAGGTTCAGTGACTAATCCAGTGTCTGGCCTTCGACAGTAATCTCGTACCTTTGTTTAACCTTCAGAAATACTTTCTTCATGCCGGTGAGGCATCTGCTTACATAAACATTCATGATCTTCAGTGCTGAAATATGTCGCTCTGTTCTTTCAACAGCCCGTTCAAAGTTAAGGTGCTTCCAACATACGATGCCAGTAAAGTGACGGCGAGTGGGCCAGGGCTAAGCTCCCATGGGGTTCCTGCCAGCATGCCCACTGAGTTTGCTGTTGATGCTAGAGATGCAGGCCAAGGACTTCTCTCAGTGCATGTGACCGTAAGATACAATTTCTTCCTACTGTTGACCATTTAACACAGGAGCTGAATCTTCACATGCTGAACTCAAAGACCTCTGGTATTTTGAGTAGGAGAACTAGAATGTTTCCTTCTGAGCATCAGTGGGGGTTCAACAGGGCAGACCTCCATTCAGCAGTGCCCTTAAAGCTTTCCTTTAAAAGTATCAGTTGGCAAACTTCGCTCGCTTTATATATCACCCAAATTTAGCAAGGCTACTGTGTGCCGACTATTTCTAGGCAAAGCTTGTGGCTCCTAATAGATAGAGGATGCCCTGGACATAGCACAGTGCTTTTTGATGTGAACTATTCCTAGCCTTTTCAGATCCCCATAAACTAGGCCAGTCTGCAGTTTTCACCATGAATGAACATAGACAAGGTTTTGTGGAAGGGCCAGTACATACTTCAGAGGTAATCATAGCTGTTCTGGGCTCTGTTTCAAGGCAGCTTTGTCATGAGCATTTGCAAAGACAAACCTTGGTTTCGAGGGGTGCTAGTTAACCCCCACAGCGCATTAAAGATGTTAAAGCAAACAAGTATGTATTAGCCAGAATAATGCATGGTGCCCCACTCCCCTGTCTAAGAAGCAGTGCTATGAAAACTTGTTATACAAATATAATGGAAGAGTAGAGCTTGCATTTTACCCAGAGGACCTTTGACTTGCAGCTATTAGTCAAAAACTGCACAGATACAACACCAAAAAGCTGTCTGGTGGCATTATGATATGCAGTAGTCTTGCATTAGACTCCTGTTTCAGTATAAACCTAGACCATTCTTAATCAAGAAGAAACAGGTTAACAAAAATGACTGCTTCCAGTGTAACATGGAAAGTGTTTGCATTACCCACAGAAGCAAGCCAATTGCACATTGCTCATCCAAAGCCTGTGATATTTCTTGCAGGATCCAGGCAATGTGGATATTTACTGCCAAGTCTTGTCCTAAGGATTTTTTCTTGTCACAAGATTGGCTTTTACAGGCAGCAACAAATCACATTCGTTTGAACTTCCATGTCAACCTCAAACTGCCCTTAGATTGCTTAAATACCAGGTCCCCTTGAAAATAAAAAAAACCAGCATGTTATAGAAACTGTCAAGTTCAGGATAGATGTAAACCTGAATGTCTGCTGTTTTTAGAGCTTATGCTCTGCGTCTTCTTTGTGATTGAGGCTTTCTTGCTGATTGTGGCTTCGCTTCTGGCATTCAGGACCAAGAAGGCAAACCAAAGAGGGTTGACGTCCAAGACAACCAAGATGGCACTTATGCAGTGACTTACCTCCCTGACAAGACTGGTCGCTACTCAGTTGGCATTAAATACGGTGGGGATGATATCCCCCTTTCTCCATATCGAATTCGTGTGTCACCAGCAGGAGATGCTAGCAAGTGTCAGGCAACAGGTAAATTCATTCTGTTTTCTCACTGTAAGCAAGTGTTTTATAAGAGTACTGGAGTCAGGCAAGCTATGCAAACTGCTCTCCTAAAAGCCTTCGTACAGATATATTGAAGTGAAATGGGCTACCTGCCCTATATGATCAGCACACATACTTAAACAGTAACTTAAACAGTAAATCTGTATTTGTGCCAAGATAGCATTTTGATGTACAGCCTTTAAACAAACAAAATGCCTTGCACTAGGTCTGACTTTTGGTTCATCTAGCTTAGTTTTGCCTTAAACTGACTGGCAGTGGTTTCATGTAAAGGGCCTTCTCAGCCCTACCTGGAGATGCCAGGGATTGAACCTGAGCCCTTCTGCATGCAAAGCAGATTCTCTACCACTGAGCTGCACCCCTTCCCCATGCACAGTGATTCCCCTTGGTGATTGCAGCTTGATGCAAGAATAAGTGGAGCCCAAATGTTTGCTGCAGAATTAGTTCAAAGTGGAGCCTGTGGCCAGATGCCAACCGTGGGCCCCCAATAGGCATCTTTCAAGCACAAAGAATGTGGAAGTGTTGGTAAGCTTGCCAGTCTCTTAGGAAAGCATCCATTACAGCCTGAAGCAAAGCTCTAATGCTAGAGCCTAGGGTTGACTGCAGGGAAAGACCATGTTTGCACCAAAGGAATGACTGCACTGTTGCCTTGATCCACAGTGGTTCATTTCTGGTAGGGTGTATGTCGTGACATCTTCTTGTTGTTTAAAGGCATTAAGGGGGCACAGTGGGCTTCAAGGGAAAGAGCAGCTGTCTCTGCTGTGATAACCACCTACTTCTTTTCACACTCCCCACCTTACAACCAGGAACCTGTCGTTTGAAAGCTGACACAAGGATCATGCTTTCTGCATGAATAAAGCTTTGTGTTGCTCATGCAGATGGCAAATTGTGCAGGGCTCCTTTAAAGTTAAGCCAAACTACTTTAGTGTTCACAAACTTACAGTCCTCTCCTTATCAAAGTATGCTGTGGTCCCCTGATAAAAATTCTCATCTGTAAAACATTGCTGTCTTGTGTGAAAAATGCTTTTGATGTGTTACGAGTGCCAGATAAAGGAGAAATGGATCTGGAGGTGCAAATGAATCTCTTCCCCACTTCATCCACCTCCACATGCACCCAGGGGGACCTTGCGCTACAGCTGGGGTGGTTTGCAAAGGTTTCATGACAAAAGCCTGATTTAGGCTTGCTTGTCTGCAGAAGTTTGGATTAACTTGTTGTGTGTTTCATAATGCAGGTGTCCAAAAGGAAACTGCACAGGACTTTCTTAGCAGAAGATATGAGAATCTGCCCTGATGCTCACCATACCATTTATCTCCTAGGTCCTGGCATTGCAGACACAGTGAAGTCAGGAGAGGAAGTAGGCTTTGTAGTTGATGCTAAATCTGCAGGCAAGGGCAAAGTGACGTGCACTGTCCTGACACCAGAGGGTACAGAAGTCGAAGCAGAGGTCATTGAAAACGAGGATGGAACATACGACATCTATTATACAGCTGCTAAACCAGGAACCTATGTAATTCATGTCCGCTTCGGTGGAGTGGACATTCCAAACAGCCCCTTCACTGTCATGGTAAGATGCCTGGCTTTTGGTTTTGAAACCCTTTGCGTGAACTTAAGAGTAGACTGATAAGTAGTGAGCATGTTAGCTTTAATAAGTCACATGAAGTTTGACACAGTCGTTTGCAGCCTGTTAGTCCAATCCTTATCAAGAGTAATGAGAAGAAAGTTCTGTTGAGTTCAGTAGGACAAACTCACAGGTAAGTGGCCCTAGGATTGCAGCCTAAATTAGCATTTGGAGTGAGCTGAGTGTTTTGCCTATGTGGTTCTTGTGGACAAAGAAGTGTTTTTTCGGCTATGAGAAATACTACCTCACAAAACCCTAGTGTCGGATGCCATTCTTCTGTTCAGATCTGCTGTTGTACCACTTTCCCCCTTGTTCAGGGCTCTTTGCCGTTGTGGTCCCAGCTAGTTGTGAGCAATAAGTCAGCCCAACGCAGAGTGCGTGCGCAAGAATGGAGTTCCGCCACAAAGGGCTTTGGGGCACATTCTCATTTCATGCGGAAGAGAGGGAAGGTGGCTAGCTTGGAAGTGCCACGCAACCCTTGCATTCTGCTTCTGGTGCTTTCACCTCTCCCACGCTGTGCGTGCCACAGAACCCTATGCATATGTACCTCTAAGTTGCGATGTTTTTTATAAGCTCTATGAATGAAGAGGGTTTTTAAAACTATACCTTGCCTTTTGCCACTAACTAGGCTACAGATGCAGATGAAGTTGCAGTGTTGTCTCAGGAGCCCCTAAATGCGGCATGTCCCCCTGGATTCCATCCCTGGGTACCTAGTTTTGTTTTTTTACACTGTCTTCCGTGTTCCATGCAAGAGTTGACATCCTGCCTCTTGGGTCTGTTTGAGCTTGCTTTCTTGTCATATCTTACTGGTGATCAAAAAGCTACTTTGGGGCAACTTGGGTTTGATTCAGAACCTTCCTTCATATATATATATATTTAACAACTCTTAACATCACAATCATTTTAAACGGTGCATCTGTGCTACTTTGTCCTTAGGGAGCTATTTTCTTCTTGACTTCAGATGGTGAACGGCTTCTTCCTAGAGTATTGTCACTGACCATGTTGCTCTGGCTTTATGTTTTGGTTTCTCTTCTGCTTTAAAAAAACCACAACTTTCTTCCAGACCATAGCCAGCTTCAGTGTTCCTTTGGACGGAGCTATCCTTGCATCTTTTACTCTTCCATTTTGTATGTTTTTAAAACTCTCTTCTGAATGTTTTTCACGTTAAACAATGAATGGGAGCAGAGCTTTGTGTGGTGGTCAGCAGTCCGCAGTTGAGTGGTGTCTTCATTCTGGATGCAACTGTCTGGACTGACCAAAAATAGCTAAGCAAACTGTTTTGTGCTAGAATGACAATAACTTTTTCTCCACAATAGGTCACGGAAGAAGCTTATGTTCCTGATGGTGACATGAATGGTCTTGGGTTTAAGCCCTTTGATATGGTCATTCCTTTTGCAGTAAGAAAAGGAGAAATAACTGGTAAACAAGCTTTCAGCACACAGTTGATCACTCTCTTTAAAGCAGTGGTGAGGACCCTGTGGCCCGCCAGATGTTGGGCTCTTAACTCCCACAGTCCCTGACAGCTGGTTGGGGCTGATGTAGGTTAGAGGCAACATCTGGAGAGCCACAGAGTCTCCATCCCTTAGTTAATGTCAAGGAAAATGCCTTGCCCCCACCTGTCTTATGAGTGCCCCTTGCATGGCTCAGTAGTTTAGCTTTGTAATACATTGTAGTAGAAGCATAGATTTCACCCTGCAAGATAATCTTTCAAAAAGATTGTGCTATTGTTTGGCCTTAGCAGAGCTGGGAGGAGATAAAAATGAAGCCCTCCTAGAGTAGCCATGATTGTCCTGTCCTTGTGCCCCACTGCGCAAGTCTATTTAATCTGCTCTTAAGCATCATCCAGAGCAACAGCTCTTGATTGGGGCCTTCGATTATTATTTCTTATTATTTATTGAATTTCTATATTGCCCTTCATCCGAGGATCATGGAGCGGTTCACAATATAAAAACACAAAAATACATACCATAACAATTATCATTATTGTTATTTATTGAATCTGCATACCGCCCTTCATCCGTAGATCTCAGGGCTGTTCACAACAAAAACAAGAAAAAGCCTTGTACAAAATGCTAAAACCAAAGCGCCTGAAAATAATATCCCACCCCTACACTGTTAAAAAGGCCATAGATTGTTTAATTAGCCAAAGGTCTGGTTGAAGAGGAACATTTTTGCCTGGTGCCTAAAGGTGTTACAATGAAGGTGCCAGGCGAACCTCCCTGGGGAGAGCATTCCACAAGTGGGAAGCCACTGCAGAAAAGACCTTTCTCATGTTGCTGCCCTCCAGATCTCTTATGGAGGAGACTCACAGAGGAGGTCCTTTGATCATGATTGCAAGGTCCGGGTAGATGGGGAAAGGCTGTCCTTGAGGTATTGCAGTCCTGAGCTTGAAAACAGTCAGCTTTGGCAGGCCATGGCAAACTCTATAGAGAGTTGTAGATGCCACCAGACCTTGATGGCTTGATGGATTTTGTCTGTCTAAGCCAACCTTCAAGGACACGACTTGTGTTAAAAAATATTAGCGTGTTATACTCTGGTTGTTATCAGAAGAATAAATGGATCTCCAAGCTTCAGTGCAGGAGAATTTTTGGAAGTGCTTTCAAAGAAATGCAGGGAAACCTTTGCACCTTTGTATAACCTCCCCTCCCCTGTTTATATGAGTGAAAGGGAGGGCCCCAATACCATGCGGATTTGAGTGTGAAAACACCAAAACACATGGCTTTGCCTTTTGAAGTATTGTGCAGTTTGAGTTCAGTTTGAGCCTTGTGTTTTCAGGGGAAGTTCACATGCCCTCGGGGAAGACTGCACCAGCAGATATTGTTGATAACAAGGATGGCACTGTAACCGTCAGCTATGCCCCTGTTGAGGTTGGATTGCATGAAATGCATATCAAATACATGGGCAGTCATATTCCAGGTGAGTGCCAGCTGATCTCAAATCAGCACTATGTTATGTTACAAGAACTCGGCTGTTGTTGATTTGCTGCATTTGCCGTTGTTGAGGGCTTCATTTATTCACACTTTTTCTTCAATTGTGGACACTTCAGTCCTATGAGTTGCCTTGGTCTAGGGTTGTATTGCATGCCTCGTATGGTGAAGGCAGCTGAGTGAAGGCAGGAGGAATTCTTAGTGGGTTTACAGCCTGTGCCAGACTTAAAACAGATTTGGCTTTTGTGGACAGAGTTTTGTGGCCTTACTTTTGCAGTTAGCTTGGAACTTATAATTAACTTATTTTAGTGAGGAGGTACTACAACTAGAATTGAGAAAAAGTTTTGAAATGCATGTGTAAAATATTAGGTCTCCTTTGCTTAAACTATAATCTGTGGAAAGGATCAAGCTATAAAGAGCTCAGCCCAATTTCCTAGTGAAGTACTTATGTTGCCAGTTTTGACTGCCTGCGCCACTTTTGCTGGCTGACTCGCATGCATCGTCTTCATTGAGAAGTTGTAAAAATGAAATCTGAATACAATCCATCTGGCTTCCCCCCCTCCCCCGCCTCCTCTCTTAAGCCAACACTATTAGCTAGCTTAAGGTTTACTACTTGGCAAGAATTTTCAATTAATTTTATCTGGGAAAATGGACAAATCCCTGGTAGTTCAGCTTTTGCATACATATTCTCCTGGCTTACTGGTAAGAATTCTGCATGGATATTTTTCCTCTTTGGCATGCTGGTGCTTCGGGGGTCATACTTTGTGCCTTTCTGCACCTGTAGTGCCGCTGCTCAAATAATTTTTATTACATCACTTAGTTTTGTGACTAAGCAGCTTTCTAAATAAATAAAACAGAAAGAGGTGGATGTCCTGTTCCATACTACCTGTGTGTACAGCTCCCTATCTACTCTTGGAAGTGGCATTGCAGGTTTCTGCCCATGTCAAAAGGGGCTTTTTGTTCCTTGAACTGGGGCACATCTAGACAAACTGGAGCCGGCTCATAGCTTTTGAGGACAGGGACACGTTCAGCTATTTCAGCTTCGAAGCCTGTGGCAGAGCTAGAAATAGAAGCGCCAGTTAAGTCCCAGCCACAAGAACAGTCTGCATAAATCTGGACTTTTTTATTATAAAAAAAATAGCATTGGCTTTTTTAGGTGCTCCGTGATGACTGGTTTAGTGAATCTCTGGCAAACTCAAACTTCATTGGCAGCAACCAGTTGATAAATTTGTAAGGAATAGGATCCTTTACATGGGCATGACTGAGGACCTGCTCTTTTCTTGCTGGTAGAAAGCAACTGCATGGGATGGTTGGAGTTCCTGCTGTGTGGATGTATAAACTGGGAGGTGTAAGGCAAAGTCCTGTGGGAGACTTTGATGGTTGGGTGCTGCATATGTTAATTATTTGCAGTAGTAGGCTTTCTAGAGTGCTCTAGTAGACTTTGGGGCAGTGAATAAATGTGCAACCTAAATGGAAACTAGTGAAACACGGAAATCAGAAGAGGATAAAGCTACTGGAACTGAGCAGAATGCTTGAAAACTTTCCTAAATGCTCATGATTGACAGTGGATCTTGCATTTAATTTCTTGCAAGGCTCTCCAGCATCAGAGGCATCATGCCTCCATATATGAATGGCTGGACAACTGCAGCACAAGAGAGCAATTGCCCCCATGTCCTCCTGCTTGTGGGTTTCCTAGATAAGCATCTGGTTAGCCACTGTGGCAAATGGATGCTGGAGTAGATAGATCTTGGTCTTATATAGCAGGGGTCTTAATACGTAGCATTCTCTGTCATACGGAAGGGAATATAGGGAAGAACTGAATCAGTTCTGTGTGTGCAAGCTTAAGACGTATTAAATTGCTGAGTAAACACACAAATTTATATTCATTCTCTTTGGAGAGATGTACAAAAAGATGTTAAAATAATTTAAATATCCTATCTCAAGTGTGTTTATGCATAGTTTTTCAACCTTTGCAGAGAGCCCTCTACAGTTCTATGTGAACTATCCCAACAGTGGAAATGTAACTGCTTACGGACCTGGCCTTGTCTATGGTGTAGCAAACAAGCCAGCAACCTTTACCATAGTCACAGAAGATGCTGGTGAGGGTAAGTGGTCTATTCCATAGTCTCTGAAGAATTTACTTGACATGAATCCTGTCTGATTTTTGGTGGAATGTTTAACTTCCATGTAAGCATGCCCCAAAATTTAAATTCCGAGGTGGAGCTATAATCATACTTCATAGAGGTTGAATAGAAATAATTCATCATTTTCTTCATTTCCCCAGTAACTTTAGGGATCCATAAATATACCAGTGCATGGTTCAACATAGCATCACTAACAGATTGTATTTCTGAAGCATTTTGCAGATTACATGATGTGTTACAATTGTCCCATCTAACATTATGGTGACCCTAATGGTGGGTTAGGCTGAGAGCTACCCAAAGCCACGAAGTGAGCTTTGTGGCTGAGCTTGGATGTGTACCTGCAAGTCCAAATACGATTCTGGACACTGAACCCTCCTTTAGGAGAAACGTAGGTGTTTCTGTATAGAGCCATAGAGTTGGGACCCAGCGTCTTACTGCCCTTGTAGTCCAACCCCTTGTTTGCAGCAGGAAATTCAGAGCTGATTACAGTCAGTTTGACACAGACTTAATTCCCTTATTTCAAAGTTGCTTGCTTTCACTCCCAATAAAACATTTTTGAAACTTGTATATGACAAATGAGATCTTCAGAGGGCTAGCCATGATGCTCAATGCAAGCAGGGCTCCCCACATCTGGAACGGCAACTTGGTTCTTAATTGAAGTTCACTGATTTTTATTTCAGACCATGTCTTGAAAAATGTAAGTTTGAGAATTCTTTTGGCACTTTTTTCTCCAACGTGACAGGTGGCTTGGACCTAGCGATTGAAGGTCCCTCCAAGGCAGAGATCAGTTGTATTGATAACAAGGATGGCACTTGCACCGTGACTTACTTGCCAACTCTTCCAGGAAACTACAGTATATTAGTCAAATACAATGATAAACACATCCCAGGAAGCCCATTCACTGCCAAAATCACAGGTACGAGGAGCACTTGAAACAGCTACAATGGGCCTAAAAGCTTTGTGTTTGCAATCCGTTGCATTTAGTATAAATTTATATAAAGAAAAGACTTGCCTTCAACACTCATACTCTGTGTAGACTGCAAACGGAGAACTGACAACTTGTTTTTAACCATGTGATGAAGTCATGTTGTGTTTAGCTGGCTTTTGCCCAGTAATTTAGTATGAATTCCAGAAACAAAAGGTTCCCTGCAATAACTTCTGAGCTGTCAAGTGTTGTCCAGTTACTGTCCACTAGAGTCCTGGTTTCGTGGAGCATAAATTTGCATTTGTAAGCAGCATACATGTCTTCTGATTCTCATCGATGCTTTCTTTGTAAATTTAAGTGGAAAGGCATTTGGATGGTTTGCCCAGAATGTTAAGATCCAGTAATGTTAATATCTAGTAGTGTTTTAATCCAAAGTCCTAATGGGAAATTTTCCTTCTTAAAGATGACAATAGGAAGCAATCTCAAGTTAAACTGGGCTCTGCTGCTGACTTCCTGTTAGACATTAATGAGACTGATCTTAGCCTCTTGACAGCCAGTATTAAAGCCCCATCTGGCCGAGATGAACCTTGTCTTCTGAAAAGGCTACCCAATAACCACATTGGTAAGTCTTAATCATCTTCTAGGGAGGCTGCTGTATTGGTTGTGTGGTGCTGGCAGGGTGGTCTTGGGGAAGCTTGCGAGCCTGGGCCACAATTGGAATCAAATAATACTTTTAATTTGTGGCTAGAGTGGGATTTTGATGCCACAAATAATATTTAATGCCAGCTATCTTCCAGGGACGCGGGTGGCACTGTGGGTTAAACCACAGAGCCTAGGACTTGCCGATCAGAAGGTCGCGGTTCGAATCCCCGCGGCGGGGTGAGCTCCCGTTGCTTGGTCCCTGCTCCTGCCAACCTAGCAGTTCAAAAGCACATCAAAGTGCAAGTAGATAAATAGGTACCGCTCCAGCGGGAAGGTAAACTGCTCTGGTTTGCCAGAAGCAGCTTAGTCATGCTGGCCACATGACCTGGAAGCTGTACGCCGGCTCCCCCAGCCAATAAAGTGAGATGAGTGCTGCAACTCCAGAATGGGTCACGACTGGACTTAATGGTCAGGGGTCCCTTTACCTTTGCTTTTACCTTTACCTATCTTCCAGTTCTGTATTGTGATTTGACAGTGTGTGTGGAGGGAGGGGGGCCAAAAGATAAAGTGTGAAGTCACAAATTTGTCTTGCTGCTAACCTCTGTCTGGCAGGTATCTCATTCATTCCACGGGAGGTGGGAGAGCACCTGGTTAGTATTATGAAGAATGGGAGCCATGTCCCCAACAGTCCGGTGTCCATTATGGTGGTCCAGTCTGAGATTGGTGATGCGAGCAGAGCAAGGGTTTCTGGACGTGGCTTGGTCGAAGGACGCACGTTTGAAATGTGTGACTTCATTGTAGATACAAGAGATGCAGGTCAGTACTGGGGTTCCTGGGCTGCCAGAGGGTATCTAAGGGATGCCTGTGGGCTGCGGGTTGCCCACCTGTGATGTGGTTGATTCGCTGTTGCCGTTCTCTGATCATCACAGCAACTGAGCAGAACAAAATTGCCTCTGACTTGTAAATTGTGGTTGCCATGATGTAGAACAGGTTTGGATGCTCTGTCAATCTGCTAATTTATATAGGTTGAAACTCACAGGTCTATACTACAAGCAGCTTATCAAGCAAAATCCCATATGTGACCATGAGCTGAAACGGCTGGCTCACTTGTAATGGTTAATATATAATGACTGCAATCCGTAAAGCCGTCCATCAAGATTTAGGCAGTGCTCATTGGAGCTCTTCACAACTGCTTGCACTCATCCCAGCTGCTTTCTTTTCTAGGTTATGGTGGGATATCGCTGGCAGTTGAAGGACCTAGCAAAGTTGATATCCAGACAGAAGATCTAGAGGATGGAACTTGCAGAGTTTCATACTTTCCAACTGTACCTGGTGTCTACATAGTATCTACTAAGTTTGCTGATGAGCACATCCCAGGTAAGAGAAAAGAAGCCTATGTAAGCCAGCTATTGCTGGTCCACTTCCCCATCAGCGCTGACCTCTTGTAATAAGTGTAGAGTCTATAGGACACCATCTAGGCTTCCCACCAGGGCCTTCATGTTCTGAAAATGCCTGAAGAAGCTTGATTGCTAAATTTTGGAAGGCCGGATAATAAACGTCTTGCTCATCTTGAAGATGCTTTTGTTTGAGGGGTTGTCTCCTGCTGCAGTGTAACACTAAACTAGAATATTGGTTTGGTACAGGTGACTCTCGGCGTACATGGGGGTTGCATTCTAGGTTGTAGCTTGCAAAGCCAAAATCATGTATAGTCAAAATACATTGGAGTCATAGGTGGGTGGGATTGCCAAAGCCTTTTTTTTCCTGGACACCTGCCCCGCCTTTAATTTATTTAAAATTTGCGAAGCATGTAAAGCTGAATGTGTGTAAATAGCAAGTTAATCTGTGTAGGAAGATGGGACTTTCTTGATGGTCATCGCTGATAAGTCTTATGCTTAATGTGCTTAGTTAACAATGCAGCGGTCCAGCCTCCCTCAGTGGGAAAGAATTCTAAGATGCTTGTGGAAATAACTATTAGTAGATGATACGTTACTTTATTGCCTGTGAAAGTCTTGACGCTTCCTGTACTGATAGATGGAACTCAATGTTGTTTTGTCTCTATGAACTACAGGGAGCCCATTCACAGTGAAAATAAGTGGTGAAGGAAGGGTGAAGGAAAGCATTACACGTACTCGGCGGGCTCCTTCTGTGGCCACAGTTGGAAGCTTGTGTGATCTTAACTTAAAAATTCCAGGTAAGTTAGTTCTACTAATACATTTACTGTTTTGGAAACCATAAACCAATAAGTCATTGAATCTTCTGGGCATTCTTTGCAATCAGATTTAAAAATGGAATGTTATCCAAATACTTCTAGAGATCAGGGAAGGCATTCTTATTTAGATCGGGGCTTTGTATGGTAGGACTCACGCCCATTTCTTTCTAGGCCCCATGAAGCAACAGTGGCATTTAAATTTTGCTTTCCAGCACATCACCCACTGACTCAGTTCTAATAACAAGTGATCTGGTTCACATGTAATGCTAAGCCAAACCTGGACTTAAGGTGAATACACAGGCTATTCAAAATGATATCATTATTTTTGCCTCTTAGACCTTCCTCCTGCTGCCAGTCTACTTGAGTCTAAGCCACAATTTGACTTAGCACATGACTGAACCCAGATTTGTTTTATTAACCAAGGTTTTTTCCTGGTTTCACAGTTTATGGTTTGTCTAGAGGAAACACGGGTGTTATAAGTACGGGTGTTAGAATGATCACAGAAGTTTGTACTTGAGTCACTAATGCTTGAGTTACCTTCAGCCGTATTTTTGGAAGGGTAGGAGCGCAGTTGCTGCTATAGAGATCTGTATCATGTGGATCTAACTGGGAGACACATAAAATAATTGGTTGGTTAAAGAATAAATATTCTTTAAATACTATCTTGTTCATAGAATGCACTAATATACAGAATATATTCAGCATGCTGCTTCAGTTTAATGCATATTCTGACGTCTGTTTCTGTCTCTTTCTCTGCTGCTCTAATCAATCTTGGTCTTCCTGTCTTCTGTTCCTTTCTTTCCCCCTATTGCCTTCTCATAGTTACATGGTTCCAAATGGCTATATGTCTGGAGAGATTGTCCCGTGTTTCACACCAGTTCATTCCCACTTTGCTATGTGTTGAGCAGAAGGAAAACTGCCAGACTCAATTGGGAGAACCTTGGTGTCCTAGTTTCACAAAAAACCCAGCCAACATCAGACAACAATGTTTCCAATCAGTCCTTCTATGGGATCTACAGATGTATTACATACCTGGCTCCTTAGGGGTAGTGGGTACGTTGTAGTACTGAGGTTGTTTTATAATTGCAATACATACTTCAATAAAATCTGCTTTAAGGCACAATGCATGGCAAGTAAGCAGCAAAAGTATTTGTTACGAAGACCTGTAACAAACCCTCAGTCAGTAATGGAGCCTGTGGCCCTCCAGTTATTGTTGAATTCCAATTCCTATCAGTTCTTAGAATGGGTGGTGTTCACTGCATTAAATCCAACTCTGTTCCCAAATAAAATTAGTTTCTTCTTCCTTTCCTTTCCTTTCCTTTCCTTTCCTTTCCTTTCCTTTGAGAGAACTTCAAAGAATCTTAAGCACAACCCCTCCTGGACATATTTGTCTGTAACTTGGTAGATTTGACCTCCTCTGTTGTGGAAGGAGTCTATTATGCCTGCAAATTCCATCCTCTTCTGTCAACAGGAAAAGGTGTTTTTTTTTTTACTTCCCAGTAGTTATTGGTGTGGGGGATGAAGTGGACTTAAGTTGGGTGATTCAATTCTTGATTCATTTGTCAAGTGCTTCAGAAAGAGGCAGACTGCTTTCTGAATTGTGCACCTGCTGTATACATTGATCAAGTAAACATTCAAAAAAGGGGTGGGTGGGCTCAAATTTAACTCATCCCCCACACTTGAATGCCTGTGACACAGTATGAGTGCAGTTGAGGCTCTATCCCAATTCCATATTTTGCAAGAAAAGGGAGCGGCTTAATATGCTTAAAGCTTTTGAAATATTCTCTTTTAATTTCATTTCACTTCAAAAATGGATGGTGGGGGCTCAAAGAGCAATGTATTGATTTCTCATTACCAGCTGCAAGCTCTCTTAACTCTGCTTTCTGCAGTCAGTGGAGACACCGTGACTTGCTTGTCAAGGGTGGTGGGTGACAAAATAACTGGATTTGTGAAAATTCTTGGTTTTTGAGGTGAACTGATAAGTATGTGCTCGTCCCTAATATATATATATCTGACACTCTGCATGCACAGGTGAATGCTTGGTATGCACTCACTTAATTGTCAGTTATGTTTTGCTGGTTGCAGTTCTGGGCAGTTGAGTTCCATCAGGTTCCCAGCAAATGTCTGCCAGGTAAAAGTGTTTTGGTGTATGAGCTATAGACGAATGTGCACTCAAGGGCCACTTTGCATGTAATGTTTGAGGGCATTTCAAACATCTGAAAGCAGCTGACTTTGGAACTTTCTATAGAACCTCAGTTGTATAGTCAACTAAACTTGGTGACTGGGTTTCCTATGGGGAAGGTTTCAAAACAACTGAAATACTGGGGAGCTCTGCCCTCGTGCACTGGGCATTGTGTGACAGAGTAAGATGTTTAGAAACCGAATCTACCTGCTCCCCATTAATGGTCAGTTCCTTTCTTTTTTTTAGAAATCGACATTGGTGACATGTCAGCTCGGGTCACTAGCCCATCTGGGAGAATGACAGATGCAGAAATAGTAGAGCATGATAAAAACACGTACTGTGTCCGCTTTGTACCACAAGAAATGGGGGTCCATAATGTTGATGTGAAATACAGAGGACAGCATGTGCCAGGCAGTCCATTCCAGTTTACCGTTGGGCCGCTTGGTGAAGGAGGGGCCAATAAGGTCAGAGCTGGTGGTCCAGGACTTGAAAGAGCAGAGGCAGGCATCCCAGGTAAGACCTTCACTAAATTCCATCTGAATACATGGGCATGGGTCTAAGGCCTTGCAGTGAGAAGGGACGATAGCTGTAATCTTAGAAAAGGGTGCTTACATCTTGTAACACTAGAACACATTTCTGGAGGCCTAGTGACCCTGCCTTGTGTTGCAGAGCCCCATATCACAAAGGGATTGGAGGGTCACTTGCCTGCTTCTAATTCCTGGGTGGTGGTTGTTGTTGTTAACAGCTGAGTTCAGCATCTGGACAAGGGAAGCTGGAGCTGGAGGTCTTTCCATTGCAGTAGAAGGACCAAGTAAGGCAGAAATTGCTTTTGAAGACCATAAAGATGGATCGTGTGGTGTATCATACACTGCTCAAGAGCCTGGTATGGATATCTTAAGTATTAGCAAGTTGAAATGAAGCAAAACACCACAAAAACAATTCCTCCTTGCTTAGCAAAGTTCTTATTTCTTCCAGGTAACTACGAGGTGTCCATCAAATTCAACGATGAGCATATTCCGGAAAGCCCTTACCTGGTTCCTGTGATTGCTCCTTCCGATGATGCTCGTAGGCTCACTGTTATGAGCCTTCAGGTGAGACATAAGGAAGCATCTCCCATAGCCTACCACAAGCTGATACCATCCTTGTGCTCAAGCTCCTTAAAATTATTACTTGCTCACTAGCTACACTTCTTCAGAGGAAATCCCTTGGCACGCATGTAGGCCTTCCAAGTTAGGAAACAGCATCTGAAAAGGGGCGACTCTTCCCTAGTGCTATTCAGCTAACGAACAACTGTGGCCTCCATTCTCCCCGCACAGTGGCACTAAGCAGTTCTATAAACCTTGCTGTTAATTTTCTCACAAGGTTTGTCTATGTATGACAGCGTTCAGCAATGAAGCAATACTAAGTAGGGTAAGTTGGCTTGCATGATTGCATGCTGACAAGGCAGTTAGGCTAACATGCAACATTTCTGCTTGGTGTATGCTCCCAGAATGCACATGGTTGAACAAATGAGGCTCTGGGGTGAGTACAGAGCAGTAATTCACACATGTGCAGATGTTGCAAAACCACAAGCTTGTACTTTAAATGATTCTTAAACAGCAGCCAAAGTCAGAGTGGATTCCAGACTTCTAGCTGCTTGAGTTTGTACATAGTCCTGACTTTCTCGTGGTGTGCATCTAGCAACATTTTAAAGTGACTGTCTTTAATCTAAAATAAGAAGCCTGGAAGTTTCAGACTGAGCGTCATCCAGCCCATCATGTATAGATTTGCTGCAGCTTGAAGCAGCAGTATTGGTTAAATTGCACTGCTTTTCAGAACTATGGTTTTATAGACTGACATTTGGTGTAACTTTCTAGCCAGAGCTGAACTTAAAACAAGGAGTTACAAGGACGATAATTAGCTGCTGTGGTACTGATGTTTTTCTTGTGTTTCATTTAAAGACTCTTGACAGAATGTGTGGTGTCAACTGACTTAAACCCTGAAGAGGGAAATAAAACTGATGTTTTTTTGGGGGGAGGAGTAATCTTTTTACAAAAGATGCATTTTGGCACTCCATAAAAAACTTCCTTGGTGTATTTTAGCTGCCTGTTTCAGTTTATTTCTCTCTTGAGGATAAAACTGTTAAGTGGAAATTAAGGTAAGCTCTGCACTGAAAGCAAAAGCGCAGCATTCCAGCAACCCTCCCCCCAATGGAACTTCAATTTTCCAGTGGCTGGGGGCGGGAATCACACATGCATAACACCAGGAGACTCTGGATTTTTGTATATGTGGTGACCGCTACTGGGGAGCAGGTGTGCACTGATATATGCTTTTGGTTCCACCTTTGCTGGTGTGTTAACAGAAATCTCCAAAACGTTGTATTTGTTGGCATAGGGTGAAACATGCTTTGCTTAATCAGAAAGCTCCAGGCTTAATTCTAGATGCAATATGGAAATTTGTTTTTGGCAGCATGTTAATGAGTTAGCCACACTATTAGGAAAAGAGATTTCAAGTGATTTTGGGAGTATAGCAAAGCAAATTTAGCCCAGACAACCATAAAGATTTGGGCAGCACAAGTATTTTGTTTTAAAGCTAATGCATTTGATGATTTTTGGGCCGGCATCCTACATTTGTAGCAAAATGATGACCTTGCATACTTATAGTCAGACCAGAAAAAAGTGTGTGGGTAGACAAACTTAACCAAGCCCACACTTTGGGAATATATTGTACTGCTGTTCATCATATAATTTTATTTATACCCCGCCCTCCCCGGCCAGAACCGGGCTCAGGGCGGCTAACACCAATAAAATTACAATAAAACATAATGGGGGGAGGGAAACAACAGTTAAGTAAAATATGGGTTAAAATACTATTTAAAATGCAGCCTCATTTTAGTAGTACCCCATAAATCAAAACCATAAGGGGAGGGAAACATAAGGGTCAGACTGAGTCCAAACCAAAGGCCAGGCGGAACTGCTCTGTCTTGCAGGCCCTGCGGAAAGATGTCAAGTCCCCCAGGGCCCTAGTCTCTTGTGACAGAGCGGTCCACCAAGTCGGGGCCAGTACTGAAAAGGCCCTGGCCCCAGTTGAGACCAATCTAACCACCTTGCGGCTCAGGAGCTCCAAAGTGTTGTTATTTGTGGACCTTAAAGTCCTCCACGGGGCATACCAGGAGAAAAGATCACATCACTTGGTGGTATCTGGAATCCTCAGAACTAAGAAGTTAAAAATAAAAAATATTCCTAGTTTTAAGACATGAGAATACTCAGTTGAGAAAAGCATAACACATAGCAGGGTTAGGGGTGCTTGTGTCCTTGTCAGACACATTTTTGTAAATAATGAGACTGATAATGTTTTTCCACAATCATAACATCTATGATGCAATAACAGGGCTACCATGTGTCAAATATTGGTTCTGTGTTAGACAAAATATGCAAAGCTGCTGCTATATTTCGGAGGCAGTAAAGGACTGAACTGTTATATATTCCTTGCAAGCCAAATGTCAATATGTATGTGAGGACCTTCCTATTGCATTGTTAGGAGTCTGGGTTGAAGGTTAACCAGCCAGCATCCTTCGCTATAAGGCTTAACGGGGCAAAGGGCAAGATTGACGCTAAAGTGCATAGCCCAATTGGAGCCGTAGAAGAATGCCATGTTTCTGAATTGGAGCAAGGTAAGGATGTGTCGTAAACTTGGTACTCAAAACTGCTTTAAATATGTGAACAGTCAAAATGGTTGTAATAATTAAACAGGAGGTGGCCATTTCAGTTCATGCCAGTATGGAAACATGTTCAACAGTGATTGGATGCTTATTGTACAAAGGACTGTGTTCCACAAAGGAGTTTAGTACTACTTCCTTGGTGGTAAAAGGAAAAAAGGAACTACTGAACAAAATACTTCCGCATAACCCATTTTAAGGCTAATTGGCATGTGCGCTTTACCACAACCCCAGTTGTTGTTGTTGTTTGTTTGTGCAGAGAGGAAGTCCTCCTGTGAACAGAGGTGTGCATGAGGTTGCATGTGCTAATAGCTCAGTTGAATGGCTGCATATGCATCTTTCTGCACAGTAGAGAGATTGCTTCACAACTTTTAGCTGAATTGTGGACCAAGGAAACGTTATAAGCCTACATTGGGCACGTACCTGTAGATCAGGCTTCCTCAACCTCGGCCCTCCAGATGTTTTGAGACTACAATTCCCATCATCCCTGACCACTGGTCCTGTTAGCTAGGTATTATGGGAGTTGTAGGCCAAAAACATCTGGAGGGCTGAGGTTGAGAAAGCCTGCTGTAGATATTTCAACTCTAGCTACCTGACATGGCTCCTGTCTTTCCATCCTGCCCTATACATTTTCATTAACTTTCTCCCTTCATCCTTCACTTTTGAAAATACATGGTATACCTGTAGGCTGATTCCAACAGGGTCTCATCTGATGCTGGTGCCAATTTGTTTAAATTGGCCTTACATTTTTGATAGCCATTTCTAGCTACTTTTAACTATGCAGATCTACCGTTCTATTATTCTATGTTTCCCAGACAGTTTTCAGACTAGTTGCTGATTCAAAGGAACAAGCTATACTCGATTGTGCTGCAATTATAATATTTGCTGTAGAATAAAGAAATGCAGTTTTCTGCCAGTGCAAGTGGATAACCATTTTGCAGCACGCTGGTGGTTAAAGCAATAAGAACGGATTTTAAAGTGACAGCTCCAACTCCTATGCATGTTCTCCACATGAGGATTGCATTTCAGAGGCTTTGCTTCTCCTCAGGCATGTTTCATGTGCCACCTTCCCATGGCCCAGGCATGTGAGTCATAGAAATCTGGCGCAATAGTTTTAGATGCTGTGTGCCCTTCTTTTTAACATCCAGTTCTCAACCTAAATTTATGATGATTTGCCTGTATATGTATTGCAGATAAATACGCTGTTCGGTTCATCCCGCGTGAAAACGGCATTCATTCTATTGATGTGAAGTTCAACGGTAGCCATGTGGTAGGCAGTCCTTTTAAAGTTAGAGTCGGGGAACCAGGTCAAGCTGATAGCCCAGCTCTTGTCACCGCCTACGGGCCAGGCCTTGAGAGTGGCGTAACAGGTGAGAAGTTTCCTCTTTCTGTGTTAGAATTCTGAAAAATAGGATGGTCTTGACCCAGAGATTGCCTTTGTCTCACTAGCTAACACTCTTCTGTCCAGTGTGCACAGTTGGGCTATACCTTTAATACGCTCAGCCAATATGTTTCAAAATGGGTGGTGGTTTCGGTTATTTCAGTTAAAACAGGGAAAAGCTAATATGCAAGAAAATGCAGAAATGGATGCTGAACTGATTTGAACAATTCAGTTTAGCAGTTTATCACATGGTCGCATCATTCCTGGCCATTGGTCATGTTGGCTGGGGTTGTTGGGAGTTCTACAACATCAGTGGAAGCACAGGCTCTCCATCTCTAGCCTATGTGGTTTTCAGTGGGTCACATGGGAGTAGTGCTTGTTTATATCTCCCGAGGCCCTTGGAGGGAGAAATTAACTGAAATTCGACAGATGAGTTGTCAGTATTACCAGCAACATACCCATTCGCCAGCGCTGATGCTTAACATTTTGGGCTGGGTCCTTGCTATTGATCAAGCTGTAATGGATTCCACACAGCCAAACATTACTTACTGATGGTCTGGCTGCACTTAGGACTCAGCTATACAGCTGCAAATAAAACATTGTACAATGGGAGCCTTATGGAAAATTCAATGTATTTTTAAAAACGCTTTAAAGGAAAGCATTTTCAGAACATTTTTATATGTGTGTAGATTCCACCTTAGAAGAAGCATTCATCAATTGTTCTGGGTTTTGTTTTGCTTTTTGCTTGTCTTCACACACTTGCCCAGGCATCTCCAACCTTCAGCCCTCCAGATGTTTTGGACTACAGTTCCCATCATCCCTGACCACTAGTCCTGTTAGCTAGGGATCATGGGAGTTGTAGGCCAAAACATCTGGAGGGCCGCAGGTTGGGGGTGCCTGCACTTGCCTGTGCAGCAGCATGGGAAAGTGTGAAATTTGTGATCGCAAGGCATCAAAGAAAGGGCTGCTTTTATTAGGAGGTGGGACAAGTTTTTTCTAAATCTTTTGGAGTATTTGGCTTTTTTGATGGATTAGTGATCGTGACTCACTTTGGGTATTTCTTGAGAAAGTGGTCTGGGTTTTTTATTATTATTAAAAAAATACACAATTTGCAATGGCAGATTGTTGCGGGGTGGGAGGCTGTATCTATGACATATACTTGGCAAACAAGATTGCTGCATGAAAGTGTGAAGTGACAAACAGTCTTGGAACTCATGCTTCCTATTTCTCCTTTGCTTTCCAGGGTTACAATCGGCATTTACTATAGACACCACCAAAGCAGGCCCTGGAACCCTTGCTGTTACAATCGAGGGGCCGTCAAAGGTGAAAATGGATTGTCAAGAAGCTCTGGAGGGCTACCATGTAATGTACACACCTATGGCCCCAGGGAACTACTTAATTGGAATTAAATACGGAGGGCCCAATCACATAGCTGGCAGCCCTTTCAAAGCAAAAGTGACAGGTAAGACTCATGAGCCAGTATTACCTACCTGGTTGTGTTCTCAGCGGGAGGGTGGGTGCAGAGAGATGGACTTTCCCAAGGTGGCACAGTGTCTTTGACTTGACTGGCATCTAGTTGACGGTAGCCATTGAGCTCTTTCACTTAGCAGCAGGGGTACTGCCACACTGTTTAAACTGTGCTCTGGTTATCTTGCTCTGTAGGCCAGCGGCTGGTTAGCCCAGGTGTGTCCAATGAAACATCCTCCATCATGGTGGAATCTGTGACCAGGTCAACAACGGATACCTGCTATAGTGCCATTCCCAGATCGTCATCTGATGCAAGCAGAGTGATCTCCACGGGAGCAGGGCTCTCTAGAGCTTTCGTGGGCCAGAAAAACACATTTTCTGTCGACTGCAGCAAAGCTGGTAACTTCCTTTTAAAAAATAATAATAAATGTGGGTTTCTGTTACTGGTCTAGTGACCAAAGACCTGAGCTTCTCCACCTTCTAAGTGTCCACTAAATCTTTAGTGCCGCTTTCACCCCAGAGAAAAGTATTCAGTTGCCATTGGCAGTGGAATGTTGGATCTCCCACCGCTTTACAAAGCATTTAAGAGCATCTAAAGCAGGCTTTCCCAAACTTGGGTCTCCCGTCTGTTTTTGGACTACAACTTCCATCTTCCCTAGCTAGCAGGTCAGGGACGATGGGATTTGTAGTCCAAAAACAGCTGGAGACGCAAGTTTGGGAAAGCCTGATCTAAAGATGAACTGCTAAGAAAAGAACTAGAATTCTTTGTCTTGCACAGGAGTCAGCAAGGTTTATTTGATGAATTTTGCCCAGTGCTTTTTCATCTGCAGAAATACCTTGCCCTGCAAATAGCATTATCCTCCATGAGCAGCATGCTATTAAAGACTACTGACCGTAATGGCTGTGTTCCACTGTGGGAGGCAGTATGTCTCTGGACCCAAGTACGGGACTTTCAAATGGGGACAGTGCTGTGAATTCAGATTCTGCATCCCAACTTCCCATAGGCACCTGTTTGGCAAAAACAGGGCGCTGGATTAAGTGAGCCTTTGGCCTGATCACGCAAGGCTCTTAACTTTGAGTCTGATTGGTCAAAATATTTAGGAAAACTGGATTGGAGCTGCTTGAATTTGGGGTGTGGTAGTAACGCTCTTCATTCTGCCTTAGGTTCAAATATGTTGTTAGTTGGTGTCCATGGACCTACAACTCCTTGTGAAGAAGTATCTGTGAAACACCTTGGGAACCAACAGTACGGTGTAAAGTACGTCGTCAAGGAGAAGGGTGACTATATTCTAGCTGTGAAGTGGGGTGAAGAACACATTCCTGGAAGCCCCTTCCACGTTACAGTTCCCTAAGTTCGTATTGTTTCAAAACATTCAGCTCTGTTCAAGTGAAATCTGAACAATTCAATACTGTGAGCATTCCTGTGAGAAATAGAGTATACCTTCATGTATACAGAACACATTTTTTAATGCACCCCCAACTTAAATTCTGCAACTTTTTAAAAGTGTTCTATTTGTCTTAAGCATCCCTCCTATACAAATGTAAACCAATGTACCTTTCGGATCGATATGCAATCATGTAACAAGGTCACTATCCTTTTTGTGGATTTTAGAATTTACAGGTTAAACTGGAATTTGTGTTCGATAATTGGGTAGCTTAAACTACTGACTTTTGATGGACATTTTTTAGACTGGAAACTTTTTAAATTTAGCTGTAGAAAATCACTTTGGCTATTGCCAGTTAAAGTTCTTCTGTAAAGAAAATGAGGTAAAACTGGTACTTACTGTGCCTTTTGTATACTTGATTTTTTTAAAAAAAACACACGTAACATTGAAAACTCTCAAGCGTTACAGCTAAACACTAAAACACCATAACAGAAAGCTTGGCTGTTTACATTAGCAGAGAATGAAAACTGCAAGGGGTATCAAACCATTCCTGGAAGTCTTTGCCTCTTTTGCTGTGTACAGTTACGATGCTAGCTTACTTTAACCATGATTGTTGTGATTGACAGGATGCCAAATTAGCTGATATTCTGCCACAGGTGCATTTTGCTGACACACAGTAGGTGCAACATGCAGGAACTCAGTTTCTCCCAAGCTTGTTTCTGCACTCAGTGTAAAATTCATGCTTGTGCAACTCACACCTTGGCTATGCTAGAAAGACGTTTATCTCCAGCACACGAGGCTCTTAGTTGAGTAACAAAAAGTAGCTTCTGACTTGCTCATCGTGTCCCTGATCATGATGATGTGAAAACTAGCCTAGTCAGTCAGACAATATTAAGTGTACCTCTGAATGTTTCTGCTAATGGTGCGAGTTTATTGAGCCTGTTCATGCACAAAGTGTTTATCCCCTTCATTGTTTTGGGATAAGGGAATGAGCACATGGCCATTCCAGATTTCAAAAGACATTCCAGGTATGCAACTAATGGTTACTACAAAACTCCTGTGGCTTTTAGCAGATTTTCTCTTTCTCAAAGAGCTTTAAATGTGCCTAATGGAAGAAGAGACTTGATGGAAATTTGTTCCCTCTGTTTAGAGAAAGATTTCTACTTGGTCAGCTTTATTTTTGTAGTAGTATATCAGTGCACTAAGTCCGAGCACAGCTTCTTGAAGGAGGAGCTAGAGTAACAAGACATCCTTTTTTTCTCTTTCTCTTTTTACTGTGCTGTGTGCCTTAATGTGAAATGCTCACTACATTGTAAACTATAAGGAAAAGCAGAATAAACTGGAATAATTGCAAGATTGTAATATTGTATCCCATAACTTATTAAAAACCATGAATGTTGGCTTCATGAAATAAAATGTGCATGTTAAAAACAAACTCAGATGGGCTTCTAAGTATTTTTTTGGTTTTGCCATGACTCATGTCTGTCTAAATGGACTAACTTGTATTGTACCTGCATCAAATGTCATTCCTGCTGGTGGTCGAAATAGCATAAGGCAACAAAGTGCCTTACAGTAGTACGGCGATCTTGAACATGGACCATAATTGGCAATGGTAAAAGCAGATGTGGTCTTTAGTTCATCATGCTTGATTTTAAACACACAGGCTCCCTAGCTCTTAAGACTGTCTCTGTGGCTGAGTTAGGTATGCTCTGTCTTTTCCACAGATTTTTACACTAAATATTCTAGGTCTTGTGCTGTGAAAACAAGCTAGCCCTTGGTTCAAATATTTAGCTCTTAAGCCTCCTACTTGTTGGCATGGCTCTGCCGAAGTCTACCCCTAATCCCTAAAATCATTTGGTTCTTGCCATGCCATTGAAAGGCACTCTGGAGATCTCAATTTTGGGGAGGGGGTGTAGTTCAGTGGTAGAGTATACACTTTGCATTCAGAGGAACCCAGGTTAAACTCCTGGCTTCTCCAGATAAAGACCAGGTAGCAAATTATGTAAAATGTTTCTTTTTTCAGAGCTGCTGTCAGTTGACCATAGCCAGCTTTCCCAGTGCCTTCCTGTTTTTTTGGACTACCAACTCATATGCACCCCGGTTATCATGGCCAATGGTTGGGATGGTGGAAGCTGGTAATACAAAACATTGGGAGGTTGAAAAAGTCTGAGCTGTGTTGACATGGAAGCAGCTCATCAGCATGTTATTGAGGAGTTTTTCCAACCTGCTCTGGAAATGCCAGGAATGGAACCCAAGATTTCTGCTTGCATAGAATGCACCCTTCTTCTGAGCTATGGGTGATGGGGACAGTGTATGTGGAATTTATCAGTCTTTGTAACTAGTGCTATCATCGAACCAGAAGTAATGATTGCTGTTTTCGTTTTGTTTGCAATGTTCTTTTTTTCGGTGCTAATATTCTTCCACTGTGGCCCTAGCTTAAAAGGGCCGTGCCGTGTTTTCTAATAGATGTCAGATTCTCACATCTGTGGGCAGTTAATAGCTAGAGCTACATACAAAAGCTTTCACTGTTTTCCATGCCACTCCTAGGCACACACCACAGTTTCAAAGTTCAGTGTTATGAATTTGTTCAGAATATTCTCTCTCCTCTTTATATTAGTTTACTCACTATGTACTCTTTGAAACTTGGGTGGAGGCCTGGCATTTGAATCTTATAATTTATGGCTTAACTCCAGAGGTCTATGGGTGTGGTAGTTCTTGCATTGCGATGAAAGCATTAGAGGAGGAAACCAAATGGCTGGCATGGAGTTCATCTCTATACAGCTGCCTTACCCATCTCTCGGCTACAAATGCTTTTGATTCTGTTATTTTAAGATGCTTTGCTTTTAAAGGGCAACTGCTCAAATTAAGACCATGGGACAAGAAAGATAGAGGGAGTACCTCTGCATGCATTTTAATTTCCTCTCTGTAGCTGTGTGCTATATACATTTCTCTGAAAAAGATTTATCCCCCTACTGTGCTACCTTTTAGCTATCACTATGACTACTGCATTGTAAGGCAGGGGGCTTTTAAGAAGGTGTTTGAATTCTTTGTGTAACACACAGAGAGCCAGTCAAAACTTGCCTGCTTTGGGGCTGTATTACGTACCCAAACCCCAGGGTGGGTTTTGAGCAAGGGCACACAGCCAGTTTTGTGGTTTCAGAGAGAGAAATCACAGGCACCACATGGAATGGTAGCCAATCTAACTTTTTGTGGCTTCCGCTGAGTTTGGCTTTGATTTTCTTTGGGTTGAGTCCAATGCAACTTAAAATCGGGGAAATGAAGATTGGCAAATCCCCTGCTTGCTTGTGCACAACTTGCATTAAAGATGGACTGCTAACGTCCAACCAAGTGTTTTTGTTAAATCACTTTGTGTGCGTGCTTGCGTGTGTGTGTGCACACTTGTGTTTGTCTAAGGTGTAAATATTCTCTAGTCAGCACAAGTGGGAAGGGTGAGGAGGGCAAGGTTATTCTTTATTTTCAGTTTGATTTACGAGCTCTGCAGTTACAAAGCCCCAACTAGGTTGTAAGGTAACTAATTCCACCTGTCAGGCAATTGTAGCTGCAAAGAAGCCCACCTAAGGTTTGCAACATTTCACCAAAAACAAACCCTTCCAACGCAGCTTTATGCCTTATAGTCACCTAGCTGCAGGAGGTGTGTGTGTCAAAGAGAGGGAGAGAGAGAGAGAGCGCACACACACAGGCCTTGTTCAGAGGCTGTAATTTGAGAATAGCTTCACTGGCCCTTTTGTGTATGTTTCCTTGGACACCAGAGGCAGGAAGTAACATTTGCCGAGCACACGGTGGTCGCCACACAGACTCTGCCATCTCTCTGGGGCCATGAGGGGTCTGCTGACCACGCGGGAGCAAGATGGCTGGAGGGAGCTTATTAACAAGGAGGCCTCCTGCAGGGTCAGCTGGAAGGCAAAATACGGGCACAAATACCCCAGGCGGGTGACTGACTATGGGGTGGCCAAGAGGAAGTGTTTCTTGCCTGCCATCTGCCCTCCTGAGAAGAGTGCAAGCTCCCTCCGGTGTCAAGAAGTAACTGTGCAGAAAGAGGACAGGCGGCAGCTGTCAGGGAAGGAGGAGAAGCAGCAGGAGGAAGGCCCAAGCCTTCAGGAGCCTCTTCCCGAGATGAGGGTTCCCACACCACAGACAACTCAGCTGCTATACCAGGGCTTCTCCCATGAAGGCAAAGGGAGGCACCACTACCTCAAGCAGAGGAAGATGAAGAGCCCTGAGGAGAAATTCTGCTATCCAGTGCTGTCGTCGTGGGAATATGGCTGGCGCTTAGGTAAGAGTAATGAACCAGTAATGGCTATTGCATGGATCCCAGAGCATGAGAGGCATGCAGTAGGCTTAAGAGAATGCTTCACCAGTGACAAGAAATATTTCAAGTTGCTTCTGCCTACTTGCTTCCCCTACTTTGTCTTTGTGAGGGAAAATTATTAGGGTGGAATGCAGTGCAGCGCTGTCTGTTGTCCATATGTAATCTCCCCTGCCATGACATGCTTAAATTTGTTGTAGGACTTCCCCTGATCTCTAGCAGATTTGGGAAGGCACAGGGCACTAACAGGATGTGTCCCTGACAGCTGTCTGTCTTTCCTTATGCACATATGCCGGCTCCTGAACAGTTTTAAGTATGGTGGCCCACTTACACATTGGCAAAAACCTGAGGAAATGTATCTCCACAAAAGAGGCCAGAAATCGGCGCAGTATTTTGCATAAGGTAATTTATATGTTTGCAAATTTGAAAATAATTAGTATAGGTCAAATGGGAAGACTGTGACCAGGTGGCCTGTGTGCCTGCAGTCCAGGTATCAATTGTAGATTGACAACTCCAGTGATGTCTGTCTCCTTTGGAGCAGACTGTTCTTCAGTAGAGGACTGTCCTTTCTAAAGTAGGCCGCATGGTCACCCTCCCTTTTAAGCTTTGTTCAGAAATGCATTTTTGAGGTGCAGGAGCTAAATTGTACCTTCCGCTTACTCTAGTTGCCCTATGCCTGCCTTTCTATCTGTTACCACTTAGCAGCCTTCCTGTTTCATTCTGCATAAGCCCCCAGCAAACCACTGAATTGCCAGCTAAGCATTATTCCGTGAGTCACGGTGACAGAAGCCAATCTAGTTCTGTATGCCAGAGTCTGAATAATGTTTCATTTGTTTACATGGTGACTTTGCTCTGAGTGTAAGTGTTAAGAAGAAATACAAAACAGTAAGAACTAAATAAAGTGAAGCACAAGCTGGTGATGTTTGCCTGGGATGACGCCACCTTTACAGGACCCACTTCAGAGTCCAGATCCCCATGCAGTCATGAACCTTTGGTCAGGCACCATCTCTCAGCCTAACCTGCCTCATAGGATGGTTGTGAGGATAAAATGGAAGGAGGGGGAAGCCACATTCAAGCTCCTTGGAGGAAATGACTGCCTGCCTGCCCCCAGAATGGTAGAAATTAGGCAGGTGAAGCTTTTAAGATAAAATGATGGGCAAGGGCGCACCTGCTGAATTTCTGCATAGTCTGCTGCTATTACAGACAGGGGAAAAGTTTGCCATCATCTAAGCCAGGCATAGGCAAACTCTGCCCTCCAGATGTTTTGGGACTACGACTCCCATCATCCCTAGCTAACAGGACCAGTGGTTAGGGATGATTGGAGTTGTAGTCCCAAAACATCTGGAGGGCCGAGTTTGCTTATGCCTGATCTAAGCATTTATATCTTTTATTAATAGTGGAACTAAGCTGCTGTTTTGTGCATTATTGTTTTATGGAGCAGAGTTTTGTTCAGTGGGAGCTATAATGCATTGCAGCTCTTCAGATCTATCAGCCTCATTCCAAAAGACCCAAACAGGTTTTAGTGCTTTCTACTTCAGTTAAGAGCACATGTTGGCTTTAGCCAATTGTAAACGCAGGCAACTGAATGATAATCTTGGTCATTTGATAGCCCTTTTTAACCATTGTTGTCTTTTTAATTGTATATATTGCTTGTTTTATGTTGCTATGGCTGTTGGCTAATGCGAATAAAGTTTATCTATCTATCTACAGCATAGGCGGAACTACCTGAGCAGCCCCAGGAAGGCGATGTAGTCATTACAGCTACAGGTGGTGAACTCATGATTTGTATGGCAGTCAGTTAAATGCCTGGTGATGATTTCACCAAATCCAGGAAATGGATGACAGGTTTATACTGCTCCTTGCTTATCAGTTTACAAATTGTGACTGTTCTGTAAGGGAATCTGAAAATCACATCATGTGGCAGCTGGCATTCTGCTTTAGGTTATCTTAGGCATGCAATTTTTAATGCTCAATTACACATTTATTTTTCCAGGAGACGTGGTTAAGGACATGAGGACACCAATTCATGGCAAATCCCGAATTGTAAAGGATACTTTCTACTTCAAAAACGGAATCTTCTATCATCCATCAAAAACTGACAAGCTGTCATGAATATTGTTGCTAACTGACATGTGGAAATGTTTGTGCAATGTTGCCTAGCATGGGTATTTGTTGTGGTATTGGATCAGACAACCCTCTATAATTACTTCCCTCCATAATTACTCCATCAGATTTAGAACTTGCTTCTAGCCTTCCTCTCCCTTTAGCATGTAGCTCTGCTTCTTGTGTGATTGATGCACAGCACCTATCATTCTGGCAGAGTAACTTACTGGGTTCTTTGTCAAGGATGTGTATATAACCTTGCATACATTTGGGACCAGAGTCTGATTTAGAGCCAATTAATTCATATGGCTGTTGTGATGTTTCTTGTGATAGTTTCCTTTTGTGGTGACACCTTGAAAGAAGACCTGCCGTAGGCTGATTTTTTAAAAAAGCACCTATCACAGTTTATACTAAGATGAAGTTAGAGAACTGCTTTGAAATTCAAAAAGGGTGCAGGTCTGTAACAAAAACTTTTGTGACAAAGTATTCCCAGTTCTCCAGGTAGTGGATCTATGAAAGACCTTTGACTGAGGCCTTGGAGGGCAACTGGCAGTCAGAGTAAACAGTATAGGAGTAGATGGACCAAGTCTGCTCCATTAGTGATTGGGTATATTATCGTATTCTTCCCTGGAGGTTGTGTGAGCTGTTGTATTGGTTCTTAGTCATGGGGTGGAGTACCACAATGACTTTACTATTTTCACTCATGGGAGCGAACCCATCATTCACTTGTATAATAAAGGTAGACTATGAGGAATTTATAGCCGCAATTATGTGTATGTCAGACATGGGTATGCTGATCAGCTGGTCAGTCATGGAGACAACGAACTCATGGTGAGCAAAAATTCACAGGACACAGCCCTCGGAGACTGGTAGCTCTGTGGTTTTTGCTATTTTTCCTAGAGCTCTTCAGGCATGGATGTGACTGACTTGTGAGAGTACTCTGGTTTCTTTAAAAGATCGTGTGAGAAAGCCATGCTTTGCTGTGTGTCATATGCACAGCAAAGCTCAGATTGAGCAGGAAATTGATCCATGAGCCAACGTTGCTGCCTGCAGGGGACAGAGACCCCCAAGTGAGGTGAACCTGGGGCTACCAGAATTCCCTTGTTTTTCTAAGGGTTATTTTCAGATATGTGATTCCCCACTCCATAGAATAGTCATGACCGCCTCAGAATGCCCCTTGTTTCGAAAGCTTTTTGCTGACAGGCCTCCATTGCTCCCAACTGCTGCGTTACAGCCAGGAGAGTGAACAAAAGCTCTGTTGTTACTCGCAGCTCGAACAAGCCTGGCTGAAAAACATGAGATTTAAAATTAAAATGGGGGTTTGTGTGGGTGCTCATGCTCATTTTAAGGGTGCATAAGGCAGGCATGCTTTTCAAGGTTGTCTCCACAGCTGTGACATACAAGTATTTTATATGAAAATTGAGATACCCGAAAAATTGAAGGTGCTCCCTGGAGCCAAGACAAACTGTGCTGCTGCAACTCACAGCTTGTGTTACCCTCATTCTGTATACACTCATACAATGGACTTTGTAACTTCAGCTACTCTCCTGATTTGATCCGGAACCAGGGTGGTGATAATTTTTCTTTCGTTCTTGGCTTTGTTTGCTTGAGAAGTCGAAGAGATCCAGTGACTCACTGCTCCACAGAGACCAGTTGACTAGAACAAAATAGCATAAAACAAGAGAGCTGCAAAATAAATTTAGTGAATGGAACCATAAATTTATGTGTGCTAATGTATCTAAAAGGTGGCTCTTTTTCAAGTATATGTGAATAATTTCATAGTGTCTTATGTCTCACTTGACTGAAATTTGATAGTAACATGAAATATACTTTCAGTGTTGTGATTTACTACAGGAATGTTGTCTAATGGGCCAGCAGGGAATAAGGGATGAAAATTTCAGTCCGTGTGTGATATATATTGCTGATATTTTATCTGCTCTCAGTAAAGCCACAACTTAGTCCTGCGATTCAGCTTATGCCGATCCATGGACTGAATAAGAGGCTGCGTCTAGACCAGGCACCTCCAAACTCGGCCCTCCAGCTGTTTTGGGACTACAATTCCCATCATCCCTAGCTAATCCCTTCATCCCTTAGCTAGGGATGATGGGAATTGTAGTCCCAAAACAGCTGGAGGGCTGAGTTTGGGGATGCCTGGTCTAGACCAATACTTACCCCATTTCATTTTGGTTTTAGGCTTCACCATCTCTTTGCATTTCTCTGGACAGGGCTCAGGACAGATAGCAGTATGATAATTATTCTACACCCTCCCTGACTAGCAAATGACAATTTAATAAAAACATCTTCTGGATATATGGATGTAGGAAGCTGCCTGAATTCAGATCACCGGTCCATCTAGCTGAGTATTCTCTGCACTGGCTGGCAGCAGCTCTCCAGGGTTTCAGATACTACTTTTTTCTAGCTGTACCTGGAGTTGTCCGAGATTGAACATGGGAATTTCTGCATTCAAAGCAGAAGTTCTACCACTGAGCTATGGCCCTTTCTCATGCTTGGCCATTGGAAATCTCTTCCCCTAAAGACTCGCTTCCTCTAAAGACCCCTAAAGTTAAGGAAAAGCCACAGGGAGCCCCTCTTTCCATGCAAAGCCAGTGAACTTAAGAGAACACATCAATTTCTGGCAATGCAAGTGTAGGATTTTATTTCCCCAAGCAATTTCTATATGTGCATACACATGAAGGATGAATGAATGATTCACAGGAAGATCCACAGCCACCACACAAGCAAATCAGGATTAACACTGTCATATAACTGCCCTGCAAACAAAGTGGAACAAAAGCAGGATGAATGTCCAATAAGCCAGTTGTCTGAATGAGCCCCACATCTGAAACTGCTTGCCTTATGTGGGTATGTTACTTTAGGCAGCATTTCAGCTAGGAAATGACATCTACATTACACATAGATTTTGTATTTGAGAGTGCAGTATTATTTTGATGATGGGAAATAAACGAAGAGGTGATCTCTAAGTTAAGCACAGCTTTCTTTGGAGATCCCTTCAGAAATACGGACCAAGGAGGAAGCAGCATGATGGAGCCAAACTATTTTTTGGCATCCTAATCTACGGTGAGCCACCTATTTTAAAAGGTTATCAAAACAGCTTCACTGAAACTTGCTTGCTTATTTGTTTTGTCTTCCCAGAATTGGTAGTATTTCCTGCACAGGAATTTTTAAACAGAAGCAGGCCTTTATATCAAATCCTGCAATTAATTTGTCTAATTAGTTTACATAGAAGCTATAGCAAATATGCTTTTTAGTATTTTAGCCTCATTTTATAAAATAGCACATGCATGAACATTTAGTGGTGAGGGCTTGAAGCTGTGCTAATTTGTACAGGAGGAAGGGCGTTGTGAGGAGTCACTAGTAGAATGACAGGAGTGTTGTCTTTGGATGTGGGAAGCCAGATTTTTAATCCCCATTTAGCTATGAAGCTGCATGGGAGGCTTAGAAGTCAGACTAGTCAGGAAGCCAGAGAAGAAAAACAGCAAGAGGAAACTCCTGACTCTGTCCAGACACAACTAAGCCTAGTGCCACCTAGTGACTAAAGGTTATATTCAAAGAAGGGCTAAGTCACGTCCCTATTAGTGCAAGGATTTCTGCTTGAACAACAAAACTCACCCTGTGTGCCCCTTAAATTTGTACTAGGGGTTCTGCCAACACCCTGGAGCAGATCTGGGGAGGGGGTGGGGGGTGGGGAGAGGGGAAAAGTCCCACTGCCCAAATAGATACCCATGCACTGTAGAGACACATTTATTGAAGGCCACCCTACAAAAATAGAATATACAGTGGTACCTCCGGTTGCGGACGGGGTCCTTTCCAGAGCTCCAGTCAGATCTTGAGGTTTCCGCAACCAGAGGTGCTGCTTCTGCGCACGTGTGCGGCACGAAAAAGCACTTCTGCGCATGCGCACACGGCGAAACCCGGAAATATACTTCCGGGTTTGCCGCATGCGTATCCCGAAGGATACGAAATAAGAGGTGCACATAAGTAGAGGTACCACTGTAATCCCCACCATGAAATTTACAGTGAGTATGTAATTTGAAAGTAAAACCTATATTCTAGAACGCTCATACACAATTAAAAAACCAAACCACTATTCTCTTCTGTGTTAACAATGATTAAATATTTGCACAAAGAGAATGGGAGAGGTTTAGAGGCATTTTAAACTTCACATAGCATAAACCTTCCCAAGAATGTGAGCTGAGAACTAAGTGGTTCAAATGTCACAACTATAAATTGCACTAGGGGTGTCTTAGGCCAGGCACGATCTTGCAGCCTCAGCTTCCCCATGTGGAATGTGGGGATAATACTGACCTGGCCTACGTAACAATAATCCTCTTACAGAGCAATCTTTTAGTTTGATGGGACTTATTAATTTGTACATTTAAGATTGCAGCCTTTGTTAACCTACCTCACAGGGTTGTTGTGAGGCAAAATGAGAACCGAGTGTACACTGCACTGAGCCATTTGAAGGATACAGGTGTGACACATAATGCTGAAGATGGGAGAGTTTCAATCCAGAAAAAGGAAGACTGCATTTTACTCACACAGACTTAATATTTGTACATTATGGAAAGTTTGGGGAATTATTCCAATCCTCACACCTGTGTTCATTCCAATGGCTCATTCATTTTTATCTGTATACATTTTTAAAAGACTATATGTTATTGCAGGACTGTGAAAAAGATGTGGTTAGAAATCTGTGCACTAAATATGGCCACAGCCTGAAATAAGAACCTGGGTGGTATTAGCAGCAGCCAGCCATAAAATCAACACCACCTTTCTCGATGGCCACACAAAGATTTTTCTTCTTCACTTTCCCCCACCCGCTTAATGCATCAGGATGTATACAATTTGTGGAGGTGACATATTTCAGGTATCTACAAGGGGCATGTAGGTTATGAACAGAAAAGGCCAGGTGAATCCTTGACATTTCTGCTCCAGCAAAAAATAATAAACACTTGTGTTTACTTTGGCATTACACAATATACTTACTTTTTGCTTGTTTTTGTCCTCATGGGCTATGCTGAGCTATGAATGGCGGGAGGACAAGGGGGCACATTGTGGCTGGGTGGCTAAAGGCCAAGCAGTTGAAAAGTTATGGTTTTGATTAAAATTGACAAGTTAACACTGCTTAGTTTTCTTCTTCTCATTTTTAATTGTTGTGGGGTTTTTTTAAATTCCCGCTTCAGAAACAGAGATTTGAGCTTTCATATCTGGCATAAGAGGAGGGGGTCCTCAGTTTCCTCCAGACTGTTCTAGTCTCTCTCGGTTGTTACTTTCCACTTTGCTGGTCAGGCAGCCCAGAGTGAGAAATCAGAACTTGTTCTATCATTCGGTTGAATATACATCAATATGTTACTTCAAAACAGGAGAATAAAATTTAAAACACGGCAAAAAATGTTTTATGGGAGGTGGATTAATGATGTCACATCTACAGCCCAATCAGCACTAGAGATGGAAGGATTTGTCAATTTTGTTTCTTTCAGTTTCTCATTTTCCCATTCTTAAATTCAATCCTGCAGCAACTAGCAATTTGAAAAAAACAAATCATTAAAATTATTCAGCATTTTAGTGTGAATTTCTCCTAAGACACATATTTGTATACAGCAATAGATTCATTTTTGTAAATATTATTTGGCTGGAGAACTCCCTTGAAAAATTCAGATAAGTGCAGATTTTGATGGTTATACTTGTTTTGGTGCTGACATTGTTTTGGAATGTATGAAATCGATTGTACTTTAATGAAACTGAATTGAAATGCCCTCCCATTCTTAACCAACTCTACCCAAATGACTTCTGCTGTAGACAGAGTGAATTGGGACTCAACTACACGGCTGCAAATAAAACATCTAAAATGTGTTGTAGAGTGCAATATACAAATGTGACACTAGATGACAAAAGTGAGCTATGCAAAATTCAATGTATTTTTCAAAATGTTTTTTTAATTAAAAAAAGCATTTTCACAGCGTTTTTATATGTGTGTAGATTCCATCTTAGTTTCCCCTGAGCTTGATCCAGAAGATATGATTGTTTAGAAATACAAACACAGTGAGTTGCACTTCCACAGTGGGTTGTTCATTGCTAAAATAATTGACATCTGAATATAATGCTTTTCTCTGCAAAGATGGACAATGAGGTCATACCAAAACTTTAAATGTATCTCTTTTATAGGCCAATTTGGCTTACCCTGAAGAATCACGGGAATTATAGGATTGTAGTCAACGAATGTCTACTCAAAGTAGACTCGCTGAAATGAATGGACTTAAGTTAGCCATGGTCATTCATTTCAGTTGGTTTACACTGAGTGAATATGACCCATAGCTTGGTGGTATGATGAAAACATAGCAAAGCTTATGTTAGGATTCCTTCCTTCCTTCCTTCCTTCCTTCCTTCCTTCCTTCCTTCCTTCCTTTGATTTATGAATGCCTCAAATCTTTTTCACATTGTGTAGTTACATTAGTCTGCCCACCAAACCCAGCTACAAATGGACAGTTATTTATTTTCCAGTTAGCCGGTGAAGTCAAGGGCAGACAGAACAAACAAGGAGCTTTTCAACACAATGCAACGTAGACGAAAATATATAAACAATCCCAAACATTGATTTGAGTGAATAAACAAAGAAATGAGACCATGGCAAACAAGCAGAGAAACCCCACGGAAGACAAACGGGAGCCACATCAACCGCACTTGTTTATTTTAAAATGTGAATGTATTTCACTGTGGGGACCAAGAGTTGATAGCTTTTTGATGGAAAGAGAGGTGCGGTTGTGCATTTCTGGCTTCTTCGGAGTGGAATGAAGCCATTTTAGAGGAATAATTTCATTGTTGACACACACAAAATTCTGTAAACCATTATCTGTGGATATTCCCAGACGAGTCACAAGGAAATGACTTCACTAGAGAAAATGGGAGTTTGTCCTGAGTCAGAAGTACTGAGCCCTCAGTTTTTCCTATCTGAGCTCTGTATTTGCTCAACTAGGATTGTTCTAATGAAAACATGGCTGTCATCTTGGGCTTGGCCAGCGAGGCTTCAGAGGACAACTGGGCTTGTAAAAGTGTGGTTTTATCCATGTATATGTATGTGTGTGTGCGTGCGCGCGCACAGACTTGTAGAGCTTGAAAATAAATCTCAGGGGAACCTGAAGTAAACAAAACGCAGACCAAACAAATATTCCTGAATTTTTGTCAGAAAAATAAATCAAATGCTTTATATCTGAATCATTGCCTTGTTTTCAACAGCAAGGACTTCATGCTCCCCCTGGTGGGGAAAATGTGATACAAAAAATATATAAAACAAAATGTAGAAATGCTCCTGCTTTTGAGAGCTGCAAGGAAATAAGATAAGATTTTCAAATTCATTTAAGTTTTCTCCCCACAATGCCCTTCTAAAGTCTCAAGAAGGGCTTTGACCAAAGGATATAGTGGTGGTTGGCCTATTTATTAATTTATTATCATTGTGTATTACTCCTTCATGGATCACTGCCTTGTCGTGGCAAAGGAGCTTGAATAACTCAAAGAAGCAAGAAGATCAAACCTATCCATTCTTAAGGAAATCAGCCCTGAGTGCTCACTGGAAGGATAGATCAGCTGAGGCTCCAATACTTTGGCCACCTCATAAGAAGAGAATACTCCCTGGAAAAGACCCTGATGTTGGGAAAGATTGAGGGCACAAGGAGAAGGGGACGACAGAGGACGAGATGGTTGGACAGTGTACTCGAAGCTACCAGCATGAGTTTGACCAAACTGCGGGAAGCAGTGGAAGACAGGAGTGCCTGGCGTGCTCTGGTCCATGGGGTCACGAAGAGTTGGACACGACTAAACGACTAAACAACAACATTGTTTATTAAATTTATATACTGAAGATCACACGGTGGGTTACAGCACAATTCTTCAGGGTAGAGAAGCCACCGGCAAATTTAAAAGCTACCCCCTGCTGAAATATGAGAACAAAATAAGTCTCTTGTCCTAGACCAATAGAACAGGGAATGATTAAGTTCTTGCTTGGTTGCATTTCCACCGGAAGCAGGCAACATCCCATCTGAAGCAAACATGTATTTTGTTTGCAACACAGAGCCTTTGCTGCCCTGACACACAGAAGGGGAACAGTAAGTACTGCCCTTTCCCTCAAATTCATGGTGCATAGTACCCAAGGCTGGTCCAATTATTTTTGGCAGAAAATGCCACAGGGTCTCTTCCCAGTAATGAAACTACAGCAGTAATAAATGAAATCACAATTTGCTACCATTGCATCCAAAACCAGCTGCCTGGGCAACAAACTCACTCCACCTAGTGGTGTGATCAGCCCTTCTAGTATATCACAGCATGATTCATCATGAAATACCTCTTACCCTGACCTTTGACACCTGAAATGTGTGTTTTCAGGACCCACCCTAGTCCTATGACTGTCATTTAACTGTTTTTTTTAATACTGAACTTTAAATTGTTGTAATGGGACGTACTGGTGAAGGGTGTGTAAGAAATGAGGTGGCAGTGATTATGACAATATTTTATATGCAAGCAGGTCCTGCTATCTGCATGCTTGCTATGCGAAAGGTCACTTATCCAAACATAATTATCCCCAAACTCTACTATACACTCCAGGTTCTGATTCTGATATCCAAACAGACAGTTGGCCCACTTCCTTAATTTCTTGCTTGTTTCTGCTTTGCTGGTCGGCGGCAGCCATTTTGGGGCAGAAGCCATTCAGGGAGGGGAAGATTGGGTGAAACAGAGAGCAGGAGCTATTGGAAAAATAAGTTCCCCCCTTTGTCTCTCTTTGTTGGTTGGCTGTAGACATTTCAGGAAGAAACCATTGGAGGGGAAAGTGGGGGTGGGGAGATTGGAGCAATCCCGAATTAGGAATGTTCCCATAGAAATCAATGGACACCGTGGGCTCGTTATGCAAACACTTGTCTACCAAATGATTGTGGGAATGGATTGTGTTCAGTAAGCAGGACCTGCATGTACAGCACATATAAAGTTACAGCACACATAATATCTCCATTATTTGTACAACAGACCTATAATTATCTCCTTATTGCCAATTGGTGGCGGTGGAGAGAAGACAGAGGCTGAGAAACTGATGGCATACCTATGACTCCTAGTAAATTTGTGCCTACAGTAAGATTTGAATCAGGGGCTTGGGAGCTCACTACACCCGTTTTCATTGGATTGTGGTTTCTTGAGTGATATGCATATAGCTTCTTTCTGATAGCCTCTAAGAAATCCTGCATGTCTTGTCAAGTTTCTCAAACTTTGCAATTCTATAATTTTATGATTCATGCAGAACATGTGCCCTAACTACCGAGTCCTTTCCCTATCTCAGAATCCTATTTTTCCTGGAATGTGCCTTTCCTAAGGGAGGCCAACCCCACATTTTGAGAATCACTGCATCAGGTCTGGAGATCATGGTAGTTCTTGTGCAAGAACATGTAATTGAAACCTATCTGGTCTGGTGTGAGCCAGTCAGCATGTTCTATATTTATCATTATTCTGTCTTCAGTCTTGGGGGATTGAGACAAGGGGAGGTTATGGAATTGTCTATTCCTGTTTTGTTTCCCCATCAACTTCTTCCATTGTCCTAGCTTGAGCGCATCCTCCCTATGGGATAATTGTCTCCATGTGCCAGTTCGTGTTCCTTTTAAAAACAGTGTCTTGTTTGCATTCCCCAACTACTAAATGTTAGAGAGCATTGATTTCGGGAGACTGCCATGTTTAGAGTCACTGTGTCAGCTTTCATATATTTTTGTCCCAACAGCCGGACCAAAGGCCAAAGTATATAAACGGAAGTTGAATAATTTTGTTTTTTGTAGGGAAGAAAGCAGAGGGAAGGGTGGAAAAACAGAATACTCATAGTCATTAACAAACATTTCCCATGGCATTTCAAAAATCTGCAGTAGAGAGATGTCTGGGGAGGGTGAAACCTCTTTGTTAACAAAGCAGTTATTTGATATCTCCATATTTCTCTCATAAGAAATCACATTAGAGCCCTGATCTATAGTATGTAGAGGAATATGGCTGGCTGACGAAAGTAAGAGAACAAGTAGGGCATTGTTGCATTACTATCTGGCTGTTTGCCTGCACAAAAAATACATTTCTCCTCTCTCTCTGATATATCATTGGCTAGTTCAAATATTCCTCCTTTGGGGCAAAATTAAGTAATGCTGAGGTTCTGCAACAGATTTCCGCTTGCACAACAGAACGTCTTTTCCCTTTCCACTACAGCCCTCCTATTCAGCTGCAAAATCTGCTCCAGAGGGTGAGGGATGGAACATTATCACATTTTGGGGGCACAGGGAAGAGAGAGAAAGAGGAACTTCCATTGCACTTCATTGTGCACCAAGTTGGATGCAACCCTATGGGCCGTATCCAAATAAAACTCTCACCAATTGAATTTTTCACCCCAGCTGCCCAGCACTGGTGGGCTACACTTCCAAGAAAATGTAAGTCCTACCATCCATCAAATTTTAAAATAGGAGATGCCACATTCCCTTTTCACTCCAATTCCTGCCCATTTTAGGATTGCTTTCACTATATCTCCATGCTGATCCTTCTACTGCTGGCCCGTGTGGTTGAACATGGAAGCACCATGGGCTCTGTGGTTCATGGTAGTGAGTGCTGGAACATCAAAATGGAGAGCCAGTTGGTGGTCCTGCAATAAGGTTAAGGCCTTCTGGGATATTATCTACAACGAATTAAAAAAGGTATTAAAATATAATTTTAGCAAAAAACCAGAGGCATTTTTATTGGGGTTAATTGGCGAGGAAATTCACAAAAAAGATGTAAATTTGTTTATGTATGCCACAAAGGCTGCAAGAATCCTCCTGGCTCAAAAATGGAAGCAGCAAGAACTCCCCACCCTGGATGATTGGAAGATAAAGATGGTAGAATTCATGGAACTGGCGAAGTTGACGGGGAAAATCAGGAATCGACCCGATGAAAGGCTTCAAAAGGACTGGAGCAAATTTATTTATTATTTGAAAGAAAAGTGTAAACATTTGAAATCGTTTGTAGCTTTAACATGAAATGTTTGGTAATGTGGAATTAAGGAGCTAATTTACAAGCTAGAGGGTGATTCTAAAAGTTGGTATAAGGTAAAGAAGTGACTATTGAAATGCGATAGATACGTTATAGTTATAGGGATGACAGAAAAGAGGGAGGGAAGGAGGTCGATGCTCTTTTTGAGTAATAATGTAAGCTGTAGATATGTGTAATGTAATGAAATGAAATATGGAAAACTCAATAAAAATCATGATAAAAAAACCAAAAAACCAAAACAAAATGGAGAGCCAGTGTGGTGTACTGGTTAAGAGTGTTGGACTGGGACCTGTGAGTCCCATTTGGCCATGCAGCTCACTGAGTGACCTGGGCAAGTAATTTCAACTTAACCCCCCTCACAGGGTTGTTGTGGGGGTTAAATGAGGTGAGAGAGAACCATGCGTGCCACCTTTAGCTCCTTGGAGAAAAAGGTGATATACAAATGCAATGAATGAATGAAAAGGGTAAATGCACCAACCAGCTATCTTCCACTCCCACTGGTGTTCTGCAATATGCAAAGAGGGTGGTGGGAAAACTGGCTGTACATGATTACAGATCTAAACAAAGGTGTGTTCCTCCTCTTCAGTTCTCACCCGTTTTGCTGCTTTGCTTTTAAGGACAATCCTTTTTCTAGGTTCATATCAGCCTGCCATGTAATGCTACATTTCACTGTGATCTTGGAGAACAGCCCTGGGTTACTTGTATCTCACTTCCAACATGCTGCATATTAATTGATCCAACAAAGGACATCACTTTGTGCATGGTGTGCAAAGACAAACAATTTGAGTGAAGATAAAACAGATGGTTCCATAAGAGAGAGAAAAGGACAAAAAGCCACCCAAGTCATTAATCAGTCTGACTTGAGGATAATTTTCCCTGTCACCTTAATACGGGAAGAAATTAGATCCTGAGCACCCAAGCAAGATCAAGCTGTGAAATAAAATTTAGTCTAGCATTACAACATTCATCCTACTGGCCCATCTTTAAAATTGCAATAATCTAGAAAGGCAAATGTAAAGCATCATTTTCCAACCTACTTGCATGGTCTCAGTTCATCCAGACTGAGAATTTGGGTTTGATTAAGGATGAGGGAGAAGACTTGATTAAGTTTGTATGTAAGGTGAATATTCAGTAATTCACACTCCTTGGAACCATAGGCTAACAGAAACACTGCCATTGTTGAATATTTGAAGTTCTCTGAATTTTGCAGCAAAGTTCTCCAACCAAGTAATGTGCATGAAAAGGCATATTCCGGTGTGTGTGTGTGTGTGTGTGTGTACAAATGTGTATGCTAGTGAAAATATCACTCAAAAATGCACTACATCAAATGAAATTGCTTATGTTAGGCAAGCTTATTTATAAAAACATATGTATTAGAACGCTGATGAAATTTCTTGAGGGTTAAACTGCTCCCTCTGAACTGAACTGAAAATTGGAAAAACTGAAAAAACCTTAAGGCACATTCTTCTTGGATCTGATCTGAGGGGAGAGTTGAGTACTCAGTGTCTCAGTGCTAGGTTTTTATTTTGGTAACCTTTGGAGTTCCACCTAAATCAACAATTTCACATTTCTCTAACTTCAAAGAAGTAATGTGACGTGTGTGTGTGTGCGCGCCCGTGTGCATGCACCCACCTACAAGATTGGAGTCAGTCAATGGCAAAAAGTGTGTTTCTGTAGCTTCTTTCTGAGTTCTTGATTGTAAAATATCTTTGGCCAGAAGACCGAAGTTGGGAACAGGCAGAGATGCCGAACAACTCTGAACAAATTGTTTCACCAAACAACCCCTGCTGAAGACATTGCTAAGGCATTCAGATTGCCTCACTGCGTTTGTCTTTCAGGTTACGGCAAAGTTAATTTTAGCTCATTTATTTTATTTAACCTTGAATGCTTTTAACAATAAAAATAGTTTCGGTTTGCATATTTTTGGTGAAATAGGCCATATGGGAGGCCGACATACATCAAGGAAAAGGTCAAAAACTAAACCCACTCTTTTCTTGTGAATATACATCCAATTTCTTTTCTCTTCGGAGAACAGCAGTCTCTTGTCTAGCCCTGTTGCAAGAGGCGCCTACGATTGCTTGCTCTTGCTCGTCTTGGGGAATGTCTGCTGGCTCTCAGCTGGAACTCTACTGGAAAGTGATCGCTCACTGCTAAAGCCTGCAGAGTAAGAGACACAATAGGTGGATTAATTGGACACCCTGTCCCTTGCATACAAATATTTAAAAGCCATACTGTGTTGAGTAATTGCCATTTGTTGCTATATGAAGCCACACAAAGATAGCCCCTAAGTGAGGTGCATAGCCCTTATTCCAGGGAAGCCACCAATAAATCTGGCTGCTATGCTTTCAAACATCCAAAGCCAAATTGCTCAGGAAGGCTATGGATGCATCTGTCCGACAAGAACACATATGGAATATGCAACCAACCTGAGAGCTCTGCTACATTACAGCACAGGGAATAGATCGTGAATACTGCAGCACAATGCACTGTGTTAGTGTGGGTTTCCCCATGTCACATTAGCCTTCTTCAGGGAAACTTCTTGTGCATTCTGCCAATATGTGAGAAGGCTGTGCTGAGTAGTCCTGACCATGACATCACACCCTAGATCCATGCTTGCCATCTGTACATCCTTCCAGTGACATAGCATGGGTTGCCAGTGTCTGGGGCAAGGCAAGTATCCTTGGCACTGCCTGCCAATAGGCTGGAGTGAAGGGGCAATAGCTTGGCAGCCAACCCAAGTGGCAGCCATGGCCAAGGGAGAGTGGTCATGTTTCTAAAGCCCATGCAGAAGGCGCCCTAGCAACCAGCCATAGCTCAAATCCTCTCCGCAGCCCATCCACATGAACATTGGGAGATATTCTGTGTTAGCAGGAGGGTCCACTATTTATTTTTTATTAATATTTTTATTTCCTTTTGAAATTTTGTGCCCCTAAGAATTTTGCACCCAGGGTAAGTGCCCCGTGGCTCCGCCCACACTACGCCACTGTGCCCTGCACAATCAGGATTCTAGATGCACATGGGCTCCATTGCGTGTGTAGCCGCCTGCACAAAGTCTCCCTCCCTGCAGACACTCCTGCTGTGTGTGCATAGGAACATAGGATAAGACCACTGGTCTTTGTAACTCAGCATTGTCCCCACTGACTGGCAGTGGCTCTCAGGTTCAGGACAAGAGTCCCCCCTAGTCCTTCTTGGACAGCTCAGTTGGTTAAAGCATGGTGCCGATAATGCCAAGGTTGCAAGTTTGATCCCCGTATAGGACAGCTGCATTGCAAGGGGTTGGACTAGATGATCCTCAGGGCTTTTCCCAATTCTATAGTTCTGTGATTCTATAATTATATGATCCTGGGCCCCTCTGCATGCATAGCAGATGCTATGCCACTGAGCTCTATCTCCTCCCAGGGACACTAGGGGGGAGGGGCTAGTTGGAGTGCCCTATCAGTGGCAGGACTCGCTGACAGAGCACATGGGCCATGTCACGGCTAAAAATTGGCCGCTGTTTCTTTAATGCTAAAAGGACTAAGTCAGCATGAGTCAGCGGCCTACAATGACTCATGCAACCTTTCACCTAATTGTACCTGTATATACAGAGTGGTCAATGTTAGTGTTGGGTGTGGGTTGGTTGGATGGTAGAAAGCTGGTTGCGTTTGGTGTGTGTAAAAAGCTGTCGATCTCGATTGTGGTTGGAGAAGACGACTTTTTAAGAATAAAAGCAGCAATACTCTGCAAGAATACTCTTTCTCAACTAAGGTCTGAGGATTAGGTAAAGGAGGTCAGAACCTTTTCTTTTTCAAACACTGGCAGGCCATTAATCTAAAGACTGCCAAAGTACAGCTCTAAAGTGGCGTATTTTGTTATCAGCCACTGATGCAGCTGCAGGTACTACATAAATCATGTTCTTGGCTCCTCAGTTGTTCGAGTTGTGTTACTCCAGCTGTTTACGCAGCATGATCCACACAGGTCTCTGATTTGCGTAGACAAACACAGTGGGGGATAAAGTGATGGAAGTATGTTGGCTGTACACATGGCACACACCTGTCTATCTGTGCAGATGGGCCTGCAATTCTGTTATGTGATTCCCTATATTTCTCAGCTCATGGTTCTTCCTGCTTCTCTGTTCTACCTGCTTGTTTCCCCTCGACTGGCTGCCTGCCTCTCTCACTGGTCTGCTGCCCCAGTTTTGACGCAGCGCAGCTGTGGACTCAAGCCCCAGCGGATGCAGGATGAGAACGCAAAAACACTCCGCTTGTGTACTATTCCTGTCTTACACAAACCTGTGCTTCAGTCATCGAAAAGGCCGTCTGAAAATCAAAGATGCCGGCTGAGTCTGGCACAACAGCATTTATGAGTTTATTCCCACGGAGTACAATCCTGTAAGAGGCGAAAACAAGACCACTGGGTGTTAGCCTGCCGTGCAGGAGGAGAATACATATGCTGCTGTCAGAAAGAAAAGGTGAGCAGGGAGCATGGTGGGTTTTGATAGCAGAAAGATGAATTTGCAGCCGACCCAGAGGCAAGGCAAGGAAAACTCCAGCAATTAAGCTGATCCACAAATAGCTTGTCTCTTAGTTGCTATTTCATCTTTCCGTGGGTGGTAGAGGACGATGGAAAATGGCAATTTAAGTGCCTCAATAGTGCATCAGTTTCCATTAGTCAAAGATAGGAAAAACAAAAGAATAACCAATTAAAATTATCTCAAACGTAGTGGGTTCTCAAGTATTTCTGGCTGAACTGCACAGATACAGGTAAGCTTTAGTGCTTGTTATTAGGACTGCTTCTGATACTCTTGTTCTGGTGTAAGGTCTTACTTGGTTAGCCAGCTGTGTATCTCAGATCATGGATGGAGAACCTCAGGCCCAGGGGGGAGCAAAAAGCCCCCCCTCCAGCCTCTCTATCTTGTCCTTGAGACTCTCGCCAATTCACCACTGCTTAGGAATGCATTTACTAACCCAATGATACCAGCCTTTTTCTCTATCTAGTTCTGCAATGTGAAGTCCTCTGGAGATCTTCAGGGATTGAATGTTTGCTCTCAGCTGGGTGAAGTTCATTCCACTGCAGGTAGGCTGCCACAGGGATACCCACCCACCCACCTGACACATTTGTGCAGTGCTTTGTGCAAAAAACAACCAGAGAAGAGCTTCCCCAAGTGATTTCTCTCTTTCTCCCAAACTGCCCGTCCTCACACGACTATGTTCAGACATCACTCATCATCCTGGCACTACCTGATGCACAGTGCTGGGAAAGGAGGCTGGATTGTGACTCAGAAGCACAATCCTATCTAACACAGCGCTTGCTTGCCAGCTGTTTCGGGAACAAGGGAGGGAGGTGATCTTGCCAAGGGTAACAGCGTGGGCAGAAGGAGGGAAAGTGCTGTGCCAACAGCAGGGAATGAGCTCATCGTGAGCATCAGTATGTTCAGGTGATTATCCTGGCAGACTTCATGGAGGTCAAAAGTTTTCTGTCTGGAAATCAACCAAAGGGCTTGCACAGGGAGGAAGACAACATGCAACCCAAGAATGCGCAAAAGATGCAATTAACTTGTCCTTACTGCCTCTCACTGGGGGATTACAGTGGTGGCTAACCTGCTTCCCTGCATCTCCGGATCACTGATGCAACATTTTGACTCTTTTGTAGACTTTTAAATATTTTAGAATGGTTTCAGTTGTTCATTCTTTTTTTTTCTTGCATAGCGCAGTAGGATGTGCAAGAATGATGGAATATAATGAATTAAACAAAACGTGTGCAACAAGGCAGGTATGAAGTATGAGGAGGTGGCCTTCAAGTTCACACCGTAGTACTTCTGGGAAATGATATATAATGAATTAAAAAAGGTATTTAAGTATACCTTCCCCAAGAAACCAGAGTCCTTTCTCCTGGGCATAGTGGGCCAAATGGTGTTAAAAAAGGATAGGAATTTCTTTTTTGTAAAAAACAACAGCAGCAAGAATACTCATCGCAAAGTATTAAAGACACAAGAACTTCCCACACTGAGGAATGGTGATAAACTTAGATATGACCAGAAGTGGAATTTATGTGAAATGACTAGTAGAACTGTGACCTAGGGAGAAGAGTCATGTGGAGGAAGACTAAGAATTAAGACATTCAGAAACTGCAAATTAGGACAAAGAGCGAGCGTTGATTGAAAACATAGCTTAGCTGTACAGTGTTAAAGTTAAGGATAGATTAAGATTGGGCAGATCAAGATTCAAAGATGTTTAAAGAAACAATTTGATACAAAGGAAAATTTAAAGGTATATGACATAAGAACAAGGATTATGTTTTAAAAGTTGAAGAGAGACAGCATAATATTTTGTTAATTAAAGATTGGGTTTAAAAGTAGAGAAACTAAGTTAGACAATGCAGATTGAAATACGTGAGGATATAGAAGTCCAGGATAATAAGAATTTTAAAATTGGGAAATGGAAAGAGAAGTTTGTTTAATTGTTGTTTGTGTTTTAGCCAAATCTCATTGTTTTTTTTGTGTGTGTTGTTTTTCTTTTCTTGTTTAAAACCTAATAAAAATTATATAAAATGAAACAACAAAACACACTAGAGACATATAAGAACATAAGACGAGTGTGCAGGATCAGGTCAATGGCCCTTTTAGCCCAGCATCATGTTCTCACTGTAGCCACCTAGATACCTGCGGGAAATCTGCAAGCCCAAGAGCGCTCTCCCCTCCTGCAGTTTCCAGCAACTGGCAATTAGAAGCACTGTGGAGGCAGAGCATAGTCATCCTGGCTAGCAGCCATGGATAGGCTTATTCCCCATGAATTTTTCCAATCCTCTTAAAGCCATCCAAGTTGGTGGCGATCATTGCCTATTATGGGAGCGAGTTCCATAGCCTATGAGCTGTGTGAAACAGTACATTCTTTTATCTGTCACAAATCTTCCAATATTCAGCTCCACTGGAGCTCCATGAATTCTAGTGTTGTAAAGGAGGAAGAAAAACTTCTCTATAAAGCCCATTGTACCTTGGTAATTGTTGGCATCTGCTTGTCTTGAGAGACAATGGAGTGTGCTTCTCGGGGTGAAGTCAGTCTCAGGGTGTTAGCAGCACCGAAGTGACCTCCTGAGGCATAATCCTGGGCAGTGTGTATGGAGGTCTGGGCTGCCCAGGCAACAAGACCCCCATCTCAGCCTTGCTGATGTGGTCCAAAGTAATACTTTGGGCAATAGCTTGGTTGCAGGAGCTACTAAAAGAAGGCGTACAAGACACCATTCAACCACCTTGGGCCTCCTCTCTGGATTTGTGTAGGGTTTACCCCTCCCCCAAAGATGTCCCGCAAGGCAGCGGAGGTTTAGCAGAGTTTTCCTCTTCCCAGATGAGCTACCTTTCCAGGTTGATGAGCCCCTTCTGCCACTCACTTTCCTCTACTGCACAAGCGGAAACCACCTTCTTGACTGTTGGTCTCGTCCGCTCAATATGCCAGAGCCTGTCTTCACATGCAGGGGAAGTCCCTAACTCACCGAGGGTTTGAGATAGCATTGGTATAGCTTTATTCTTCTGAGCCAAGGAACAGGAAGAATGTCTTCACACACTGTCACATAAACAATGGATTTCACTTCCGAAATAGACACCATGTGTGGCTTTTAAAAAAGGATTAGACAAATGAATGGCCATGATGACTTTTTCCACCCTTGACTGCTGGAGGCAGTATATCTCTGAATACCTGCTGCCAAGAATTGTAAGTGGGGAGAGTGCTGTTGTGGTGAGGCCTTGCTTGTGAGTTTCCCTTAGGCATCTGGTTGGCTGCTTAGAGAACAAGATGCTGGACTCTGATGGGTTTTTGGCAGGGCTCTTACGTTCCAGTGTATGTTCTTAAGAAATAACGGAGCATTGGAAGCTAGATTGTGGCTTTCCTGGACTAGAGCAGATTGGCCAGTCTCCAGCTGCCTAGGCCCATTTCTTGCACTTGTCACAGATTGGTTATTCATAGATTAATAGCTAGATGTGGTGTCACACAGGTAAGAGACCAAATATGCAATAATTTATCCATGCATAGATAGCCCAGGTGCACATTTCCCCCCTCACAATATTAACAACCTGTTGTAAATCAACATGCATTTTGTTAAGGTAACCAGCAGAGTTCTTCTAACACTGCAGATAATAGGTAGCTTAGCAGAGGCTCTAGATGGGAGGGTTCATAAGTCAGCTCTAAAACCAGCTGTTACCTGTCATAGGGGCAGCGGGTGCTGGCTTTCACCGTCGTGTCAGTTTTGTCATCAATCAGCCAAACAAATTCAGTGTGATTTCTCAGTCTGATATTCTTCCAGTGTTTCTTGGCAACATAGCCACAGCCAGCGTTGAAGTCTCCCATGAAGATGAAATTCTACAAGGTGGGGCAGGAGATTGTGAAAAGACAAATTTGAAGAGACAGGACTGCAGAAAGCAGGGCAGAAAGGTATAACAACCTCCTCCTCCACTTTTTAATGTTGGGAAAGTAAAGTGATCTATTTTGAGCTTCTTAGCAAAGGCGCCCTATCATGGCAGCAGGCGCACCCAGATCAGACTGGCTCACAGAGTCACTGATGAATTTCCCTGCGTGTGCCAACCACATATGAGAATTATCTCAATAGATCTTCAGGTGCAAAGAGATCTATGGGGAGTATCAGAGAAATGGAAAAGGAGGAAGTTAATGGTGTGTGATTATGAGGAAGAGGGAGAGATAAAATTCTGAAATGACTTCATTCATTAGTACAGATGGCAGGCAGTAGTAATCCTGTCTCCAGGAACATAGCTGGGCTGCTCAGAACAACCAAGCCACACTTTGACTAGAGCTTTAGGAGAAGGGCAGTAGCTCAGTGGTAAAGCCTCTGCTTAGCATGTGGAAGATCACAATCCCTGGTCTCTAGGTAGGGCTGAGAGAGACCCCCCATCTGAAATCCTGGACAGCTCCTGCCAGTCAACACAGAGAATGCTGAGCAAGATGGACCATTGGTCTGTCTCAGCAGAAGGCAGCTTTCTAAGTTCCGATGTTCACAGGGGTGGGGTGATATTCAGCACAACTTTAGCACAAATGCACCAAGGAAACAGCGACTGACCTCAGACTTCAAACGTTGTCTTACATCTAAGTACACGTCATAGAGTTCATCAATTTCCCGAACAGCCATTTCAGGTGTTGTGTGCAGAGGGATTATCACAAATTCCCTGACCACTTAAGAAGCAAACATTAAAAATTAAGATGATCAGCATTTCCAAAACTCACTCCCATCATGGTTAGAAAAACTGACAGATCTAATATGTTTATTAGGTATATTGCCTTTTAAAGGTCATGGATATTGGAGGGTCTTGAGTTAAGCTCATGTGGCACCTGAGCCTACCAAAACATAACAGTCTTTGTCTTTCTAAAAACAAAACAACCCCCATTGTCCAGCTTTCTTCCAGTATCAAGTACATTAAAGTTTTTTAATTATATAAGAAGTTTGATTGTTAGGGCCCAGATTGGTTTCCAGATCTTAGCAGGCCCATTTTGCCTCTGATTCTACTTAGCATCAATTCTCATGCTACACTTTTGTACATACAGATCTACACCTCCTGAATAGCTCCTTCCTTCCTTCCTCTTGGTCTGTATACCCATTACTGGCTTAAAATGCAGCTAGGTTGCTCTTTTTCTCAATTAAGATCAAAGCTGGTTTTGGGGAAAACACACCAAAAGACAGCACAGTGGTACCTCTAGTTACAAACTTAATTCATTCCGGAGGTCCGTTCTTAACTTGAAACTGTTCTTAACTAGAGGCGTGCTTTCGCTAATGGGGCCTCTTGCTGCCGCTGCGCCACCGGCACACAATTTCCGTTCTCATCCTGGGGCAAAGTTCTCAACTCGAGGTAACTCTTCCAGGTTAGCGGAGTTTGTTAACCTGAAGCGTTTGTAACCTGAGGTGCTTGTAACTCGAGGTACCACTCTATTGCATAAGATAGGAACAGCTAGATACAGGATAGGCATGGTTTGTGGCTAACACAATGTGTACCCTACTTCCCAAACCAGTGATGGGAGTGCACTGGGTGCAGAGTAAAAGGGAGTATTTACACAGTTTTGGACTCTGCACTTCCTTTAAAGATCTGAGTGGGTTACAGATGCTTTCAGGTGGCCTTCCATACAGCTATGTGCTCAGACCCAAGGACCACTTAGCATCTGCAGTGGAACTGCTCTTACCAGCATGTGGTCTTTTTTCCATTCAAGAATGTGTGTTGGGAATCCTATCCTTATATCCAATTTGAAAACTGGGATGAAAAAGGACATCTAGATGTTGACATGTTAGCATTGCAAAATATGCATATTCCCAGGCCTGGATCAAGGGGAGGGGAAGGGGGCACATGCCCTGGGCAGCAGGTTGGAGTAGCGGCAAAACAGCATCCTGCCCTGCGGCACAGGAGAAAAAGGACAGGGGTACACAACGGCCTCGGTACATGTTTGGTGACTCCTTATGGTCTGGCAGGCTGCTGCTGATTAGAAAGGCCCATCTCTTTGCCTGCCCCAGGAAGAGGAAGGTGAGAAGTGGCTGTGAGACAGGACATGAACCGGCAGGCTTTATTCTCTTAGTGGGAGACAACAGGGGAAAACGCTTTCCCCCCTTCCTTGTTGTCCCACTGCCATCACTACCACCACTGAGAGACGGAAGCCTGCATGGGACATAAAGGGGGGAAAGATTTTCTCTCATTGTGTCCAGTCCCCTGTTGGTGCCATCAAGAGAAGGAAGCCTGTGCCTCCATCGTCCTCTCAGTGATGGTGGTGGAGACTATATGAAGCTGCAAGAGAAGGGGTGGTAGCACTGCAGACTTTTGCCCCCTCCAGCAAAATTTGTAGACCCAGCCCTGCACATTATTGTATGGACCTTTAAGCCTCAATATATTAATGAGAATTATAATTCAACCATTTAAATCTTGTGCCACACTGCATTCCTCTTGCTACTTACTACCCTATCTTCAGATGTTTTCTATGTGCAGCTATCTAGCTCTAGGACATTAATCACACTTAGAAGCCTAGCTGCTATGCAGTGCTGGAAAACGTTGAAGTCAACAGATCTCATTGCAAAGTGCTTGGAGTTTTACAGTCTTGACTTATTTAATGTTTAGGACCTTAATTAAATTTGGCACAAATAAGTCAACGTGCGGCGAGTTCTGGATTATGCTTGTGGTTCTACAAAAGGCTGCAATCAAGGGTGGATTAATCATGAAGTTAAAGTAGCTGCAGAGTAACCTCAGCCAAATTGGGATTGAAGAGTGCTCTGTGGCTCACAGAATCCCATGAAGGCCCATAATCCATTTCCACTCCTGAAGCTAAGCAGGCCTGGCCCCATAAGCTGCCTAGACAGCAGGCCCTACATTAAGGCTTGCCATTCGGAGCTCATCAGTAGAGTCTAAAATAAAGATCTGGGGCTTCCCTAGTGCTCATCCTTTTCCTGTATCTCTGCTTGTGGGTTATGAAACACACAGGAGGAGGAGAGCAATGTCTCACCAGTTTTTGGAGAAGAGAACCAGACAACATAAGGCTCCCTGGAAAGTGCATCTTCGTCATCAGGCTGCAGATCGGGATACTGATAGATTTGCTTCACTGACACCATTTTTGATCTGAAGTGTGAATTAACATACAGACAGAATATCAGCTCTATCAAATAGTTTAGACCTTTTTAAAAAAATGTATAGGCTGACTTTCTGTCCCAAGATCCACAAGGTAGCTAATAAGACTACAATCAACAATGAAAACGCCGCAAAAAAAGCAAGCTAGTTTTCATAATCTCAAATTTTCTGGCTCAGTAATACAACTACCTGAAGCTATGAAATCCTTTCATGTTTTGCTGTATAAGTGGGGTGAAAATGCATTTCAGGAACAGAAAATCATGTGTTCAGAGTTATGTGGTGGTGGTTGTTTTTTGTTTTGTTTTTACAGAAGCATCAACCCACCACAGTCCTAAAAGACGGAAGCATGTATATATGAGAAATGTTCAGAGCTTAATGCTTGGATGCCATGAAGCCAGTGAGATGCTGTGAGAGGGCAATATAAAACAAAAAGTGATGAAACAAGGGGATGTTAGTGCAGATCAGGGTTAGCCAATGTGGTGTCCTCAAGATGTTGTACGATGACTCCCATCGTCGCTGACCACTGACCATGCTGCCTGGGAGCTGATGGGAGCTGAAGTCCAACGTCTGGAGGCTACCCTTGGTGAGGATACTTAAAGTAGTTTTGCAAGTTAGTTTTTTGCTTATTCATTAAAAAAGGCAAATGGGAGATACTAGTCTTTGGATCCAATAACATCCATATATCTGAAAGAAATATGAATACTGCTTCTGTACAGTGAGTAGCACTGGAAGAAATCCTTGTTTGACCAATGGGCCACCATGGTCAATGGTCAATAAGGCCATCACTTCCAGGGTGCTCTATAGGCATTTTCCAAGGGGAAGGAAGGGTTGTTTTGCTGGTTTCAGTGTGGGAGTCTCTTGCAAAATCCAATGCTTTCAAGTCATGTGTGAATGCGCCAATAGCACTGTGAGCACAAATCATCACGAATGTGCAATAAAAAGGGTGTCTGGAGAGGCCCCCAATATTACAGCTAGTATAACCACTCCCAAGTCTGCCAAGCCAATCTAGATGCCCCAGAGGAGTCTTTTATTCTTATTTATTACCCAGTATCATCAGAGAGTACAGAGTGTAATAAGTATACAAAAGACAGGTCCCTTGCCCCAAGAGATATACAATCTAAACTGGGAATTGAAGGCTAATGCACCAGCTTATTTCCTTGCAGTTTCCAAAGAATGCCACATGCAGAAAGTTGCAAAATGCACTTACCTGTAGAAAAAAGCATATTGTTCCTTATAGGTCCTTCTTCCTAACCGATTGCTGACCACATAACTGTACTTTTCTTGCGAGTGACTGGAGAAAAATGCTTATTTTTTATATATTTGAAAGAATACACAGGAAACACACACAGCATTGTGAAACACAAACAGTGGCCAATGCTTCTGGCTCTGGCATGTGGAGGAGCTCACTGCTTAACTATCTGAGCAAAATCCCCTTTCTGCCCTGACACAGTCCATCCCAAGGTTCTCCTGCTCTGCTAGGTGGGATGGTCTGCAGCGTGGATAATGTTTCTGGGGGGAATATCATACCATAGGAAAGGGGAACCAGTGGTCCTCCAGATGCTGTTGGATGCCATCTTCCATCAGCCCCAGCCACTATGGCCAATGGTCAGGGATGATGGGAGTTGTCTAAGAAGACCCACAGGTTCCCCATCTCTGGCAGAGAAAGAGGGCTAGTGCAGTGATTTCCCAAACAATGTGTCATGAGGGGGCCTGAAGTGTGAGTTAAGGAATTAATCCACCATATTGGAGGCATCCACCATGGCATGCTTGAAAAGGGGAGGCCTCCTTCAGCATTGATTCTCCTCTCTTCTGCCATAGTTGGTCACCTCCTGAGGCCTACATCCCAGAAGGGGCCCACTTGCCCTTCTCTTCCTACTCCTAGCTTTTGCTACTTAGAAACATTGAAAGCTGCCTTTCAATGAGATCAGTGTTGTCCTCATTGACCGGCAGTGGTTCTCAGGGGTTTATAGCAGGGAATATTCCCAGCCAAAGGTGTCATGGGCTTTGAAGATGCTTGAACTCAGAGCGAAAGAGAGAAAAGCTCTAAGAGGAAGGCATGCTTGGCAAACCCTCACCATGATCAACTCCTGCCCAGAAACCTATGTCCCCACTGTGGAAGGATATGTGGATCCAGAATTGGCCTCCACAGTCACTTAAGGATTCACTGTTAAAACCATGTTTATGGAAGACAATCTTACGTGGCTACGAGTGATTGCTAAAGAAGAAGATCCTCAGCCCTAACTAGTGTACAAATGAATTTTATTATTATGGTCACAGACCCAGTTCCGGCTCACTTACAATCAGGAAAATCATAAAACACAACTGGTGATGTCAATTTGAGTCACACAACTCAAATTGATTCACTTTTTTGTTGTATATACACCTCAACAAAGTTTGAGAGTGTGGTGATCTGTCGTGGAGCAACCCTATTGAAGAAGACAACAGTGGTTATCCAGACCTAGTTGCTGGTTGCGAAGGGGCCTTCCATGACAGTTCAAGCTTCAGGGCCCTAAAATTGTAGGTCCTCCACTGGGTGTCACATCCTGTTTAGTCACCTGAGGTGAAACAGGAAGCTGGTGCCACCACTGCCAGTCTCCCTTACTTGGGTCGTGCAGCAGTGCCCATGAAGCTGCGGTGGATTCTGAAGAGATCTCGTGAGATCTCACCAGAAACTACCACTGCTTCGCCACCATTAGTGGGGGTGGTGGGGTGGGGAGTCTCTGGGGGTGCTGCCTTATAGCACTCTACCACCAAAGGAGGCTGCCTCATCCTGCCTCATGGGCCACCAGACCCTAATGAACAGCGATGGCAGTAGCAAGGAGGTGGGCCAGCTGTGAAGTGGGCCCACTGAAAGCTTTTTGCCCAAGACCCCAACTCCAAAAAACCCTTGATCTGACCCTGCATATTTTAATAAATTTGACATTCACATCTTACCCATTCAATTTCTCTAAGAGGAAGGGGCATAGCCTGTTGCTGTTGTCCTTTATTTCCATCAGTAGCATGATGTCACACTGAGAAATAACCTGCAGGAGGAAAGAAAGAACATTCTTAAGAATGCTTTATTTGACACACTTGGAATTCCCAGAATGAACAGGCTTTGCATGCCTCCTGAACATTTCACCTATCAGAAATGGGCTTCAAAAAAATTCCTGGTCTTTCAGCTCCTGTACTAGAGAGCTCCTGAGTCAGAGGGAAGACAGAAGCAAAATTCTGAGAGTAGCAGCAATATTCTGGAAGCACTCTCACTAAGTTCAGTCCAAACACATCTATCCTTTTCCAAATCCATACTATGAAAAAGACTGTTTCTGCAAGTTTGAAACAAACTGTCTGTGTATGGCACTGATTAGCTGATCCCTCAGTGATTTTGCTCCCCCATTTTCCAGAGTACTTTTGTGCAAATCCCCCCAACTCTTCTTTAAAAAGGTGGATAAATGTGGGAACAGTTATGTGGTACATGAAAAAAAAGTTTAGAAAGTGTACAGCCCATCTGCAGGCCACTGTTCTTGATAGATGAAGGGATTTAGAGAGAGGCAAAGCCAATTAATGTCTTGTGTATTCTAGAATTCCAGATATCTCAAAGGTAGTGGCTGAGGCAGTATTTGATTTGCTGGTATTCACATCTGTTGTGAAGCCATGGAAAATAATGGGTGGAAGACTATATAAATACTGTGAGACTATCCTTTAAGAAATGGGATGATGTTCCAAGAGATTGAAAGGATTGCGTAAGTGAAAATTCTAAAGTGTCTTAAGGTACACAGACAGGTTCATGCCTCTGTACTCTGCATTCATTAGCAGCAAACCAATAAAAGAATACAATTATGATTTATATTATATTACATCAACTATTAAATTTCTATCTCACATCCCTCCCAAATGAGCTCTGGGTGACAACCAAAGAAACCCCTGGCAAAACGATGCAATTAAAAATGAATAAAGACCTATTAAAACAGTTCAAAACATTAAGAACATCTAAAAACATTGTCATAATTTCATTCATTTATTCAAACAATATATAGGCTGCTCTTCGAAGCAGAACTTCAAGGTGGCTTACACAGTAAAAGCTTTTTAAAAACAACACCCCACCTCAAAAATATAAACACAAGATGATATCGACAAAATGCCCCAACACTAAATGAGGCGGCAATAAGCTGAGATGGGTTTCTTATGGGGAGAGTTCAGCTATACAGGCACTCAGCTGAGGTGCCCAAACCTTCTCTCTTTCTTGCAGAAACAACCAAAGTGAGATGGAGTCTTTTGGCAAAATATTTGGAGAATGAAGTCTACCAGGTCAGGTGCAACCAGACTGCCAGGGTGCTTTTTTGAAACATTTGAAAACACCCTTTATTTGGCTTGTTATCACATTAAAACAGCACATGGTGGCTAGTGTCCCGGATATAGACTGAAGTGGAGTGGGGGAGTCCCAGTTTAATATGCTGCTCCACAATACAGTGGTACCTCGGGTTACATACGCTTCAGGTTACAGACTCCACTAACCCAGAAATAGTACCTCGGGTTAAGAACTTTGCTTCAGGATGAGAACAGAAATCATGCAGCGGTGGCACAGCAGCAGCAGCAGCAGCAGCAGCAGCAGCAGCAGCGGGAGGCCCCATTAGCTAAAGTGGTACCTCAGGTTAAGGACTGTTTCAGGTTAAGAACAGACCTCCAGAACGAATTAAGTTCTTAACCCAAGGTACCACTGTAAAACTTACTGGCTGAACTTGGGACAGTCACTATCTCTCAGCCTAACATACCCAAAGAATTGGTATGAGGATAAAAATTGCTTTATGGCTAGCTCAATCTTTTCTGCTATGTTCCTCTACTGCTGTTTTGATGTTGTGCTATATGCTGTGTTTCTGCTGCTTTATCAATATGCATTTTGCAAGGACATCATGTTGTCTTTAATATTATTTTATTGTCCTCTTGTGTGATTGCAAGCCACCTTGTGATTCCCCCAATGAAAAGACAGGACGTGAATAAAATAAGTCTGCAACCCAATGCCCTTGTACCTGGGGAATAGGCTGCATTGAACTCAGTGGAACTCCTGAATAGACATAGAAAGTACATATAAAGTTGAAACACTGACAAAGATAATGTAGGGGATGAGGAGAGAGACACCCCTGTCCATGTTGTCCTGAGCTCTTTGGAGGGAGGGGAAACATTAAATATAGTCAGGGAAGAATAATGCATTTAGCTTAAAAGCAAGCCCTGGAATCAATCAACCTATCTTAGACATGTTCATTAACTTCAATGGGTCTACTCTGAGTAAACTTGTGCATGTTCCAGTATGAAGCTATTGGCAGGCTTCATTTGGGGAAGGATGATGGTCCATGACAGAGGACTGTGGAAAGTCTCCAGATCAACCCCCAGCATCTTCAAGTAGGGCTGGGATTCCTCTCTAAAATCCTGGAGATCCTCTCTCAGTCAGACAATACTAAACTGGCTGGACCAATTACCTGTCTCAGTATATGGCAGCTTTCTGTGTTCCTATGTTTAAAGGACAAACTATAGCTGTAATGGTGGCAGAAGATCCATAGAGGCATCTGAATTGCTGACTTGAATTTAGCATTCATGTATTGTGTGCTGACTCACTGGTTTAAAGCCACTCAGCCAAATTAGCATTTTGGGCCACTTTTTAAAAATAAAATAAAATTACAGAAATGAGTCTGCAAGCAGATACAGAAATAGTCATGTCACGAAACGCTGCGTGTGCCCTCATTTTGTCACTGTCAAACAAAATACTTGAAGTTCATAATTTGCTGGGAGACGAAGGATTCAGAACAGCAGTTGCATTTGTACGTCTTCTTGTACACTTTAGAAGCACTAAATGACTTCAAGCAGAGCTCGTTGCAATGCAAAGGTGATGTATTGTTCTTGTTTACAAGCATCCGATGCACAGGTTTTTGAATGGCACCAAAGTGCTTAAATCACTCAGAAGGTGTTTATAATACAATCACTTTTGTCTGCAAGGGTCCAACTTATTTTGTGATTGTAATTTCTCCTTAATGAGACCAGAGTACTTCATAGTGGTGATTAAACAAATTAAGCATGCTAGTAACGAAGCAACGTCTGATGAGACTATAGATGAGAAGGGGACAATTTTTCTTGCCCATCAAAATGTTCCCATAATCCCTCATGTTCATCTGCAACAGCATTCAGCATTGTATTTCTGCTAGATTTAATGTGTAAATAAATCTTGCTGAACATATGGCTTCAGGTCTGCAAATTGATTCTTCCGCTGTTAGGAACACAGCAGATTTATTAATGCTCAGCCATTCATTAGCAGGACTTGGCTGTGTGAAGATAAAATACCCTGAAAGATGAGCTAGATAAAATGTCCCTCCGTTCAGCTGAGTATTTATTTAATCCCGTAGAGCGAACAACATACCTCTACAATGACGTCCAAGATTTCTGGTCTTGTTCGCTTGGCTTCTCCAAATGACCTCACGTTGAAAGAGCAGATTTTAAGGCTCAGAGCTGCGTGAAAAGAGAAAAGCAGAAACAGAGAAACGCGCAACATCTTTTCAAACCTGGGCCAAAAGAAAACGCAGTGAGGTGTCCTTCTCTCACTCAGCACTTGGTCTGCAAAAACCAGTGGAATTTAGCTCTTTATATTTCATGATTCCTATGCAAATTAAGGTGCATGTCACTGGCTTCTTCCACAGATCATGAACTTCTCTATTTTTGGGACTAACATCTGTTGCTGAGGAACTCAACTTTTTGCCATAGGGGATTACCTGAATTTAGAGCCAACTTCCACAATTGACTAGGCTTCTTCTTGAACCTCATGGGAGAATACAAAACTGAAGTTTGTTCCGAGTTCCTTATTTACGGAAACGTTCACAGCAAAGTTTGATAAGAAGACTTAATAAGGAACTGGTTGATGTCCTCTTGCACCTCATAAGAAATGCTGACCCACCCCATATTTTGTGTGTGTGTGTGTGTGTCTGCTTTCAGGTCCACAACAATTCTCTGCTATCAAAACTGTTGGTTTGCCACAACGCTCTTAAACACATGATGACCCCCCCAGATGATGATTGCAGATAAGGGAGTGGGAATGTGCACCCCAACTAAGATTTTGGAGCAATCCACATCTCTATAAAAGTTTCCCCTATGAGATGGTACACAACTGTACCTAATCTAATGCTTTAAAAGGGATCCAGTTCTCCTCTACTATCCAGTCAGCAAGAAGGGAAGAAATGGGTTTTTCTTTTTACAATATTAGGTATTATGTGGTTTTATATCTTGATTTTATTCTGTGAACTGCCCTGAGACCCCAGGTATGGGGCGGTATATAAATTCAATAAATAAATTCAAATTCAATAAATGAATTAATGATAATAAATTATTAATTAAATAATTATTAAATAAATGAGTCCCTTTGTCTCCATCCCCCTCCCGGAACCCTTTTTGCCTGGATTAGCAGAGGAGAGGGAGTGAACAATCAGGGCAATGGGACGGAGCAGTGATGCAAACTTGGTAACACCACTACTCCCACTCTTAAGAGGACCTCCAGAGAGGACTATGGAAAATCCTTAGCATGAAACCAGAGGCATGCCTAGGCTTCTTTGCACCCTTGGCAAGGAGATGTATTGGCAGCTCTGAAGCCAGGAGAGACCATGGAGCAGAAACTCAAAATTTCACTCTTCTAATAGTGCCACTGGCCAACTGGGGAGGAGCCCCCGCAGTACTGCAGTGATGGTCCATGCCAGCAACCTCATTTGCCAAGGGTCCCAGAGGAGCCTGTGTGCCTTGCCCCGCTGCCCAGAGCAAAGGAGGAGTGGCCCGGAGAGCGTGCAGATGGGTGGGCAGACTCCTAGCAAGAGTGGAGAGTCACAATTCTCGCACACCCCCCAGGGTGGGAGCTAACCTCGCCAGCCCCTAGCTATACCCCTGCATGAAACACCCTCCAGAATGACATGCAAGAGGTTTGTGAGCTAGGGCAAGTGTCTGTGTCCTTTCCACACTCATGGCTAGATCTATAGACCCCCAAAGGGGAAATGGTAAAGAAGGGGTGGCGAACCTGTAGACCTCCGGATGATGTTGGACTACAACTCCCATCATTCGTGCCAATCCCTGAATATGCTACCTGGGACTGATGAGATAGATAGGCTTCGGGCCTAATCCAGCAGGCCCCTTTTTCTGTGAGCGTTTGTCCCCGAAACAGAAATCCTGAGAAGGAAAGAAAAAGTAGAGAAGCCCAAAGCCACATGAGGGAAACTCAGAGCAGAAGTGGGAAGTCAACAGGGAATTTCCAAGGGCAACAGCTGCTAGTTCTCTAGCCACCTGGCAATTATTCTGATGATCCTTTCCAAGGCAGAGAGGAAGTCTGGGGGGAGAGATAAGAGAAATGTGGCGCAGATTGCTTCTCTAGCAACAGCTAAACAGGAAGGGGGTAGGGATCTTCTGGAGATAGGCTGCTCAGGGGGTGGGGGAATGGGGGACGTTCAAGAAAATGCCCATTTGGTGAATTCTGAACTGGCACCCCAGCTCCAGTTCTATATTTTGCTGTACACTGCAAATGCAAATGAGCAGCGGCTCTGGCAGGTTTTCATCAGTTCCATTTAGGTGGCAAATCTTAGTCTTCCAAAATAGCTCTGGGGTCAAGGCACAAGCAACAATGAAAGCACAGATGTGAGTGTTCCAGGACTAGACAAATAGAGGGAGATGGGAGCATACGTGACAAAAGGAAAGCACAAAACATAACAAGTGGTACTTCAGCCTGGGAGAAATATGAAGGCAGAGCGACATGAACTTTAAATGGAAATTTGGTGTGTGTGTGGAGAAGACTGTGGAATACAAAATATGCCGCATTCCATCGGATATTTTTAATTTGTATCTCACCCTTGGATACTAATGATCGTTTTACTACTATTTTTTATTTAGTTGCTAACATAAATAATAATAATAATGACATATCAATGCATCAGAAGTTGGCAGGCGTAACAGAGCATTGTTCTTGGCTTAATAAACCTGTGCTATGCTTACTGGGCTTATTCCTTTTGCTCAGTGCCTGGCACTTTATGAGACTGGTTGCATTGTCAATAAGTGGATTCAAGCAAACTTCCCTTGTCCCTAGCATATACGTGCGTGTGTGTGTCTGTAGGCTTTTGTAGTCCCAATTGATCTCCTGACCTGTTTTAATTACAGTACTCATGTTGTTTTAATGGGACTGTTTGATTACATCTTTTAATTATGGGTTTTTATAGTTTAACGTTACTGTAATTGGTTTCTATGCTTGGAAACTACTTAAAAGCTTATTTTGGTATTAAGTGGCGTGTGCATTTATTATTACTATTAACAGAAATAAAACAAATTGTCAGGGACACCCCCCCCCAAAATTATATTATTGTTGGCATCTGTCTGTCTTGGGAGACAAAGGATGAGTGAGCCTTCAAGGGTGATGTCAGACGGTGGAGAGTTACAGCAGCTGCTGTGGCTGTAGATAGCAATATGGGAGAGAAATGTTTTGTTGCAGCCGGGGCAGATGAAGGCATCCTAAGCATAGAACTATCCTGGTACCAACTTTGCAGGAGGGAAAAAAACCACCACCATCATCAAAGTCCACTCTGAAGATGAGTTGGCCTGGGGAACGGGAGTCTAAGGAACCTATGGAACAGCTTGGGGTTGGCTGAATCTATACTTACTGTCCTAATTTACAAGGGGCAATCACTGGTTGGCTTCAAGCTAATAATGTTTGCTGTCAAAAGTCTGGAAGCAATAACATTATTGCACCTTAGATCAATAATGGAGAACAAGTAGTCCCCCCAATTTCATTGGACCATCAGTCTCCAGTATCATAGTCCTGTGCTGCCAGCCATGGTGGAGCTCAGTGGAGGGAGAAGCCAGCCAACCAGCTGAGTCTCGGGGAGGGATTGGGTAAGTACCCAAGTGCCTGGAGGTAGAGTCTCCAGGTTCAGTCCAGTCCTAAGGTCCGGAGTATCTCAGTTCACGTAGTCAGACAACCCAGGAGTCAAGAAAGCCGAGGGTCCAAGGTCACGGGAAGCAAGAAGCAGCAAGGTCTGGCCAGGAATGACACATGTTTCCAACAACTGACTGAGGCTGGAAACCCAGCTTAAGAAAGCTGGAGCCAGCTGGTTCTCATTCGGAGCAAGAAGGTTGATCATCAGCAGGTGTCACTTTGCCTTCTGCTCCTTCAGGCTGCTGCTCAGCAGGTGAAGCTGCCCATGACACCCAGCCTGCATGGCCAAAGCCAGAACCCTTCCATGTGTCCTTTCTATTGTGCGTCCATTGTGATTGTGCTCATGATGCTATTGGTGTGGTCACATGAAATTCCACTTTGCAAAAGTTTTGGAGTGATCACACTGCTTCGTTTCCAATCAGTGCATATCCTGCTGAAATACCAATGTTCTGATTTCTTTTTGTCCTTTTTTCGTGTTGTAGCTCCTCCGGCAGCAATATGTGGCAGCATGGGGAAATCCACCTCAAATGCACTCTAATTGTGCTATGACTTTATTGCAGGATACATCCACCATAAAACATCCATCTGAGATGATGGAGTCCAACCACATCCCTGCCTTGTTTGCCGATTTGGACCACGTAGCAAACAGTCAGTTAGCAACCCTCTTCTGAAATCTGGGACTAATAAGAAGTCAAGTTTTCTAGGACATGATAAATACCATGTTCTTACCATCTGAAGGTGCATCATCCAAAAATGGATGGGTGTTTGCAAACGCACACATGAAAACCTGGCCACAGTCACGTGTGCCCTTTTATCCCCCTTATTACAATTTCAGCAATACGTGTAACTACTTAATTATCACATGGTGACCTAATTAAAATTAATTTGAAACTCCCATCCTGGATCAAAATGTGTGAAATGTCAATGAAATAGACCAGGCGTGGTTTGAGGTCATTAGCTCAACTCATATTTACTTTCCTGGGTTAATGTGAAGTGTTGGCAGGTATGCCAGAACATCCCAGGTTGTCAAAGTGCTAGGTGTCGTTTTACAGTGCAAACACGCACACAGGGTTGTAACTGCAGCTGGCAACATGGCCTTTGAGCTGAGGAATTGTGTCCAGCAGGTGGCAGGGTTTATAATTGCTTACTCAGTCATCTGAGTCTTTTAGAAAACCCCAGGATTATCAGGCAGCACAGGCAGGGTACTTTGCACTCAGGTGAGTGAAAAGCAAGGTTTTGTGTTTGTTTTCTAAACTTCAGGATCCAATTGTGAAACACAGTTTAGATCAATGGCATGGATTCCATAGTCCCGTCAGAGGGGAACTGAATATTTTTTGGGCCTCAACACAAGTGAAGGATCCTAGGAGAATGCTGGATTCAGCAGCAAAAAGTTTGTTACAGCAGTCCTATGAATGTCTACTCAGAGGTAAGTCCTACTGAATTCACTCGGGCTTACTTTCGGGTAAAGTGGCTTTGGATCACAGCCATACTATTTCACTCTGGCACAGGGAGCTGGTTTGTCCCCCTGCAGCCAAGCAGCAGTGATCAGTATGGCAGTGTGAGGTGCAAATGGGAATATGCAATGTAGCTAGCAAGAGGTCTGAAAGCTAGCATAGAATTGCTTTGAAGAAAGGCTGTGGAAACAGATACCGTATATCTCATTAGAAGCTACTTGAATCCAGGCAGAGCTGTCTAGCTGCATCCTTGCTTGTCTCATCGTTAACTGTGACATCTGGAGCCTCTGACTGCACCAAAACAGCTGCAAATAAGGGGATAGGACAAAATACCAAGGCTAGTTAACATAGCTGGATTTGAGGGGAAACAAGCAGCAGTGTGGGTGACGAAGTAATTTTAGGGCATGGACTTAATGGTCTTATCCTCTGCACTCTGTTTAGATTGCAGTGTGTATTACTTCAGTTGTGAGACACTCACTTCACATAACTCTTCCTTGCTGGTCTCCCTGCAGTCATTTCATGCTTTACAATCGTTTTACATTCCTGATACGTTAGGGCAACAAATGAACAAAAAGCAGTTTGCTAACCCTGATCAGAAAGAAACACTGCAGGTGCCTGCACTTTTGCAGTTTAAATGCCCTCAAATTATAGCAAATTTGTTTAGGGAAGCTTTTAATGTTTGACATATTACTGTATTTTAATATTTTTTTGGAAGCCGCCCAGAGTGGCTGGGGAAGCCCAGCCAGATGGGTGGGGTATAAATAATAAATTCTTTTTCTTCTTATTATTATTATAGCACAATCACATATTTGGGTATAAAATGGTAACTTCTACTGCTCTAGTGCTCAATACATTTCTTTGGAAAGAAGCACTATTTTGTTGTAGAAAAGGATAATATACATTTAAAATAAACATAATACATGGACATCTGAAACCATGTACATGTCTAGCCAGCCACACTGAGCTAAAAAATCAAGGAAGGAAGGAGAGATACTGTGGTGACCTGCCCCAATCCTCCTCCTTCTCCTCCTTCTTCTTTATTGAATTTATATACCGCCCTATACCCGGAGGTCTCAGGGCGGTTCACAGAAAAGATCAACATAAAAAACAATATATATACAACAACCCAATAACATTCCACCCCCTAAAAAGACCCACATTTTAAAAAGGGATAAGATGTCAATCAGATCAACCAAAGGCCTGGTTAAAAAGGAACATTTTTACCTGGCGCCTAAAGGTGTATAATGAAGGCACCTGGCGAACTTCCCTAGGGAGAGCATTCCACAGACGGGGAGCCACTGCAGAGAAGGCCCATTCTTGTGTTGCCACCCTCCAGACCTCTCGAGGAGGCGGCACATGAAAAACGACCTCAGAAGATGATATTAGGGTCCTGGTAGGTTCATATAGAAAGAGGCGGTCCTTGAGGTATTGTGGTCCTGAGCCATTTAAGGCTTTATAGGTCAAAACCAGCACTTTGAATTGAGCCCGGAAACTAATTGGTAGCCAGTGCAGTCAAACCAGTATTGGTGTAATATGATCAAACCGTAGTGCTCTGGTGAGCAGCCTGGTTGCTGAATTCGGCACAAGCTTAAGTTTCTGAACCGTCTTCAGAGACAGCCCTATGTATAACTCATTGCAGTAGTCTAACCTTGAGGTTACCAGAGCATAGGCAACAGTAGTTAGGCTATCTCTGTCCAGATAGGGGCATAGCTGGGCCACCAGCCGAAGCTGATGGAAGGCACTCCAGGCCACTGAGGCCACCTGAGCCTCGAACGACAGCCAAAGATCCAGGAGTACCCCCAAGCTACAAACCTGCTCCTTCAGAGGAAGTGTAACCCCATCAACAGCAGGCAATCTCCCACCCATCCAGTCTAGAGAACCCCCCACTAACAGTGCCTCAGTCTTATGTGGATTGAGCTTCAGTTTGTTGGCTCTCATCCAGGCCATTACTGAGGCAAGACACTGGTCCAGCGCTTTTACCGCCGCACCTGCAAATGTAAAGGAGAAATAGAGCTGAGTGTCATCAGCATACTGCTGACAACATACTCTGAATCTCTGGATAACCCCACCCAGCAGTTTCAGATATAAATTAACCAACAAGGGGGATAAGATTGAGCCCTGCAGAACCCCACATTGAAGGTTCCATGGGGCTGAAGAGCATTCCCCAAGTAACACCCTCTGGGAACGACCATCCAAGTAGGACTGGAACCGCTGCAAAGCGCTGCCACCCATCCCTAGTTTGGAGAGTCACTCCAGAAGGATACCATGGTCGATGGTATCGAAAGCCGCTGAGAGGTTGAGAAGAATTAACAGGGATGTTTCCCTTGTCTCTCTCTCGACAGAGGTCACCATACAAGGCAACCAAAGCAGTTTCTGTGCCAAAACCAGGCCGATTGAAATGGATCCAGAAAATCAGTTTCTTCCAAAAGCACTTGGATCTGGTCTGCAACCACTTGCTCCAGAACTTTGCCCAGGAAAAGGAGATTAGCAACTGGTCAGTAGTTAGTTAGGTTTTCTGAATCCAGGGAAGTATTCTTAAAGAGTGGTTTTACCACTGCCTTCTTCAAACAGGTAGGAACCACCCCCTCTCGTAAGGAGGCATTGATTACCTCCCTGGCCCAGCCAGCTGTTCCCTCTCTGTTGGTTTTTATTAGCCAAGAGGGCAAGGGTCTGGTTGCTCTGACTGATGGTGCAAACAAGGCAAATGTTAGCCTTTAACCTCATTATCTGTCACTTTCTGGGTACTGGTTTGGGAGCCCCTGGAGTTTGGCCTTCAAATCCAGCCCAAGCCACATGTAATGATCTCTGGTAGGCAAGCAAGCCCTGATAAGAAGGAATGACTCTCCGGCAGTTTTATGTACGTAAGTTTATTTTAAAAAAGACACATCCAGAGCACAGCTTCTCGCCTGCTTGCATTTACGATAGTTGGCCAGTCTGAATCTTCGTCCATCCTGCATCAGGTAGGACGCCAAACTCCCGCCTTTTCCCTCTTGCCCTTCCATTGCCCTCTGATCTTATCCAGTCACCTCGAACGGGGACTGAGAGGCTGGCCTCCCCACTTCCACTCAACACAGACTCAGACCGCTGCTTATCTGCTGATTGCCTAGCAACGCTCTGGCTGCCTTCCAACTCTTCCTCTTCTTAGAGCTAACAGAGTCTTCCCTGGGAAGGGGGGGGGTTCGAACTGCCCTTTCTCGACTCTGTCAGCCAGCTCTCATCTGCAGAGTCGGTCCCTCGTCCACTTAATTCAATTTCTGAGTCTAACTCTTCCCCTGCACTCTGGGAGTCCACCTTCCTGATACCATACCCCTGGAAGTGATATGGTAGGTTAGCAAACTTATTTGTTAGCAGAAAGGTCCAGACCTTTCCTGGCTTCCTGAATTGGAATATGCACATGGTGCCATATATGGAAATAGCTGACCATTTGCTCTGTGAGTTCTGGAGGGTCATTCACACAAACTCTTGCCTTATTTGAATATAGCAAGAAAAGGTAGTCTTTGTAGTTGAAAAGCGATTGCATGAAACAGACTTGAATGTGGTTCCCATTCTTACATCAGGTAACACTGAATTCTTATGGGAGCACTTCTAAACACACTTACGAGAGAGAAAGTCCTATTAAATATAGTGGGACTTAACTTATTCTGAATAAACATGTACCGTTTTGCTTGTATGCAACTGAATGGTTGAATTTTTGGACCATGTTACTTAATTTACTGTACTCGGCTACTATACAGGCAGCCCCCACCACCTTATGTGGTTACATTCCAGGACCTTGGGTGCGTAAGTGAAATAAAGTGGGCAGCACCCACTAAAATGTTTCCCCTGCTCTTCAGATCTCTCTCCCTCTCTCTCGCCACACAACTCTCTCTTCAACTACAGTTGAAACTTTGGGGCCAGTTGGAGGCTGAAGGACGTGTGGGAAAGTGACTGCTGCTGTTGCTGCTCTACGCTGTGTATCAGCTGTTAGACGGGGAAGCTGAGCAGCCTAAACAAAGGCCCGGTGTACCTCCAGTCTATTTGGGGCTTCCTCCACCCTCACTGACAGCCTCTTTGGGCTCCGGGGAGGCTTCTCATGAGCCATGAGGACTCCCCAGCTCTCCCCAGCATTTCCTAGTATGATTCTATTTGTTTGTTTATTTCCTGGAGCCATGTGAGTAGTACGCAGGTATGTGGGGAGGGGGGAATGCCTGAACTTCACTTCACTAGCTTTACTTTAAATTTACTCCTGTATAATTTAAAGCTTGTAGGTGAACAAACATATTCCTTAAGACAGAGTCAGGAATGATAGCACAAAAGGCAGTCTCTGTCAAACAAGTTATTCCTCTTTTAGGTTTATATAGAACATTGCATAAGGAAGAGCTGGATAATAGGTTCCTTGTGAAAAACGGATCAAAATTCTTTTTGGCAAAGAGACAACTCTCGTCAACTGATGATGCCAGTTGCTTACACCATAGTTAATTACACCACAATTTAAGAAGGATATTGACAAGCTGGAACATGTTCAGAGGAGGGTGGCCAAGATGATCAAGGGTCTGGAAACCAAGCCTTATGAGGAACAGTTGAAGGAGCTGGGTATGTTTAGCCTAGACAAGAGGTGACTGAGAGGACATATGATAGTTGTCTTCAAATATCTAAAGGGCTGTCACTACTACTACTACTACTACTACTACTACTAATTTATTTCTACCCCGCCCATCTGTCTGGGTTTCCCAGATGGAGCAAGCTTGTTTTTCCCTGTTCTCGAGAAAATCAATGAATTCAGAATAATTTTAATTAGTTTTAAATTACAATCCAATAATAGCCTCATTATAACAATACCAATTTATAATACAATTATTAACACCAATCATTCAAATACCGAATTATATAATTTAGATAAAGTGCCCCCCCGCATGCTAGATTTTATGATTTGTTGATTTTCTTTATTTCTGCATTCCAAAATCTTATTAATTTCCATTACGTTCCGGTAATAATAATAATCCCCTATACAACAACTGCAATATTAATAATTTCTATTCATGTTGACACTTTAAATGATTTATAAAACTACAAGTGAGGAACTCAAAATATATCCTTGTTCTTCCTGTGTGTGACACATCCTTGCTTTTCCTTTGCCAACGATCTCCCGCTGTCATGGTGGCTGCCTCCATTAAGGCAGAGCGGAACCAGGAGCCAAGGGAACCAATGAATTCAAGTTCCAAGAAAGGAGATTCTGACTAAGCATCAGGAAGAACTTTCTGACAGAGCTGTTCGACAGTGGAACAGTCAGACTCCCTCAGAAGGGGAAGGCCTCTCCTTCCTTGGAAGTTTTTAAGCAGAGGTTGGATGGCCATCTATCCTGGATGGTTTAAGATTCCTGCATTGCAGGGAGCTGGACCAGATGACCCTCGGTGCCCCTTCCACTGCCACAAATCTATGATTCTATGACATTCACAGTGCCTGTGGAAACAGGGCCACATCCCACCAAGCTGGGGCCATGCTGGGGATGCAGCCAACATGAAACATAGATAAGGAAGTATCTGGCCGGCAGGCCAAGGAGGGGGCATGGCCATCTTGTTGCCCTGCCCCTTGCATATCAGACAGGTGCCTGTTCTATTGTCCTTTTGGCATCTGTTGAGGACTTTCCTCTTTCCACAAGCCTTCCAAATAGATGTTGGTGTTGGGTTTTTTTAAGCTCCAGTTGGTATCTCTACTGGATTTGAAATTGTGTGTGTGTGTGCACGTGCGCACAATTCTTTTAAACTATTTTTCCAATTACTTTTATTGTACAGTGGTACCTCGGGTTAAGTACTTAATTCGTTCCAGAGGTCCGTTCTTAACCTGAAACTGTTCTTAACCTGAAGCACCACTTTAGCTAATGGGGTCCCCTGCTGCCGCTGTGCCGCCGGAGCACAATTTCTGTTCTTATCCTGAAGCAAAGCTCTTAACCTGAAGCACAATTTCTGGGTTAGCAGAGTCTGTAACCTGAAGTTTATGTAACCTGAAGTGTATGTAACCTGAAGCGTATGTAACCCGAGGTACCACTGTAGTGTGAAATTACTTTGAAGTGCTTTAGGAAAAGTGATTCCTAAACAGATAAAAACAATGCCCCAACATGCAAGACACCAAGAAAATTAGACAGTATTCACCCACTGCTAATCTGTAATCTGTTAAGCCTTTTTTCCCATTTTTCCTTACACCTGAACAGGGAGTTCCCTTTGCTGTGAAAACAAGTGTTCACTGCACTAGAAAAAGCTATTTATTAGTGCCAGGCTTTTCAGAGTGTAACTAACCTTTACTTAGTTTGAAGTGATCCCATTTTGATACATTCTTATATTCTTTAAACATTATTTTATCAACGACTATGGAAAGTTCTCTAAAGACCCAGTTAAACTTTGACCCATGGATTTCCTTTATTGGCTGTTAGCATTATCTTTAATAAATCATTCCAATGGTTAGTTCAGGTACTTCAAACAGCCCCAAAACAGTGAAGACTGATAAGACATTTTCAAATTGATGGTGGTGGTTTTCATGCTTTCTAAATGAGATCTTGAAAAGCCGGGCTTGATGGTAGATGTTTTTATAGTGGAGTAGCCTGAAAATCTGAGCAAGGAAGGTATATATTGGCTAACATCAGTGACAGCACAAACCCATCTCCTCCCTAGGCAATTCTGCATCATTACACAAATTAAAAACCTGGGTGGAGGTTTTGTGCAGGATAAAGTATTAATATTAAAACCAGCAAAACTGGTTGCTACATGGCAAGATTACCGTACTTATCTATGAAATGCCAAAGAATTCAACATCTATCATGGGTTAATAGCTTCAAAGCTAAGAGACCAGCTCACACCTACATATTCAACAAGGTCGTCACAGTGAACAAGGCAGATTTTGTTAACGTAAGTAATTCTGGCAGGAAAGGGAGTGGAAACAGAACTGCCAATATAATAATGCTATTATGCATATCTAAAGTGCAACTGGACTTGAAACTCTGTATACAATTCTTGTCACAGTAACTCAGAAAAGGATATTGTAGAACTGGGAAAGGTACATAAAAGGACAATCAAAATAACCAAGGAGCTGGGGCAACTTTCTTGTGAAGAAAGGTTACAATATTTGCAGTATTGAGTTTAGAGTAAAGGTGAGTAGTGGGGACATTATTTAGATGTGTACAATTATGCATGATATGGAGAAAGTAGATGGGTTTTCTTTTTTCTCCCTTCCTTGTAGTATTAGAACCCAGAGCTACCAAAAGAAGCTGAATTTGGAAGATCCACAGGACAGGCAAAAGGAGGTACTATTTCAGCCAGCTCACAATTAGAATTATGGCATTTGTTCTCCACGAGATGCAGTGTTGACCACCAACCTGGAAGACTTTTTGAAGGTGTTAATATGAATTCATGGTGGATAAGGCTATCAGTGGCTACTAGTCATTATGGCTATGTACTACCTCTAGTATTGGAGGTGGTATACCTCAGAATACCAGTTGGTGGGGATCCAATGTGGTTGGCCACCGTGAGAAAGGATGCTGGAGGAGGGAGGTCATTGTCCTGACCCAGCAGGACTCTTCTTATGTTCTTCAGACCCTATGTTGGAGGTAACAGTGCTTCAGAATACCAGTTTCTGGAAACCACGGGAAGGCAGAGTGCGCTTGAATCCTGCTTGTGGGTTTTCCACAGGCAACTGGTTGGCTGCTTTGAAAACAGGAAGCTGGACTAGATGGGCTGTTGGCATCATCCAGCAGCCCTTCTTCTGTTCTTACAGTTGTCTGGAAGAGACCATGTATGTGAAGCACTGTGCATTGCCATCTAAAGTGTCAATGCACCCAGGGTCTAAAAGTGCCAAAGTGCACCCCAATGGCACCTTACAGAAGTCTGTATTATATTTTACTGTTTGTATAATAGGCAAGCCCAGGGCTTTCTTTCTTTTTTTTAGCCAGAGCTCACAGGACCTCAGCTCTGTCACTTCTCAGGTAGGTGCCATTGCCATTCTAAGAGAACAAGAGAGAAGTTCGTGGTGAGCCCTGGCACCTCATTTTCTAGAAAAAATAGGACTGCACAAGCCTATATTATAATATTGTATCACTTTTCAGCGCAGTAAAACAGCAGCACATAAATGCTTCTAATACACCCCATATAACAACTGCGTTTTGGGGGCTGGGTTTTCTGAAGAAGGAAAAAGCACCTTTCGGTGCGGAATGAAAAATTTTTAGCTCCGTTTTATCGTTTGCATAGGGATGAGGGGGGAAAGCATTGCTCGGGATGGGGCGGCGTGGAGGCATCCCCAAAGGTGCCAGCGTGAAAGTGCCGCTTAATTTGAGCCAAAGGCGAATCTCTCCGCGACTCTACACTCATTTTGGGTCGCATCCCAAGAATCCAGTAAGTGCAGGACGCGGCGGGCCGATCCTTCGCCGCCTTTATTCCCCATCTCCGTCCTTCGTCTGGCGCGGGCGAGCGCAAAGCCGCCTGGGTGGCCTCGGCCTGCCTTGTCGTTGCGAGGAGGCGGGGAAGGGCCTTCCGTTGAGCCAACCCCTTTTCTGTCGGAGGGTGGGGAATCACGCGCGGCCCTTGCCTTTAAGGTTCAATCGACAGAAAAGAAAGGGGGTGGTGGCCAAAGGCGCCGGCCGGCCGAGCCGAGGTGGTGGTGGTGGTGGTGGTGCTGGGGCGCTGCGCGCGCGCGCGCCGATTCCCGGGGTTGGAAGCCGCCCCCCCCCCCGCCCGCCGCGCAGCCGAAGAAGCAGGTGCAGCGAGGCGAGCGAGCTGGTGCGGCGCAAGGTGGGGGTGGGGGGTTTGCATCGCAGAGCGGCTGGGGGCCGGGGAAGGGGAGAGGGAGGAGGGCAAGCCGGTGGGGAGAGGGGCTGGGAGGTTAACAGGCCGGCGGGGGAGCGGGGAGAGAAGACAGCCTCCGCTGCTGCTGCCGCTTGCTGCGATGGAGTGAGCAGACTCGGTGGAATGCAAGGCAGGCGAGCGAGGGCAGCCGGAGGAAGGCGCTGCGGCATCGCTTGCGTACGGTGCTCCTCCTGCGCGGCTCGCCCCCAGGCGCCGGCCGGTGGCGCATCGGGGACCGTGCGACGAGCGGAGGGCCCTGCTGTGTCACGAGGTTGGCAGCGGGGGTCGGACTCCGGAGGGCCCGGCCGGTGTGGCCCAAGGGCGCGCTTGCACAGGCATCCCTGACTTGGATGCTGGCCAGTGCAGCGAAGGCAGCCGGGCGGGCGGGCGAGGGAGGGAGGATGCTTCCCCGGCTAAAATAAATGCCCAGGCCCACCTATCCTCCTCGCTCGTTCTTTAGGCCGGGCAGCCCCCTCTCCTCCGCCGACTGACCGAGCACGCGTAATGTATGGGTCGAGCGATCCTCCGGTTTGCGTCCCCTCTGCGAGCGGACGTTTTTGCTGTGTCAGCCCAGGAAGCGATGTCGCTTCTGGCGCATTCACACGGTCGCTTGGCACGTCGGCTAGGATCCTCCTCAGGGAGCCAGCCCCCGTCGGACACGGCGGCACTCGCAAGACTTCTAGTATCGGGCTGAACGGCTCCAAATCCCTCTGTAAATTCCCCAGGAAATCGGGCACCTTCTCCGTTACCCCGTCGAAGGCACGCTCGCCTCTCCTTTGTTTCTCGGTTTGTTGCTGTCTGTTTATGCTCGGAGTGGCAGCTGTAATCTGCTTTAGTGCTCGGAGGACAGAATCAGGTGCTGATAATCGGCGGTTATTCCGGATTACTGGAAGATAGGTGTGTGTGATCTGATCTCATGAAGGACCCCTGGTGACCCGCTTCTTTCCCCATGTCTGTAATGTCAGTGTAAAAGGTGCACTGGTTGTAGAAAGTCGGTTCGTTTCTTCGTCTTCTTCTTTTTTTAAAAAGGCTTTCTTCAGCTTCTTATCCTGCCCTGCCATCCATCTGGCATGCGAAAAGCATCTGAAGCGTGCCTAGCTCTGTCAAAGGACTTGGCATGTGTTTTGTGGACAGCTGAACCAAAGGGCAATAACACCTGGTATGTGGTACATTTCAGGTATAGAGAAAATGGAGACTATACAAAGTCCTGAATATTTGATTTTGCTATCTTTTAGGTGGGAGACCTTCCAGGTTGCTATGTAGAAATCTGATGGGGATAAATGAAAGTTTGTTTTTGCATTTAACCAGTAATGTGGGTCCCCCCCACCCCACCCCATGCAAATAGCTGTGGTGGTGGAGGACTGTGGTGGGAAGGACTGGGACCTTGCAGGCAGGCCTGAAAGGTTTAATCCCCACTAGCCATTGTCATGACATTGCCGTGAAATTTTGTGATGAAGGGTGGTTGAGAACTATTTCATATAAATCACATGTAAGAATCCTCTCCCTCACTGGTGTAGCTATTTGCATTGAGACAAAAATTCCCATCTGGTGCCAGTGTTCTTTAGGTTGCATGAATTCCAACCCCCCCAATTCTGTTTCCTTATACAGTGGTACCTCGAGTTACATACGCTTCAGGTTACAGACTCCGCTAACCCAGAAATATTACCTCGGGTTAAGAACTTTGCTTCAGGATGAGAATAGAAATCGTGCTCTGGCGGCACGGCGGCAGCAGGAGGCCCCATTAGCTAAAGTGGTGCTTCAGGTTAAGAACAGTTTCAGGTTAAGTACAGACCTCCAGAACGAATTAAGTTCTTAACCCGAGGTACCACTGTACTTGCTTTAAAGCTGAAGAAACTAATTTCATAGTGTGGATGTAAAAATGGGTATGTTCTTCCATCTCCTCCACATTTTTAAAAACTCGAGCTGCTTCCCATTCTGTGCAAGCAGTCACTGTGGGGGGGATGGTATTTACATCAAGTATGAGCAACAACGTATGCATTGCTAAATATGGTGGGCCTGTAGACACAGGTTGGACTGGCTTGCGTCTGTGAAGCCATATCCATTTGCCTTTATTGCTGTGTGGAAGTATTGCTGTAATAGGTAAAGGTAAATTGGGACACGGGCAGCGATGTGGTCTAAACCACTGAGCCTCTTGGGCTTGCCGATCAGTAGGTCGGTGGTTCGAATCCCCATGACAGGGTGAGTTCCTGTTGCTCTGTCCTAGTTTCTTCCAACCTAGCAGTTCGAAAGCACACCAGTGCAAGTAGATAAACAGGTAGCACTGTGGCGGGAAGGTAAACGACGTTTCTGTACGCTCTGGTTTCCGTCACGGTGTTCCATTGCACCAGAAGCGGTTTAGTCATGCTGGCCACATGACCCGGAAACCTGTCTGTGGACAAATGCTGGCTCCCTCGGCCTGAAAGTGAGATTAGTGCCGCACCTCATAGTCACCTTTGACGGGACTTAACCATCCTGGGGTCCTTTAACTTTTACCTTTTATTGCTGTAACCTTGGGTTACAGACGGTTCAGGTTACAGACTCCGCTAACCCGGAAGTAGTACCTCGGGTTAAGAACTTTGCTTCAGGATGAGTACAGAAATCGCACGGCAGCAGCAGGAGGCCCCATTAGCTAAAGTGGTACCTCAGGTTAAGAACAGTTTCAGGTTAAGAATGGACCTCCAGAACGAATTAACCCGAGGTACCACTGTAATATGGTTCTTCCAGTGGCAAAATATTGGAGAGGCAGTGAAGCTGATTTTCGGCATACACCAATTATGCCACCGCTGCTGCTGATAGTAACCAGGGATTGTGAGAGTAACCAGGCAGCGTGCCCCTGAATACTGATTGCTAGGAAACACCAGTGGGGAGAGAAACTGTTGCGCTCATGTCCCACCACTGTGGCCAGCAGACCACAAGTAGAAAGCAGCTACCTTGCCAAAAGAAGCCTGCAGAGCAAATGGCTCTGGGTGGTGCCAGCCAGGAATCCATGCCACATATGATAGCTGAAGGGGGGAAGGAACCTCCCAGTGCCAACGCAAGGCAATTGCTGCATGGGGCAAAGGACAATGCAGTGTCTCCCTATAGAAGCTGAGCAGCTAGCCATTGATTCTTACTTCAACATTTATGATGGGACAGCACCCTCCATGTAATTGAGGGCATCTGTCTAGCTTGGGGGTGGGGACAGGACACACTGCATGATGCACACATTTTGTTGTTGTTGTCCTCTAACAGGAGAATGGCTTAGAAGGAGTGACTGGCACTGCTGCCCCCTGCATCCCAGAATCTACTGCCTGAGGTGACCTGTGCCTGACGATAGAGCCGGCCTTTATATCTTTCTAGGCTCAGATGTGAACTTTGATATATGCCAGGCCTAACGCAGATATGTCTGGAATTCTTATGGCACAGTGGAGGATGCCACATTTGCTACCCCGATCTAGCCTTTTAGCTGTGAAAGTGCCACAATTTCAGCCCAGCGTTCTAATACGAAAGCAGTAAAATAATGTACTTTCTTGCACTGCCCCCTTTTTTATTAATACTTTAAGAACGTTCTATTCTGAAGCCATGACTGGAGGGCAGGAAGGTTTTGCCGCTTGATGCTTTGAGACTTTAATGGAGGACCACGCCAGTCCCGAGAAGACTAGAGGAAATATTGGATGCGGCCGAGAAAGCTTAATATGTCAGGGAGGATTTGTTTGGTTATATGTTGCTCACTGCACTGTGCAAAGAGGACTGTGACGTACAGCTTCGTTTTTGCAGAAGGGAAGAGAGACTATTAATCAGATGGGTGTCGAGCCAAGAAGCATGCACTTAATTTTTGAAACAATGTACTCTAAAAAAAATAAATAGAAAAGAAAGAAAAATGGATTGATTTATCTAAAAATGTTGCAGGACTGGAAAAGACCCCTTTGCAGTCATAGTAGACGAAGCCAGGCTTATCTGGCAAAGGATGAGGTGGCTTTTTATAGTCAGAAACTTGTTAACAATCAAGGAGCCAGAGATTAATCCACATGATTTCCTTATACAGTGGTACCTCAGGTTACAAACACTTCGGGTTACAAACGCTTCAGGTTACAAACTCTGCTAACCTAGAAGTAGTACCTCGGGTTACGAACTTTGCCCCAGGATGAGAACGGAAATTGCGTGCCGGTGGCACGGCAGCAGTGGGAGGCCCCTTTAGTGAAAGTTTGCCTCAGGTTAAGAACGGTTTCGGGTTAAGAACGGACCTCTAGAACGAATTAAGTTCGTAACCCAAGGTACCACTGTAATAGCATTTCACCAACAGGAAGCCAGAGGAGACAACATCCAATTCCAGGAGTGCTTTATTTATTAATATTACATATTTTATATCACCCTCCCCCCACAAGGAGCTCAAAGTGGTGCCCATGGTTCTCCTTTTCCCACTTTATCTTCACAACAGTTTTACGAGGTAGGTTGAGCTGAGAGACTGTGATTGGCCCAAGGTCACTCAGTGAGCTACCATATCTGAAGTTGCACAGTCTTCTATATGCCTCAAGTTTCTCTGAGAAAGGCAAAACAAAACAAAACAAATTTCTTGTACAAAATTCATTCCCAAATCTACATGTTAGTAGCTAGAAATACAAACCTAAGTTGAAAACGCTGAGTTAACATCTGAAGGATTCATATTTTAAGTTTAGATCATTAATAATTATTCCATTTATATACCATCCTTCCTCTTAAAGGATCCCAGTGCTGTACACAATGTAAACAATAGTGCTGGAGAGCTCGGTCGGTAGAGCATGTGACTCTTAATCTCAGGGCCGTGGGTTCAAGCCCCACGTTGGGCAAAAGATTCCTGCATTGCAGAGCGTTGGACTAGATGACCCTCGTGGTCCTGTCCAACTCTACAATTCTACAATCAGTTGTTAGAATATGTAAAAATTACAGTGCTAAAAACAAATACGGCAAAATAAGCCTCATAATAAGAACATAGGAAGCTACTTTGTTGTGAGTCAGACCCTTGGCTCATCTCACCCAGTGGCAGTAATGATGGCTACCTGGCAGTGGCCCTCCAGGAATTCAGGTTGGAGATCTCTGCCAGTCTTACCTGGAAATGCCTGAAGAAGAAGAAGAAGAAGAAGAAGAAGAAGAAGAGTTTGGATTTGATATCCCGCCTTTCACTCCCTTTAAGGAGTCTCAAAGCGGCTGACATTCTCCTTTCCCTTCCTCCCCCACAACAAACACTCTGTGAGGTGAGTGGGGCTGAGAGACTTCAGAGAAGTGTGACTGGCCCAAGGTCACCCAGCAGCTGCATGTGGAGGAGCGGAGACTCAAACCCGGTTCCCCAGATTACAAGACTACCGCTCTTAACCACTACACCACACTGGCCTGAGGGTTGAACCAGGAACCTTCTGAATGCACAGCATGTGCTCTGCCGCTGAGCTATAAGAAGAGAACAGTTGAATTCCAGAGCCAATGTCTGCCCCAAATGCCTTGTGAGAAGCTTTCTGCAAAAAAAAGATTAAAAGGTTGCATGCTTAAATTTCAGGTTAAGCAGTAGGGGACCCAGGTGAGAAAAGAGGACAGGGCTCCGGCACTTTTAAGGCTTGTGTAGATAAAGAAATTTCAGCAGGGTGTAGGTGGCTATTTGAAAGGTCCCAGGAGATGAAGGAATTACTAGAGGATTGGGATTTCCAATTATTCATTGGCTCTTACTTCTGTGGGTAGGATTGCCAGCTACTTGGGGAGAGGGGGAAACCTGCTGTGGCCTCCTCATGTGCCTTTAAAAGCATTAAAAGCGGCTTGAGTTGCAGAGAACCAGCAAGATAAGCGTGAGTGCTTGCTACGTGCTGCAGATCAAATGGTTGTTGGAAGCCCAGCTACAGGTCTCACATCAAGACCTGCCAACTGGTGGAAATGTTTTGAACACACCTCTAAGGGAGTCTCTGGTTTAAATTGGACTAGGACTGTGCACAGGGACAAATCTCTTTCATAGAAAGGTTTTAGGGAGGACAGTCAGATCTTTGCTAAATAGGAAGATAAGTAAACTGGTATGTTGTAACTGCTTGTTGTAAGGTTGCATGAAGGACATCAGTTAGATTTGATAGTGGATGCCAGAGGATGGGGTTAGGTGTAAGCCATGAAATGGCAAAGTTTGCAGCTGTCACCAAATTATTTAAGGTGGTAAAAAAAAGAAAAAGGGACAGCAAGGATTATGGCTCATGGTGCAGTCGGTAGAGCATGAGGCTCTTAATCTTGGGATTATAGGTTTGAGCCCAATGTTGGGCAAAAGATTCCTGCATTGCAGGGCATTGGACTAGATGACCCTTGTGGTCCCTTCCAACTTTACAGTTCTAAGGAGGTCGCAAATGATTGTTCCAAACCAGAGGAAAGGATGTTAAAATGGCAAATGTGAGTCAGTGTAAGTAAATGTAAAGTGATGCACATTGGGGGGGGGGGGAATTAAATCCGAACTTTGCATATATGCTGATGGGATCTGAGCTGGCAGCAACTGACCAGGAAAGAGTTCTTTGGGTTGTGGTAGGTGGCTCAAGGAAAACATTGGCCCTATGTGTGGCTGCTGTGAAAAAAGTGAACTCTTATATTGGAGATCATTAGGAAAATAGTTGAAAATAAATCTGCCAATGTCACGATGCCCTTATACAAATCTGTGGTGCAACAGTACTTGGAATATGTGACCAGTTCTCATCACTGTACTTCGAGAATAATACTGCACAGCTTGAAAAAGGTGTAGAAAGGAGCTTCTCTGAGGATATCATAGAATAGCGGTAGGCAACCTAAGGCCTGGGGGCTGGATGCAGCCCAATCGCCTTCTCAATCGCCTTCTCAATCTGGCCCGTGGACGGTCCAGGAATCAGCGTGTTTTTACATGAGTAGAACGTGTCCTTTTATTTAAAATGCATCTCTGGGTTATTTGTGGGATACAGGAATTCGTTCATTATTTTTTTCAAAATATAGTCTGGCCCACCACATGGTCTGAGGAACGGTGGACCGGCCCATGGCTGAAAAAGGTTGCTGACCCCTGTCATAGAATCTTAGAGCTGGAAGGTACACAAGGGTCATCTTGTCCAACCCCCTGCAATGCAAGAATCTCGGCTAAAGCATCCATGACAGATGGCCATCTAATCTTTGCTTAAAAAACTGTAAAGATGGAGAGTCCACCACCTCTCGTGGGAATCTGTTCCACTGCCAAACAGCTCTTACTGTCTGAAAGTTTTTCCAAATGTTTAGTCGGAATCTCCTTTCTTGTAACTTGAAGCCATTGGTTCAAGTCCTACCCTCCAGATCAGCATAAAACGAGCATGTCCCCTCTTCCCTTAAGATATTTGAAGATAGCTATCATATCTCCTCTCAGTCTCCTCTTTTCCAGGCTTAACATACCCGGCTCCTTCAAGTGGTCCTTGTAAGGCTTAGTTTACAGACCCTTAATTATCTTGGTTGCCCTCCTCTGCACACGTTCCAGCCTGTCAACAGCCTTCTTAAATTGTGGTGCCCAGAATTGGACACAATATTCCAGATGTGGTCTGACCAAGGTTCTATTACTTCCTTTGAAGTTCCCTTGGACACTACACTTCTATTGATGCAGCCTAGAATAGCATTAGCTTCTTTTCCTGCTACGTCGCACTGCTGACTCATATTAAGCTTGTGGTCCACCAAGACCCCTAGATCCTTTTCACGGACCAGGGATTGCCATGTGCCACTTAGTTACATCACTTGAGCTTCTGTACTCCAAGTCTTAAAGGCCATACTTTTGGGGGGAAGGTGTTCAACTGAACCTGTCATGTAAGAAGAATGGTTTGGGGCCTTCATAATTAGAAGATAGCAGTTGGGCGGGAAACATGTTGTCAATAAAAGTAATTATTAGTAAATAGGGGGAAAACCCTGGTTTATTGATACCTGCAATTTGCTATGCTTGCCAAGTCTTCATTCCAATACTTTTTCAAAAGTTGACATTTCTCTGAACTGCAGATTGTAGGATTTGTCTTGAAGTTTTTCCTGTTGATCTACTCTGTTCCAGAAAATGCTTGTTAGTTATATGCTCATAAAATCTACTTGCATACCTAACTTAAAGCTTTGCTAATATCCAGTGTGCTTCATATGCTGGTTTATAACAGGGATGTGAAACCTGTGACCCTCCAGATGTTGAACGTCTACTATCATCATCCATAGACCATTGGCCATGCTGGCTGGGCTGCTGGGAACTGGACTTCAGCAGCATCTGGTGCCCCACATGTGTTCCACTCTTGATTTGTAAAGCTGGAAATGTGCATGAACATGTGGAAAAGATCTGCCCAGTACAGATCTAGATCTTCCTGTAACTTTATGGCTGCTTCTCCTCAATACACTTTCTTTGGGTCTGAAGTTTCTTCCGTGATCCTGTTCATCTCCTGTAACATCCCTGCTTTACTCTCTCTGAGCAAGACAGGCAGTTACCTGCAGTTATCGCAACTGCAAGCATTTTAATCTGGCCTGCTGTCCCAGCATTTCTGGATGCTGCCATTTATCTTCAGTTTGCTGAACATCCCTTGAAGAAATTTGCTGTGTAGATTATGTAATGCATCCTGAGAGAGAGAAGGGGGGGGGGAGGTGCACTGAACAAGAATCTGCTGACTGCAATGAAAAATACTCTGCACTTATTGGTCAGAGTTGTAGAATGATGTACCTTGGTGCTCGTAGATTGAAGAAAATTTTGGTAAAAGAAGTGAGAAGAGGAAACATTCAGAGGAATCATCAGGGAGGCAATAGCTGAGTTCTGCCCATCACAAGTTAGATGCATCTCCTGTGTGCGTACATGGTGCCTTCAGAATGTATTCTGAGTTGAGGCTACTTTCAGGTGTGAAATGTATTATACCTCATTTAGCTATCTCTGGTCTGTTACTATGTATTCCCCATTTCTGAGCAGTGAGATGCTTGTAGCCTTTGCTCCATTTGGAAATATCCACACAGTGGCAAAGTAGAAGCAAGCAGTTGCCTATAAAGTATATGCAGGCAAGCAGATCTACTCGTCCTGTACCAGATTTCCAGAGAGAAAGAGAGAAGATTCTGCACTTTAAGATGCTTCACTTTCTGGCAATCCTTAATTCTCAGTCTCCTAGTTTCCACTCCTCATTCAAACTGCAAACTAGTTTCAAACTGCTTCTCTGTTGCTTCCCCAGAGCTGGAGTGCTCACTTCCTGAAGAGGAATTCCCACAATCTAGGAAGGGTTAGCATTGTTTTGTTCCTGTCTATTGCAACTCTCCAGTTGGCCATTCATAGTGATCAGGATGTCTCAACTTGTCACACCCTCTGTATAGTACATTCAGCACTCCTGGATGCTGCTTGCATCAGACAGAGATACGGTTTTGATAAAAAGATGAGCTGGCATGGTTAGCTGTTGGCTTGTGTGGTAAGGGTTGCACCAATTGTTTTCTGAGTCTTTTTTGTGTTTCCAGCTCATAAAAGCTGCCCTAGTATCCTTAACATAAATCTAGAGGGAATTTTATTTCAGAATAAGAAACTTCAATGTGTCCAGAGGGAGATTGTTTGAAGAAAATGTCTGACATTTCTGTGTTTCCTTAATCAGTTCTGATTAATAATACTTGAGTAAGCAGCATTGTGTATTTAATTTCCAGATGCTTCATTGAAATTGTGATTGAGAATATTCACATTGTGAATATTCACGCTGTGAATTGCATTTTTATATAAAATGTGCTTGTAGGTTTGGGGCCTTATTTATGCTCTGGGGAAGATATTTTAGGAATGCAGCTTTATGCGATCTCTGTGGTGGAGAAAGCGACACTTGTTGAATTTCCGCTTGTGATGTAGTATTTAAATTGTGGGTAGAGAACCCACTGCCCTTCCAGGTGGGGTTGGACTCTATCTCCCATCAGTGCCAGAGAACATGGTCAATGGTCATACAAAATCAGTTCAGCAAAATCTGGAGCGCATCTGGGTGGGAAAGGCTGCTCTAGGAAATTCTTTGTGAACTGGGGCAAAATGTATGCAAATAGAATAGAATAGAACAGAATAAAATACCTTTATTGTCAATGTACAAACTGTGTACAATGAAATTAACCAAGCCTCCCCTCCCAAACACTCAATCTCATTGCACTCTGTGTGCTTGTCACACAACACACCAACCCCGAAAATCAGTTGCACTATATTATTTTCCATTCAGCAGCCTAACAGCCCACGGATAGAAATTGTTTTTTAGCCTGTTGGTACGACTGATTATATTTCTATATCTCCTGCCCGAGGGCAGAAGATTAAAGAGGTGCTGGCCAGGGTGTGAATCGTCACTGAGAATTTTTCTCGCTCTCCTAAGGCAACGATCCCTTGCAATGTCATCTAGCGGGCTCAGGGGATAGCCCATGATATCATGAGCTGTGTTCACCACCCTCTGTAAAGACTTTCTGTCCATGGCTGTCAAGCCAACGTACCACAGTGATACAATATGAGAGGACACTTCCTATTGTGGACCAGTAGAAGGAGGTCATCAATTCTTGTTTAACATTGTTCTTTTGCAAGACCCTGAGAAAATGGAGTCTCTGTTGGGCCTTCCTAACCACCTGAGTTATATTGTTTTTAAAAGTGAGGTCTTCACTAAGGTAAACTCCCAGGAATTTAAAGGAAGAGACTCTCTCCACACAACCCCTGCCTGATATACAACGGGGCTAGTTCCCCTCTCTTCCTCCAAAAGTCCAACACCATCTCCGTTGTCTTGCTAATATTTAGTTGCAAGTTATTCTCTAGGCACCATGTAGATACTTTTTGAACCTCCCCCCTGTATGCTGATTCATCTCCACCTGTAATTAGACCCATTATGGTAGTATCATCTGCAAACTTAATAATTACAGTGGATGGATCAGATGAAATACAGTCATATGTATACAACGAGTATAGGTAGGGACTCAGCACACATCCCTGTGGGGTGCCAGTGCTGAGCTTCAGGGAGGTAGATGTAACAGGCCCAATCCTCACTGTTTGTGTCCGATCCTTCAGAAAGTCTTTAATCCAGTCACAGATGGTAGAAGAAAGGTCTAGTTCCATCAGCTTTTTGGTAAGAATGTCCGGAAGGATGGTATTAAAAGCCGAGCTATAATCAATAAAGAACATTCTAACATAATTCCCCGGTCTCTCCAGATGACTTGTTGCAAGGTGAAAGGCTGTAGCTATGGCATCATCTGTTGACCTATTTCTCCTATAAGCGAACTGAAGTTTATCAAAATCCGAAGGAAAACATGTCCTAAGGTGTTGAAGGACCAATCTCTCAAAGCATTTCATCACTACAGATGTTAATGCAATAGGTCTGTAGTCCTTTAGGCAGTTAGTTGCTGTTTTCTTTGGGACTGGGACAATGGTGGCTGCTTTAAAACATGATGGAACACAAGCCGTTTGCAGAGAGATGTTAAAAATGGTTATGCCATGGTAAAGCTTGAGAGAAGTTTTGTTGACTGATGTCATAGAAACTTAAATTAACACCTTTGGAACAGGGCAATGTGAGTTTACTGTTTCAAAGCTCTGCTGCTTCACAAATATTACGTGTATTTACTATTTTTATAGAATGGTTTTCTGTCAGATTGTCATGGGCAGTTTATATATTATAATACAGAAATGGCTTGCTGTGTAGGGGATGGGATACAAAAGGAAAGGGGAAGAAGCAGAAGCAGAAGCAGAAGCAGAAGAAAATCCATGTGCCAATTCCCTATGTGGTGTCAGCATTGGCATGGTCAGGCAAATGCTGGAGCTAAATATGGCTGACATTGGCCTCTTCATTCATATATATATATATATATATATACATATATATATATATATATATATATATATATATATATACATACATATATATATACACACATATATATATATATGTGTGTGTAAATAGACTCTCTGGGTGAGATAGCTTCAGCCTCTGCTTCCACATCATCTTCCTTTTCTCCAGTCCCTCTTGGATCAAGTCTGGCTCTAGGAGAGGCCCAGAAGCATTGGGAAGGGAAGTCCCTTTGCTTAGGCTTTACTGAATGAGTGCTGAGGGCAGAACTCAAACCAGGGAGCCTAGACTAGTGCAGGTGTTGGTCCTTCTCTTTCATTGCTGGCCTCTTGCTGCTGTCACCACCCATCCAGAGTAGTGGAGCCTTGGAGATACCTCTGCTTTCACTGCTGTGGGCTGCCAGCAATGGAGGAGAAGCATTGCCACCTGCAGGACTCTGGGTTCCTCAGGCCCTTTAACGCTTTCCCTTTCTTTCCAAGCACTTTGCGCTAGGAAAGAGAGAGAATAATTAAGGTGCTGTGGGGCTTAGAGGGCTACAGGTGGTGCTCCTCCTACATCACCCACTGACTGGTAAACCTGCAATCCTTGCTTACAAACCCTCCAAATCTGAGCCTTCTTTTGTACTGTTCCATGGTGCAGCTGTTTAACGACCTGGGGGAATATTCACTTCAGGAGACAGTTTGAAGTCAGGAGGTGCTAAATGGCAGCCGATTCCAACTGTGCTGGTTGGGCTTTGCTGCCTCACCTTTCCCTCAGCTGCAGCCTGGTGGAATGAAATTAGTGATGTCATCAAGATTTGCGTTTCTAGATGTGGAGATTTGAGTCAGGCTCACTGTGCTCACTTGAAGTACCAGACTCTGGAGTTCTTCCCTGGCTCGGACCAAAATCTGAGCCAGAGAAGTATTTCCCTCTTGCCTCCAGTACCATCAGAGGCCACAGGGAGAGGGAATGAAAGGAAGAATACCTCCCATCCTTTTTTTCTCTACAGCCACTGACTCTCTCCCATCGCCTTTCTTTGATGCAGTTGCATTTGGTCTTAGAGCACAAATGGTGAGAAATGGTATGGAAACAGTCCAGGGTTTTTTTTGCAAGGGTAGGGCAGGGTTTCAAAGCATTGTTTGTGGTCTGGAAAAGTATCTGTTGCATCCTGGAATATACTTGCCTTCTGCCTCTTGTTTATGATTTCCAGTGCTTATAACTGACCATTTTTTAAATCTATTTTTGCAGCTGAGGTAGAGCCACCAAGAGAACAAAATGGACCTTGATGTGCTGAACATGTTTGTAATAGCGGGAGGCACTCTGGCTATCCCAATTTTGGCATTTGTGGCATCCTTCCTTCTGTGGCCTTCAGCACTGATCAGAATATACTACTGGTAAGTTATTCAGAATCCTGGCTCTGATTGGTGTTGCCTTCCTAGAAAGCCTATGTACTTCCCAAAACGTTTGCCACAATTAGAGTGAATGATCAATAGTGCTTAAATTTTTTTTATTTAAAAACCAGTCTGAGTTCTTTTGGCAGCTGATTGATTGCAGCCTATTTGCATATGATGCTTCAGGAGCACCTCTTGATTAACGCCAATTATCCAGATTGAGGAGGAACCTTCCACAAATCATGCCATAATGGAGGCTCATCCATGATGGGGGCACACTCCAAGATCGCTCCCGTTCTGCCTTCCAAATTGGCAGACATGGGATTGTGTGACACTGCAGGTTGCAGTGAACTTCCTAGACCCCACTGGGAAACATCAGGAGGGTTTATGCCTCATTCCCTTCCTTTCCCCGCCTGAACTCCTTTACAGCCCCTGGAGGGGCTATGGAGAACAACCACCATTGAATCGTGGGCATTGCTAGAAACCGAATGATCAATAGTTCTTAACTTCTGAATGAGCAGTAGTTGCAAAGGTTTCCTTTCCTTGATCCTTCTGTTGTTTAGACTCCTGCTTCATACAGCAACTCCCCCAAAAGTCAAAGGTCCCCTTTGGCAGTGGCGTCCAATGTAGCACTGTTAGTTCACAGTTGGAAGAGGTAATTGGACAAAGCCTGGTGTGCATGTAGACCAGCTTTGGCCAACCTGATGCTCTCCAGCTGTGCAGGAGCTGATGAGAGTTGAAGTCCAAAACATCTGGAGGGTGTCAGGTTGACGAAGACTGACTTAGAACCATTTGGGAGCACGGAGCTCCTTCAACTTGTCCACTAAACTCGGACTGCCTTAAGCTGGCCAAGCGGATAACGAATCCTTTTCTCATCACCAGTGCTGATCAGATAGTGTTTGTTCCTAAGCCTGCTTCACATATTCAGCTGAACTGGCTCATCTCTAGGCATGGCATGGAAGTATGAAACACTTATGCGCTCCCACCATACCTGTGGTGTTGGGTGATCAAGCATATAGACAGAAAGTTCACAGTCTTTCCCCCTGACCACCTCCTGAAGGCTTCATCTGCGCATACAGCCTCCTCATAGCAACACAGGAAGGTGCCTTTCACTAAGTCAAACTACTTGTCCATCTAACCCAGTATATTGATTTACTTTATTTATAAGAGTGCTTATAAGCTCCTAGTAAATATGGCAATGTACACTAAAATGCCGTAACATAAAACACAAGGCCAACGTACTTCTTAAAATACATGTATTTTCTACTCTGCCTGGTAGCAGCTGTCCAGGGCCTCAGGTAGAGGTCTTTCTGAGCACCTGCTGCCGTTCCTCCTTTTTAAACTGGAGGTTCCAGGGATGGAGCTAGGGACCTTCTGCATGTAAAGAAGGTGTTCAACTGCTGAACCAACCATAACAGTTGTAGTGTATGTATGTTGTAGGTTAGTGGAGTCGCACGCACACTCATTAACACCAGGCTAGGGGATCTTTGGCCCTCCAGATGTTGTTGGACTCCAACTCCCATCAGCCCCGGCCAGCATGGTCAGGGATGATGGGAACTGGAGTCCAACAACATCTGGAGGACCAAAAGTTCCTCCCTGCCTTACAGCTTCCTTATTATGCTTATAGAGGGGCTACTAAGTCTACATATGTATGTATAGATGCATAATCTTTCTTAACTGGGATTTTTAGATCCCTTCCTGTATAGATGGTTATTGCTGTGGCTGTTCCATTAATGTAAATGCTGCTGGGAGAATTCTGCATTATCTTATTACCAAAGCATGCCTGTTGCTAGGCAGGCCTTTATTACCCCGGTTACTCCAGCTGACTCGGAGGATTAGCTCCCCATGGGCGCAGATGTCATTGGTTCGTTTCTGAGTGGGGATAAATTGCTTGCCAGGAAGGTTCATCAATCAGTAAAGCTATTTTAAATGCCTAAGCAGGGGAAATTGTTACAAAGGGATTAGAGAGGCGGCTCTGGTTGTTTCAGTAAAGGGAGAACTGTGAAAAAGATTGGCGCAAGGGAAAGTGGGAGAGGGTCACATTGTGATTTCACAACCTTGTGGGAAGGAAGGCATGGGATGCCAGGGGCTGTAGCTCAGGGTGGAGAGAGTGCTTCACATGTGGAAAGTTCCAGGTTCAATTACCAGGTAGGGCTGGAGAGACTGCCTGTTTGACACTGGGTGTTCCTAAAAACAAGTTCAAGTGTGGCAGTCGCGCTGCGGTCTCCTGCAGGGGGAGCAGGCAGTGGTGATTTGAATTCATTGCAGAAATGCTTTGCTCTTGTGCTGAGGCTGCTGTGTTGCAACCCTTCTCCTTTGTTCTGCCCTTGCTGCTGTCAGGTACTGGCGCCGCGCCCTGGGCATGCAAGTTCGATACGTGAACTACGACGACTACCAGTTCTGCTACTCCTACCGAGGGAGGCCTGGCCACCGGCCCTCTGTGCTCATGCTGCATGGATTCTCGGCCCACAAGGATATGTGGCTTTCTGTAGTCAAGGTACACTTCTCCTTCTCTATGAGGAAATAACAGTTTCACCTGGGAGGGACAACGTTCTGCTCTTGGGCTAAGTTGCAGCCAATTCCAGTGTGCCCTTGTCACTTTTCTATTACTGATTTGTGTATGTATTACATACCAAAGGTGGAGAATCTGCGCCCTCAGTATGTAGATAGGCTCCCATCAGCCCAAAGTTCAGGGATGCTGGGAGTTGTAATGCAGTAACCCCCGGCTTCCCACTGCAGGTCATGTGTTCCTTCCATCAGCGCTGCTACAGGGGAAGCACCCATGTGATATAAAATCCATATATTAGTGTGCCAGCAGTGGGGTTGTGCTATCAGCCATGCTGAAAAAGTAACAGGTGAATCAGCCTTGAGGATAAGTTCAAATGGTCCACTTGGTTGGGATCATGCCTGGCTTTCACCATGGGAAAAGGTAGGTACCACTTTCCTGGCCACCCATATGTTCAGTATGGAAAGCCAGCTGCTCAAAATGAGCATCCCACAGTCGTCCCTGTTAGTTCTGTGGAAAGTTTGGGCTGTCACACTTCTGTATCTACTGCGGAGCCACCTGTGCTCAGAATACTCCTATTTTCGATCCCTGTGAGGCTGCTGCTTGCTAACTGCAAATGAATTATTGTGATGAGATTGGGAGGGGAGGTTGCCTACTTGCTTACTTTGGGATTAGCCTAAAGTGCCTTAAAAAAACCAAATCATATGCTGAGGACATTAGGATTCACACAAAAGACTTTGTGGTAACAGCATGTGCGCATGCTTCTCTTCCTCTCTTTTATAAGAATTCTCTTCATATATTTTAGCTTTTAAGGAACAGCTTGCATGGGGCCAGTGTTAATACAATTCATCCGTTGGCAATGCAAGTGCTCAGCTCCACTTCCACCATGATGGCAGTGGTTGGAAATTTGTTCCGATTTGCTTCTGGTGGGATCTCTCCTCCATCCTAACCACATGACACTTGTTTCCTGCAGTTCCTTCCGAAGAACCTGCACTTGATTTGTGTTGACATGCCTGGCCATGAGGGTACCACTCGCTCATCCCTAGATGACTACTCAATCTATGGGCAAGTGAAACGAATACACCAGGTAATAAATGCTCCAGAAATGACCCTGGAAACGCTTGGGATGTTCTCTCTGTTCCACCTTCTTGAGTCCATGGACTGATTCAGAACTCACTGTTCGGAGGTGACTAGTGTTTTGATTTGGAGAGTCTGGGGAAGACTAAGCAATGTTGTAAAGAGTGATGGGAGATGGGTTACAGCAAAGCCTTGGAGATATATCCCAATATTTCAGTACAGCGACTCTCCCTTCTGAAAGCTCTCTCCTTCCTTCCTTCCTTCCTTCCTTCCTTCCTTCCTTCCTGGCCAGCAGACATGCCAGCTATTTACAGTCTCAAAAGATTCTCTTGTCTTCGTTCTGACTCTCAAATCCTTAATCTCTTTAATTCTTCATATCCTGTTCTGTGAAGATCTAAGTCCATCAGTGATCAAAAGAATTGGTTTGCAGGTTGTGAGGTGACTGTCTGTTTCCTCCTTTACAAAGGGAAGAGCTGCCATTTGAAGGGCTGTCTGCTAAAAGACTGGCTTAAAGAGGGAAAAAGATCATGAGAGCAGGAAGGGCCTTGGCATTACCCAGGCATTGCCTCCACAGCAGACCCAGCCTTGTCTGAACCACCAGGCATCATGGCCTTCCATCCTATGGCAAGATGGATAGTTTTTAAAACTTAAATTATTGCAACTATTTCTAAACTTGCATTTATACATATACAGTCAGCACATGGTAATTTACATAAATCTTTTAGCGTTGGCGTATTTCCCGTTTCCCTTTGGTGATATGTAAGTGGACACCCTTCTGACTGGGTGAGTAGTCAGTTCACGTTTTAACTGTGGGGTTTCTCTGTACAGTGGTACCTCTAGTTACAAACTTAATTAGTTCCAGAGGTCCATTCTTAACCTGAAACTGTTCTTAAACCTGAGGTACCACTTTAGCTAATGGGGCCTCCTGTTGCCGCCACAGTGCCAGCGCGCAATTTCTGTTCTCATCCTGAGGCAAAGTTCTTAACCCGAGGTACTACTTCTGGGTTAGCGGAGTCTGTAACCGGAAGTGTTTGTAACCCGAGGTGTTTGTAACCTGAAGTACCACTGTATTCCAAAGGAACTGAATTGCGGAGCACGCCTAATATCTTCCACTTCCTTTCCCATCTCCCGTACATCCTGAGTTATGAGAAGTTATCAAAGAAGTAGCTTCTTTACCTTGCAGAAATGGCCCTCTCCTTTCTGTCAGCAGCTGAGCTGCTAATATGTGGCCTGCTTTGTCAGACTTGTTTATGCTCTCAGCCTTTCCATAAACATAAGTGGATCAAACATATTAAAAAGACAATTCAGAGCCAGGGTCTGAGAATCAGTGGACAGCCATCAAACTCTTAGCTCGTAAGCTTTCTCTCTGGTAAGAGGTTTGTTTTCAGTTGCTTTGGGCCTGTTCATAGGATGTGCTGGTTTTCCTGTCTGTCCACTTAGCAGTGTTGAAGGCCGCTGTTCTGAACCCCTGGGGACAGAAGCCCCATTTACCTGAGGGCTAAAATGAAGGGTGAGGAGGGGTGCACCCACAAGTCCCACCTACAATGTCACTGTGGACGTCGGGCGCCTATTCAAACCTTTCCATGTTGGCCACGCACGCCCTGAAGGGAGATTGGAGGAATAATCAGAGTTTACTTAGAATACTCCCTGTGATCAGGAGCCTTGTCTTAACAGGGTTTTGGATCTCAAGGATTCTATGTTCATTCCCTCAGACACATGTAGACATCCTCATCAGATTTTCCCTCTCAGCATGGGAAGGGAAGGGAAGGTCTGAAGTGAAGCTGACTTTCATGGGGATGTTGGGGACGGGGGCTTCTTTGCACACCCCTCCCCTCTTTTAACTCCTTACGCACCGAACATGCCTAGAAGCCCCCTTCAGACCTTCGTGACTGATGAGCAAAATTTTCCTGTGGGGATGAGGACAAAGAGGATGGGGTTGTGTGCACACAGAAAGCCAGCCTGGTGCAGTGGTTAGAGTGTCAGACTAAGACCTGGGAGACCAAGGTTTGAATCCCCACTCGTCCATGAGGCTCGCTGGGTGACCTTGGTCTAGTCACTGTCTCTTAGCCTAACCTACCTCACAGGGTTGTTGTGGGGATTCAGTGAGCAGGGGGAGAAGCATGTACGCCAGCTTGGAGGAAAGGTGGGATATAAATGAGATCAATAAACACTACCCTTTCCGCACATTTACTCTGAATATCTGAAGAGGCTTTTGATGCCTGTTTTTAGCTTTCCCAGACCTAGGATAGAATTTGGCTGCTGTTAAAGTTGCAGTACCTGCTCTGAGAGCCAGTGTGGTGTAGTGGTTAAGAGCGGTAGACTTGTAATCTGGGGAACTGGGTTCGCTTCCCTGCTCCTCCACATGCAGCTGCTGGGTGCTAGTCACACTTCTTGAAGTCTCTCAGCCTCACTCACCTCACAGAGTATTTGTTGTGGGGGAGGAAGGGAAAGGAGAATGTTAGCCGCTTTGATACTCCTTTGGTAGTGATAAAGTGGGATATCAAATCCAAACTACTACTCTTCTTCTTCTTCTTCTTCTTCTTCTTCTTCTTCTTCTTCTTCTTCTTCCCAGCACAGTTAAGCCAATTCCCCCCAAGCATAAGCAACACTAATACTTTCTTAATACTACTGAAAGAAGAGCCAGGTAGGGCACTGCACATAACCTAACTTCCTCTGGGCTGCCCCTTAACATCTGTTATGGTGCTGAATCTCATGTGCTATTACTTGTGTGAGTATTACCGTATTTTTTGCTCTATAAGACTCACTTTTTCCCTCCTAAAAAGTAAGGGGAAATGTGTGTGCATCTTATGGAGCGAATGCAGGCTGCGCAGCTATCACAGAAGCCAGAACAGCAAGAGGGATTGCTGCTTTCACTGCGCAGCAATCCCTTTTGCTGTTCTGCCTTCTGAGATTCAGAATATTTTTTTTTCTTGTTTTCCTCCTCCAAAAACTAGGTGCGTCTTGTGGTCTGGTGCGTCTTATAGAGCGAAAAATACGGTAATTTCCAAGCCAGTTCCCCTCATCTCTCCTAACTCTACTGCAATTGCTGCCTGCCCCCTAGTAACCCAAGTGTTGGTTTTTTTATCTTTTCAGTTTGTTGAATGTATCAATCTGAACAGGAAACCCTTCCATCTACTTGGAACTTCCATGGGCGGAAACGTTGCAGGAGTTTATGCTGCTCAGTACCCAGCGGAGATCTGCAGCTTAAGTCTTGTATGCCCTGCGGGTGAGTGCCACAAATGAACTTCGCCTCCTGAGGCAGGAGATGTGTCCACGGTCCATGTGTCTGGTGAATTTAAATACTCAGGATGTGCACCAACCACAGGAGTTGATTGGTTCCTGACCTGGTGCTTTGGAAAACAGTCTGCTCATGTCAAAGGTGCTTTGGCTGCCTGGTGGAATGGCCACCTGACACGGATGCTTTAGTTGACACGGATGCTTTAGTTGAGATTCCTGCCTTGCAGGGGGTTGGATTAGATGACCCTCAGGGTCTCTTTCAGCCCTATGATTCTGTGATTTGGGCTGCAGTCAGTCTAAGTCCCCTTCTTTTCGCCACTGCCACCGCCACCGCCACCCAATTCACAATTCTGCTTTTGACAGAAGTGAATGAAATTTGCAGACCTCATAGCTGCTCTTGAGTGGCTAAAGCCTGCCAAATTGTAAGCAAATATGTCCAGGGGGTGTTGTGCTGGGCAGCTTCATTCTCCCGTACCCCCATTTTAAAAGTAAACATCTAAAACTTTATTTTGGATCAGAATTGGATTAAATCCGTAGACAAGGACACTCCTTCTGAAGGTGTGAATCCTGCCAGATTTCAGAAGGATTGCCACAGGGGCTTACCTGAAAGGGTAGCCTTTACAGTTTGGGTGTGCAATTGATTAACACCTGTCAAGTTGCAAACAAAAGAGAAGTCCAGGGGTGTTTGTTCTAGGTACCTTGTAAAGTCGATTGTGGAGGGAACAAAAAGGGATTGACTTTTTAGGTAAGATCATTCACTCTGATTACAAGACCAACTTGTCAGCCACAGTGAGGCTCTTCTTCCTGCTTCTCTCCATTGTGGTGTTTGCTACTCCTTCCCACATCTCTCCACCCTGATGTTATTTTTTCATAGGGTAACCTGTACTTTACCTTTCAGCAGATGCTAATATGCACCTTTGTTTATGTCCGGATCACTGAGGCACCACAAAGTGCTTCAGGGAACCCAGCTTCGATTTGTTCTACCTCATAGACATCCCTCTTCATCCCTAACAAGCTGCCAAACCCTCCAAGACACATCACTTTGGCTCAGGATCCATCCAGCTTTGCTCCACACCTCCTATTAAAAGCTAGAATTAGGCTCAATTTTGACACGTTAAGACACTAGTTAAAAGCAGCATTCGTGTGCTTGCTACCTTGGCAACCCCCTTGCCCTTGTAGTTAAAGGCAGGCCTACATCATCATCATCATCAATACCCAATACAACCCCCCATTTTAAAAGGGCACTGAATATCAGTCAACCAAAGGCCTGGTTAAAGAGGAACGTTTTTGCTTAGTGCCTAAAGGTGTATAAACAGCCTTGGCCCAGTATACCTGAAGGAGTGTCTCCTTCCCATCATTCAGCCCGGACACCAAGGTCCAGCGCTGAGGCCTTCTGGCAGTTCCCTCACTGCAAAAGTGAGGTTACAGGGAACCAGACAGAGGGCCTTCTCGGTAGTGATGCCCGCCCTGTGGAACGCCCTTTTCCCATCAGATGTCAAGGAAATAAGCAGCTATCTGACTTTTAGAAGATGTCTGAAGGCAGCCCTGTTCAGGGAAGTTTTTAATGTTTGATGTTTTATTGTGTTTTTAATATTGTGTTGGGAGCCGCCCAGAGTGGCTGAGGAAACCCAGCCAGATGGGCGAGGTATAAATAATAAATTCTGATGCTGATGAAGGAGGCAGGCAAATCTTCCTGGGGAGAACATTCCACAAATGGGGAGCTGCTACAGAAAAGTCCCATTCTGTTATAACAGACACGTGGCTGTTATTGGAAAGAGCAAATCAATGTCTAACTACCTTCTTCCTAATCCTAATGTCAACACATCAAAGTGCTGAGCATCCTGCAGGCCCTCCACCAGCAGCAGCACCCAGCAATGGTTGGGAAACGCAGCTCACCATAAGTCTGAGTCACCCTAGATGAAAGGTGGCCGACACAGTATCCCCCAGAGCAGGCATAGGCAAACGCCGGTCCTCCAGATGTTTTGGAACTACAATTCCCATCATCCCTAGCTAACAGGACTAGTGGTCAGGGATGATGGGAATTGTAGTCATTTAGAGGGCCGGAGTTTGCCTATGCCTGCCCCAGAGCTTGGATCACTGAACTCCTGTCAGTCCCAGTCAGTGGCCAGGGATGATGGTAATTGTAGTCCAGATACATCTGGAGGGCCCCACCCTGGCTATCTTTGCCTTTGATATCCCAAGAGGAATCCAAACGCGCAGGAGGTGCCTTGGTGACAGCCATGTATGCATCTCAAAGTGTCATTTCACCCTACGTGACGAACGTGGTGGTTCTGTACTTGGGAGGTAAGATTAAGTCAGGTCCTGACACCCCCACCCCCTCCTTCCTTGCTTGTGACTTTAAGAAATAATTGGCATGTTTTCTCTGGAAGGATTGTTGGAGGAATTAAAGGCTTGTCAAGGCCGCCTACCTATTGCGTTGCTTCTGGAGCTCAGCATATGGCTGTTCTTCTCTTTTTTCCTGCAGGGCTGCCGCCTGTCGCGGAAAGCAAATTTGTTAAGCTACTGCGGGAGCTGAAGGAGTCTAAGTCCCTCAGCCAGATTCCCCTGATTCCATCCACCCCGGAGGAAATGGCAGAAATGTTAAAGCTTTGCTCTTACGTACGCTTCAAAGTGCCCCAGCAGGTGAGAAGTATGAGTGGCAGAGGCGCCCTTAATTGGGAATCTTCTCTTGCCCCCTCACCCCCACCCCAAGGCTGTTCTTCTTAAGTCGAGGCTGGTTGCTGCCTTGGTAAACATTTGATTAAAGCAAAGTACAGTATCCACCCCCTCCTCCCACCACCCACGATGTGGCCTCCTAACTGGTTGGCTTGTACCGATTCTGAGGTAACATGCATTTTAATGAATGAATTCCATTTGTGAATCGCTTCCTATAAAGTGCCTTAAAGCAATTTGACAACGAATACAACAGCAATAAAAACAAGAAGTGTTTCCTATGTAAAAATGAAACAATTTCCTATGTAAAGACGGTTTCAAATCTAACACATCTACAGACTGGGGTTAAAAAAACCCAACAACACAAAATCCAGTTATAGGTCTTGTTGAAAAAGGAAGGTCTTCAATTACTATTTATGAATGAATTCTGTCCCTTTAATTCTTAAAATTTTAATTCAGCACCTGTACAGCTGCTTCCTGGTCCCTAGGTAGGCTTGATAATAGGAAGTCCTATTTTTTTCCAACTTAGAAAGCAAAACTCACCATGAATCAGTACCTCAGTCACAAATCAACTGTACAAATTGTAACACTTGGAAATTAACACACTCTTGTACACCTCCTGTTTAGCTTTCTGGTATCTGAGCTTCAGATATAATTCCTTATCTCAAAATCCATGAGGTCTAGCGGATTTTGAAAGCCATGGATTTGAACCTAACCCACGGTGTACTGATAAATTTGGAAGTGTAGGACCTCATCACAACAGCCTCCAAGGAGAGTCCAGGTTATATAACACACACTCATGCAACATAGCAAGGGACAGCCCTACTTTTAGCACGATGGCCAATATAATAGGATTAGCACAACTGCAACCCTATACGCAGCCTCCTGAGAGTGTGCTCTGCTGAACTCAGTGCCACTTGCTTCAGATTGTGTTTTAAATTTTCATCTGATTGGTATTGCTTTCCTTCTCCACAGCATTAATTCCTCCCCACCTTTCTCAAGCTCTGTGCTGAATGTTCCTTAGTAGCCATGTGGGTGTTTGTACAGAGAGTAGATAGATACCGAGGTGCTATATGCAAGATATGATTTTTAAAATTGGGAAGAACAAGTGAAATGGATGTGGTGTGTGTGCAGTCTGTTCTGAAGAGCCAAGCTTTCCCTGACAGGGAAACCTGATTTCCCTTGAAGTCTGAGCTGCGTGGGTTTACACAGGGCAAGCAAAGTGCGAAACAATTGCTTTAAAAATTGTGCAGAGCTGTGATTCATCCTCCCCTCGGCAATCTTTCCGAAGCAGAATTTTAACTTTCTCTATGTGGAAGATTTGCCCCCCTTTCCCCTTACAGTTTGGATGAGGAACCTGAGGCCCTTCACCTTCCCCCTTCCCTAGCCAGTGTGCCTAGTTATCGGGGACAATAGGAGTTGTAGTCCAGCAACTTCTGGAAGGCAGGTTCCCCTGCCATGCCCTACAGATTTGTAATCTTTAGTTTGAGTGCGTTCCATGTTGGCTCCCATCCTTCTAGCAGCCCCAAAGCTTGTTTGCCCAGGTTCCTGCCTCTACTTGCTGCAGTGCGTCTCCAAGCGGGTTTACTCCTCGGCTGCGTTATGCAATGCTCAAGAGTCCTGATTGCCAGCATGGATTCTGTGGTGTGTCCAGAAAACCGCTCCTACTGGGAAAGAGAGGGGGAGCAGATGGACATGGTGTGCTTGCCCTGTTATGTAACATAGGGACATAATAAGAGCCCTGCTTGTTCAGGCCAGGGGCCTGTCTGGTCCAGCATCATGCTGTCTCACAGTGCCCAACCAGATGCATGTGGGAAGTCTGCCCACAGGCCCTGAGCACAGCAACACTCTCCCCACCTGGTGTGGAGAAGCACAATGCCTCTGACAGTGGAGGCAGAGCATAGCCATAGTGGCTAGAAGCCACTGAGAGCCTTGCCCTCCACAAGCTATTCTTCTAAGACGCCATTATGTGTTTGTAGATCCTGCAGGGCCTCGTCGATGTCCGCATCCCGCACAATGACTTCTACCGCAAATGTAAGTGCATCACGTCCTTTCTCTAGCTTGGGATTGGAATTGGTGCTGGTCGCTTCTGTTATCTGAAGGTGCAGGCTACACCATGGGTCGGATGCCTGCCTGCTCCCCCCACTCCCCATGGTGTGATTTGGTTTTAAGGCCCATGGGATGGCAGCTTTGCCCAGTATTGAAGCAGCGCACCTGTTAAAAACATCTTTAAGGAAATGAAACAGTGGGGCTTTGTGTATGCCACCATAGGAACAAAAGAAGAACTCCTGTGCCTCAGACCAAAGGTGCACCTGGTCTTAGCATTCTGTTGCCAACAGCAACCAGCCATATACCCTTGGAAAATTTACAGGCCAGAAACGAATCTCATGGTCATACACAAAGATGGAGAGAACCTCTGGCCCTCCAGAATCAGTGAGACCACAGCTGCATTCACACGTGGGGTTTACTGCGTTAGTTCAACTGATTGTAAGGCTAGCGCTTCGGCCCCACTTTCTAACATTCTTTTCACAGTGTGTACGCCTGTTTCACCACTTCACCACCACCATGTTGCGGTGAACGTCATTGACACATGTCATTTCTCTATGCTGTCCTTCTCCCTCTAAGTTCTGCCATTCTTCAAGGATATGCCTTTTGGGCATGACTTTCTGTGCTGAAATAACAAGGCACGTTCATGTTAGGCCTAAAACAAACAAACCCCAAAGCGTGGACAGGGAGCACTGTGCATGCTGCCTCACGACTGGTCACATGAGCCACTGGAGTGTGAACCTGTGGAAAAGGCGGGAAGATTGTCATGCAGAACTCCCACAATTTTCTGGGTCGAGGGGCCTGCAAACTGATTTATTTTTTCTGGGGATGATGGGGATTGTGGTGCAACAACACCTGGGAGGCCACAAGTTCCCCATTCCTGCCATGCCAGACACTTTCCCCTGGAATCGAGTATCACCAGATCAACAGCCTCCTGGATCTTGAGGTTCTGTTTGACGTTTGTGTCTCACAGCAGAGGTTTGGAATTGCAGGCACATAGCTTAGGGGTGGAGAACCTGTGGTCCTCCAGATAAAATTAGACTCCAAACCCTATCAATCACAGCCAGCATGGCCAGTGCTCAGGGATGATGGGAGTTGTAGTCCAGCAACTTCTGCAGGGGCACGGATTCCTACCTATGGCCTAAACTATATGGGGAAGTGTTGGCGTGGGTGGCGAAGAACAGAATGTGGGGATGCAGATTTTGATGTCAGACACACATCAAGTGACTTTGAAGAAAGGGAACTTCCTCCAAAGGCTTTTGCGCACATCCCTCTCTGGCCAGGAAGGTTTTCCTTTTGTGATTTATGCCGTGGGGAATCTTTTTCTTCTTTCTGCTGTTTCATTGACCCAAACTGCATGATGGTTTTCTTTGGGTGGGAGATAGGAGTAAAAGGTTAAAAACCCAGCTCGTTAAAATTTGAGTTGTGTGCAATGAAGCTGAGCTAGACTGATTTTCTCTCTCTCTCCTCCTCCTCCTTTTTCCTCTTCTGGAAAGTGTTTTTTGAGATTGCAGATGAGAAGTCCGTCAACTCGCTTTATGAAAACATGAGCAAGATCAAAGCTGCAACGCAGATCATCTGGGGAAAGCAAGATCAGGTGCCTCAGCCAATTTGTTTCTGCTTCCTTCTCCTCTTCTCTCCTTAGTGCAACATGTAAAGATAAATTAGAACAGCAGAGTAACCAATAGGGAGAGCAGGCAGATAATGACGGCAACTTAAAGATTAGCAAACGTGCTATATGGTGTAAGACCAAACCCCACCTCATCAGATTGGGAAAGCTGCCTTTGCACCTGTCTTCTGCTGCTCATTTTCCTTCTATGTAATGTGTGAGAACGAAAGATCTCTGCCTGCTCAAGTGGACTTTTGTCTTGATTAAATGTAGTGGGAGATGAGGGGATGATATTGGATAAGAGAATTGCACATAGAGGCAGAGGAGAATTTTGTTGGTCCACATTTTTAAAGAGACGGACGTAACTTGTGCCTTGTGCAGATCAGAACACCATTATTCTTCAGATTTCCCCCTTCTAAAAAAACTTAATGAAATGTGTAAAAATAAAAATGCATTTTTGGGTGAAATACATTTAGAATTGCATACGCTGAAGTAAAATATGTATTTAAACAGTAAAATACATATTTAAATACAAGTTTTATATAGTTAAAAATAATAATCATGGGACAGAACTCGCTTTTTAATGAATGCGCGCATTCAAACTGCACTTGTTCCTCTAACGGAACTACAATTCCCAGCACCATTAACTGACTATAGTTCCCAGGATTCTTTGGGTTGTATGTTTGTGTGCTATAAAAATATGGAGCGTACACAGACTCAAGGTGCAAATCGACTGATCTGCCCATTCCTTCTCCATTGGACACGCCAAACTCTTACATGTGCTCAAAGATTTCCCCATTCATTTCGGCAGAGGTAGCAGACCCGTGCGCATATTCCTGTGTATACAAATTTGCTGGCTCCATTGAATTGAATGGGAATGTTGTGCTCCCACACCTGTACAAAACGGTTGGATGGGGGATGAGTGAGGGTTGTATGATAATTTTTTTTTAAAAAAGGTTGCGCCGAATACCAATTCACCCCGAGTTCCAAATGTGTTTTGAGAAAAGGTACCATTAGCACAAGATCTGTAAGTTAGCGAGAGAGACGTTGCCATGACAACTAAAAAGGGGAACTGTTCTATGATTTGCTGGCACAGTTAAGAAGAAAGCTGAAAAATGTTAACTAGGGAAGGAAATGAGGGGAATGTGAAGAAATTATCAGTGAGTAGGAGGAGGAAATGATTGTGTATGGAGGAGCGCTGGTGCGGGGGGGGGATGGGGACGGAGGGCAAAGCTGAATGTAAGCAAGGCTGATTTGGATGAGCAGGTACAGAAATTGGTTTGGGGGCTAAGAATATGTAGTGTTCAGAGAGCCTCCAACAATCGTATCCTATTTCCTGCTGGTAGTTGATCTCTTTCTCTTCTCCCCAAGCATGCCTGTCCCTAGTTGCTGAGCAACTGCAGCAATGCTGGAGCGGGTACAAATCAGCCCTGCAAGCTGAGATATTTTTGGTCCACAAGAGTTGACCATGATGAGCTGCTTCAAATGTCAAGAAGTTCCAACACTGACAGCCGTTCTCATGAGACCGATAGGCAGTTTTAACATTTGTCCATGACGCTCTGTGTGTTTGTTCGTGGGGAAACGGTAGCTCACTGTGGTTTCTGTGTATGCTCATGTGCTTATGCCACACACACAGAATGAAACAGCGTGATTGTTGAATGGGGCACTCCTTAGCTACAGATCTGCAGGCAAGGAGGAAATCTGTGGGGAACTGAGGGCAGGGCAGAGGTCTTGGGAGATAGAGATGGAGCAGGAGACAGATCTGTGTGAGATTTCTTACGGCATGAAGTCTTCCTGTGGTTTGGCACCATAGAAATGAACTGTCATCAGGAAGAAACGAATGTGGGTTGATGCAAATCTGGGGGATACACCAATACAGTGTTTGGGTTATATATTAAATTCAGGTTTAGTGCTCAGCTGTCGAGAGTGTGAGTGTGTGTCTTCTTTGTTTTTGCATCCCCATTATCGTTGGTTTCCTCCTTCAGTTTGGTGGAGTGTTGCTGTTTACATATGGGCCAAACTAACCGTGGCACAACTGGATCAGTTAGCAGTTGTGTGAATGCAAGAGTGAATGGTAAGAGTGTGGGGGCCCTGATCAGAACCTGGGGTGCAGCTTTGACACCTCCTCTGCGATCCAAATAAAGATCACCCCCCCCAAAAAAATACCCCACAAGCCCTTGCTATTTGTATTGGGCGTTCCATTAGAGCCAACTTTGTTTAAACATCAGTCTTAATTTAAAACAAAAACAAAACGTGCCATCCTCAAGAGGCACATTATATCACAATGCTAGCCTATGGAATGCTTCTTCTGACAGTTTTTCTGATCCAGGCCAAGGAACTGAGCAAAAGGTTGCCCTCTGCTTCCCCTTTGGCATGTTTCCACGGTCTTTTGACAAGCATGTCGTCCACATGAGTGACACCAGTTCCTCTTTAGTTGAATCCTTTTTCTCCTCGTCTAGGTCCTAGATGTTTCAGGAGCGGACATCCTAGCAAAATCGATTCCTGGCTGTCAGGTACACATTCTGGAAAACTGTGGACACTCGGTAGTCGTGGAACGGCCCAGGAAGACGGCAAAGCTCCTCCTGGAGTTTTTAGCTACGGTGCAGAATATGGATCACAATAAGAAGCTGGCTTGAACCGCCCACTGTCAAGTTGAACCCTTAAGCTAGATGTTTCAGTTATTATGAAATACTGCTGATTTGATCAATTCTCAGGGGTCTCATACAGAACTTGGTGACTGTGCCAAAATCCCTGAAGAAACCAGATTAATTGATATATTTAATTTGTAGGACCGTCAGTGAGGTGGCTCATGGGATACTGAGTCCAATAAAGTCCAATAAAGTTTACATTATCCAGATATTTTGGGTGTAGTAAAAGAGCCATCAGAGTTATGACTCTAATTTTTCCGTTCAGGCACTTTCCGTCTATTTTTTAATAACGTTTCCCACTCCTTTCTATCCAAGTTGGGCTAGATAACATGCATGCTAGCTAGACAGAGTTGGGAGAGCCTCTGACCTATTATCTTACCTTGCCAGAAATGTACCCATTTCTTAGACTGTCTTTGGTAATTTTTCATTGAATTGTAAATCTAGTAACATGAGAAGAATCTGGAATAAGGACAGATCTTTCAGATTCTTTCTGACTTTAGTGAATTTCTTTGCGAAGTTCCTGAATTATCCGGAAAGTATGTACCCTGCATATCCATTGGCCTTTACCTTTAGCATCCATGTAATATAATTATTTATATATTAACTAGACTATGACCTCAGTTCAGAAAATTCTATATCACAGAATGTACTGGCCACTCCTAGGTTTATGCAGCTGTGTTATGTGATCTAGCATAATATCTGGCTAATTGGAATGTAGATGCCAATGACATTCATCTTGAAACATATAGGAAAAATCAGTAAGGAGCAAAACTTCATAGACTGAGAGCGAAGGGATGTTCCTGCCTCTTAGTATATATGGCCTTGCATGATAAACAATTGTTACAAATGATTCTTAGGATCCAGGTGGTTGCTAAAGTGCTGTTTATGTTGCTCATCAATTTATGATTTCAGCAGAGAAGGAAGGCAATGCATAAAATTTTAAGGGCACGGAAGTTTTGGAGAATCTGCAACTCTGCAATGTTTACACTGATTTATTATGGATGAGTTTTTGTATCCCTCAAGAGCTCTGTTTCTTACGTATGTACTGCCTTAATAGTCGGTAATGCTGAAATAATTGGTATAATCTGATTTGAATCAGGAAAGGTTTTTTTATGGTTGTAGTATTCAAACAATTTTGGGGTAACTGGTTTCGGGATTCAGACTCAAGGGGGAAATTCACTGACTATGTACTAAACAAACACACACACAGAGCTTAGGTCTACTGAAATCAACAGGACTGTTCCTGATTGAAGCGGTTAGCATATTCCCTGTGAAAAGTGATCTTTCTGTGCAGTTAATAAACCAAGCGGAGCCATTTCTGGAGCCATTTTTTTCCATCTAGATGGGACTTTCTCCAAGCAATAATGCTGTATGTAGATAGATGCACAAGTGATCCAATTCAGGTTAAAGTTGGGATGAGCTGTTTTCTCAGCTCTTTTCTTAATTGTTTGTTCTGCTGAGTTATTTTGATGTAAATAATTGAGTTTCTTAATGAATTCTGTGAATTCTGTGAATGGTAATGCCTTGGCTGGGAGGGGAGGGGGGGAATGTCTACATGTAAAAATAAAATCTAATTAGGGTACTCTAAAGTGAATTCTTTATCAGATGCATTTTCAAGTTTATTGGACCAGAGCTTAGAAAATATGATCAGCCTTCCTTCTTCTAGGTATTTGTACTCATTTGCAGTTTCAGCTCTTTAGCTGAGTGAAGTTTCTGAACCAGGTTTGTTTCATCTTCTTATTTGTGATGCTCCTTTTTAAAAAACCCAAACCAAACCAAAACAAAAAAACCACACACATTAATGAGGTTTCTGAAAATCTCCCATACTGAGAAACACACAGCAAACATCATTGTCGAGTCTACAGTAGCTATAATTTACAGTGAGTGGTATGGGTACTTAGGCAGTAGTGTAGTGGTTGGGAACCTGTGGCTCCCCAACAGTTGTTGGACTCCAGTTCCCATCAGCCCCAATTGGCATGGCCAACAGCCAGGGATGATGGGAGTTGCAGTTCTGTATCATCTGGAAGGCCACAGTTTCCCCATCCCTGCTTGTAGCCTATTGTACGCTTACTCCAGAGTATCCCTAATAAGTCAGTGGATCCGTTCCAAAGTATGCTGATTACATATTGCAACTTCAGAATAATTTTGTAGGCACACTTTGGTTCTCAGCGTTCCTTCTGCTTTTCTGTGGGGCTGCTGAGTTCATGGGACCATAATGTAGTTGTATGGCTACTCCATTTCTTCCCCAGTTGAAAGTGCTAAAGGTTTGGTTTCTTCTAATTTGTAAGTATTTGTGTATTTTAAACTTGCGTTTATGACTGCCGTAGTACCTTTTGAAACGTGATACATAGCATCCCTGTGTTTGAGCCATTGCTGGTCTATCTCTTGCACAGGTGGGGAAAGGAAACTTTCCACCTTTTTATTCGAGGGGATCGGGAAAATGTGTGCTTTTATCCAGTAATTGCTTGATCAACATTGCTGCGACTGATGGAAATAAAAACAAAGGGTGGTATCCAACTAAGACATACTTAGAGCAGACTTGCTGGAATTAATGGACATGACTAACTTAAGTACATGGATTTCAGTCAGTCTGCTCTGAGTAGGACTTGGTCATCTACCACTCAAAGAGACTGGCATCTTAATGCCTACAAAAACCAGAGGAGTTAGAATTTTATTTTATTTTGGTATGGCTTTCAGAAGTCAGTGTCATGTCGGCAAAAGGACTTAATTAAAATGTAAACTGAAAGAAAACTCTAGTTCTCTTTTAAATGTTTTCATAATACTGGGACCTTATTCAGTTCGCAATCCACCCCCTCCATGCTAAATATCCTCACGCTAGAGATAGTCTTGATATGCTATAATGCTTGTTTTTATGCTTGGATTTAAAAGAGAATGTGAGTACATGTGTGAATGGACAGCAAGTGCAAAGACGGGGAGAAATGGGGGAAGGCGTCTCCGGAGACTGGCACTCCACCCCTACAGGGATGGAAGCCTTGGCAAAGGCCCATTGATGCCAGCCTCTGGAAACAGTTCTGAGTAAATGGCGTCCTGTTTGTAGGCAAATGCATCATCTACATCCAAACCTGTTTAATTCTATTCCCTTCTTGGGCCATTCAGGTAAAGAAATGTGGAGGCACTTCCAGACTGCCTCTTATTTGGGGGTGGGAGTCAATTGCATTCAAGCAAATTAAAGGTGATGTGGAGGTCACGTGCAACAAACCGATTTCCCTCCAAAGATCAGACTTTTTCAATAAGGAAAGTGACAGGTGAAATATACTCGGAGTCGAGAGTGGATTTCATGCTTTTTATTCAGCTCATAGTGGTGAGGAGGAATGGAAGTTCCCCCAGAATGTCTGCTTTGTATACATTATTTACACAATGGGCCCCACGTGATTGGCTAATTCCGGGATTCACCTGTAGGCCAATCAGGTTGCGAATTCACTTCCACCTGGAGCTGGATTGGGTGGCTCCTGTGGACCAATCAGACTGCTGCATTCTGAACCCTATTGTTCTGGGACCAATCAGACTGCTGCATTCTGAACCCTATTGTTCTAGGACCAATCAGACTGCTGCATTCTGAATCCTATTGTTCTAGGACCAATCAGACTGCTGCCTTTTGGATCCTATTCAACTCAGTACACAACAACAGGGAAATGCATTGGAGCACATGGGACAGCATTTCCTTTGAAGCAACGTTGTCGAACCTCCCCACAAGCAAATCGTAGCAAATGCTCATTAAATAAGAAATGTTGTCTTTCTTTCCGCAAGCAAATCCAGATGGATGTTCAATGCAAGCGCCACGGGACTACGTTTAGTTAAAAAGGAAGGTCCAAGTACTCACAAAAAAGTTATTGACGCTCAGGAATAATGCATAACCTTCACTGACCAATCTCTTGTGAAATGGTAGCACTTCAGTACTGCGGCAAAACAGGATATTTGGGTTTAATGCACCCGGGGGGGGGGGAGTGACTGAGAATAGTTCTTACTCTGGGTGTGTCCCTGTTGCAGAACTTGCTGCGAGTCTTGTATGAGAGAGAAATAGGCATATTGCTTTATTGAGATCAGTAAACAGGAACCAGCAACATCTCTCTCCCCACCACTGTCTGGTTTTAAATCCCGGTGGCTGTGGCGCTTATATTAGTGATCCTTATGGGGATGCTGAGCTAAATTTTGCATCAAATAGCATAACGTGTTCAGCCTATTAGAGCAGGGATGGAAATTCTGTCTGTGTCTGTTAGCGGCTTTTTGCTCCATAAGAATCCTCTCTTGTAATTAAAGTGATTACAATAGATTTAATCCTTAACTGTTGTTATTCATATATGCACTGCTAAGTACTTAACGAGAAGCTGTCCAGTTCACCAGTGACAATGAAGGGCTTAGATTTTTTCAGGCTGGAGCATGTAACTGTTTAAAGGCCTGCCTTATACAATTTATTTAAGCATGACATCACCTTCACCTCTGTTTCACCTTTCTTGCTGTTCCAAGACTGGGCTTTATTACAGCCCTCTTGCAACTTGCAGTGTGTGTGTGTGTGTGTGTGTGTGTGTGTGAGAGAGAGAGAGAGAGAGAGAGAGAGAGAGATTTGCTTTCTCCTGTTTTCCAAAGTGTCTGCACCTTTCTAGACCTAACTATCCTCATATGACATTTCAGTTTCTAGAGGGACAGAAAGGTTTTAGCAGTGCATTATTTTGAAAGCCCGAGTTAGGAAAAACCCTTGGAGGGCAGCCTTCTTCTGCCTTTGCCTTTATGATAAATTCATCATGTCTGTCCCACAACAGAAGCAGAGTTTTCTGCTCTCCTTTTAAGATGCAAGGCACTGGGAGAACCACCCTGCATGAATAAAGAACCGGTTCTTTATTTTTAAATCAATGTCATCATAAAGGTTCTTTTTTATTTGGGCGTTGTGCCATTCAGTGATGTGCAATTCATACTCCTGCACGTTCTCTCTGGACCTCCAGCAGAACGTTACAAGTAAATTCCTGGCTTGGGAGTTAGTAGCAAACTATCTAAACCAATATTATGGACATTAGTGAACTGTGACTCTTATATCCAGGGGCTCAGGTAGAGTTCTGCTAAGCTCAAGTCCTTTAAAGTGTGGTTGTTGGGTTAGAATGCATGACCCCATTTGCATGCTCTTAGTTGAATTTTAGATTCCCATAATGGGAACAGAGGAACGCGGGTGGCGCTGTGGGTTAAACCACAGAGCCTAGGACTTGCCGATCAGAAGGTCGGTGGTTCGAATCCCCGCGACGGGGTGAGCTCCCGTTGCTCAGTCCCTGCTCCTGCCAACCTAGCAGTTCGAAAGCACGTCAAAGTGCAAGTAGATAAATAGGTACTGCTCCAGCGGGAAGGTAAACGGCGTTTCTGTGTGCTGCTCTGGTTCGCCAGAAGCGGCTTAGTCATGCTGGCCGCATGACCTGGAAGCTGTACGCCGGCTCCCTTGGCCAATAAAGCGAGATGAGCGCCGCAACCCCAGAGTCGTTTGCGACTGGACCTAACAGTCAGGGGTCCCTTTACCTTTACCTTTAATGGGAACAGAGCAGGCTAACAGGCAGCCAGGTGTGATATTCTAGTTATACTTTTTATTTTTTTTTTGGCTGCTACCTTTTTAATGCCTACGCTGAGCAGTCACCCAAGGCTCTGTCTGTGCTGTCACTGCCTACGCATCAGATGTGGCCTTGCCAAAGCTTCAAGTTCCTGCTGAAACAGCTGCCATCTGGAGAATTGCCCATGCTCCTCCAAACCCTGCTTGTGTCTGACAGTGCAGGTAGAGCTCATCTCTTGCAGGGAGTTGCCACCATCTGCCCCTGCTTTAAAGAGCTGTTGCATGCATGTCGTTTGGATACTTTGCGCTGCCTGCAGAGAATGTCTACCTGCATTTTCCTGCAGGGGTGTAGGTATCACCCCGACACCTGTGAAATTCTGTAATTTTGGAAACAGTCCCATTTCCCCCGTAACCTGCCCCCCTTCTCCCCATAAGCAGCTTAGCAGCTGCTAATATGCATGCTCTTGTGGGGCATACAATGTTCTTTCTCCTTCCCTCCAATTAAGAGAGACCAAGAAAGATCTGAATAATGGACACACATACCCCTCTCTCTCACACAGCTTCAAAAAATTTGTTTATGCCGAATAACATTTTAATAATCATAATAACACAACATTTTAATAATCATAATAATTTTCTTTTTGTGTGTGGAACTGGGGGGCTGGATGTCATTGACTGGTTGGGGTGCAGAGGAATGATGATGATGATAGTGATATTATTATTATTATTATTATTATTATTATTATTATTAATTTATTACTTATACCCCACCTATCTGGCCAGGCCTCCCCAAACACTCTGGGCGGCTTCCAACAGAACATTAAAAACACAAGAAAACATCAAACATTAAAAACTTCCCTAAACAAGGCTGCCTTCAGATGTCTTCTAAAAGTCAGATAGTTGTTTATTTCCTTGACATCTGATGGGAGGGCGTTCCACAGGGGAGGTGCCACTACCGAGAAGGCCCTCTGCCTGGTTCCCTGTAACCTCACTTCTCTCAATGAGGGAAGTGCCAAAAGGCCCTCAGAGCTGGACCTCAGTGTCTGGGTTGAACAATGGGGCTGGAGACGCTCCTTCAGGTATACTGGGCCAAGGCTGTTTGGTGATGGGAGGAACTAGCTGGGGAACCCTCAAAGGAAGAAGGCTTGGAGCCCAAGGATTGGTGGTGGGACAACGATGAATGGTCAGAGAGAGAAGACAGTGTCAGAAGCTGAGCTGGGGGAGTCTGTGGCAGGGAGAAGTCCAGAATCTGAGGCAGAAGCTGAAGCGAGGGAGGAAGGAGGCCAGAGGCAGAGAGAAGTCCTCCTGGTGAAGAGGCACAGGTGTCTCCCCCTCCTGCTGTGACAAGCTTCCCTTCCCACTGGTGTCCCAGAACTAGAAGAGACATGAAAAGGGTGGAGAGGTTGGCTTCACACAGGCGCAGTCTCTGATTGCTTGGGAAAAACCCTGGAGAGGATGGGACTTGTATGGCTGAGGAGAGGTGGGGATTTTCAGTCCCAGCAACTCATCTATGGGGCAAGACCTCCCAGGGATGAGCTGCTGTGCTCATTAGGCCTGAAACACTGCCAAGTCTGTGCAGATCATGTTCTTGCTAATAAAGAGTTAACTCCAACTTGCCTGGTGTGATTTACTGCTGGCTTGCTCCTGGCAGTGGGTGGGAATGATGCTGTCCTCTCTGGCTTGGGTTGGCAATGGCCAAGAAAACAAAGGGGTGGCAGAAAGTAACAGGGACGGGGAGGGGGAGTGAGGGCTCTGGCCTTGCCCACTGCTGGTTTGCAGTCTCCAGCAGATTACACATGAGGCATAATGCCTCTTGACAGAAAAAAGATCCTCCAGAGGTGGGAGAGAAATTCAATTCCATCTGCATTTAAAGGTGGACCGAAATGGTACATTAACTGAAATGCAGCCATCCTTCGAGACTCTGAATTTTGCAGTGCCGTTCTCCCGCCGAGAAATTTCTACAAGAATGCATATACTTGGGTAAAGTATCCATTAAAAATGCATATTTTAGTCAAAATAACATACACTGATGCATTATTTTAGGGGATAATTGCTTTGCAAAATTGTCTATGTGAGGCACAATTGCATGCAAACGTGCCTGTTAGGAGAAAATTGCACTACAAAGCTGGTGGATTTTCGTGAGGACTTATATATCCTGAAACTGATGTGGAGGACTGAACTTTAGACTCTGGTGTATGGGAAGAGA